GGTAAATCCAATAAATTTATCCACATGTGACTTTCGCGAGGTGTTCTCCTCTTTTCACTCCTTCCCATGTTATTTATTGCTAATCCAATTTGAACACTTTCAAGCCTTTCAAGAAAGTAGAAACATGTTTAGATTTAATTTGCATAAAATGCACTCGGTGGCGCAAAGTGTTCAATTTAATTATTCTTCATTATAGATTTTCATGTAAATATACCTCTTTTTGCCATCTCTTGCGACACACACGAGAACGCATAAAACACATTGACTTGTCGGCACAATCTCGCAAATGTAATGACAATTTGCTAGCATTTATCCAACTCTACAACCGTGTATGTTAATGGTAATGGAAAGAGATCTCCGATTTTATGGGTTTCTGATATCAAACGCACTTTGCCGCTCAAAAACTCAAGTACTATGTATGTTTATCTGCAATTCCTAAAGTCAGCACCATTAAAATGATATCAAAAGGCTTGTCTAAATGCCCATTTTCGCTCTCTCTCTCTCTCTCTATCTCTCTACTTTTACTGCATTATAATGAATTTCTTCACTTGGCACTTCAATTGAAGCCCTTGAGTGAAAATATATAATTTTCCCTACTTCTCTCTCTCGTGAAATGTGTATTCATGTGACCTCATATTCTGGCTCTTTGACATTCTAAGCACACCGTCGCGGTTCGATGACCTCACAAAAGCACAACTTTGTGATCCACATACGAGACAATTATACATATTGTGAATCAATGGCACATATTGTGCATAAAATAAAAAGAAAATGAAATCACAGAGAAAATTATGTGATAAAACAATGAAATCTTCTCTCAAGTCATCATATAATTTATCATAATGCACAAGATTAAAAGTGCTGCTTGGAATACCTTGAGAGTGCAATCACTGCAATATTGTACAAGTTATGAGGAGAAAATGTTGCCACGGATGCAATTCTTGTGACATTTTCGCAATGTTCTCTCTTCTCAGCGCAATTGCTCGCACACAATTTTATGGAAATGCATGAGGAGTGAATTTTTAAATTATGCTGTCGTGCCAAAGTAATTTTAGTCATCACCAAAGTCCACTCTTGAAGCCTCTTAGAAAGATTGATATGTACAAACACAGAGAGAGAGAAAGAGTACAAATGTATACAGAAAATGATATTAAACATTTTCACATTGAGGGCCAGTAGTCAATTATTCACAATTTTCCCCTTCTCACATCAATTCTCCCATGTTTGATCGATTGCAAGGCATGAGAATTGAATTTATAACTTCGTCTCTTGAGGGCGTTCTTTGTGCCTTCGCAATAGCAATCCCCTTTGCGTCATTTTTATGCTATTCGCGTAAAAAACAATCAAATGTGTCAGAAACATGGAAAGTCTTCTCTGCAATAGACAGATGTGGTTTTCCTATCCTATAAATAAACACATATATTTATACAGTTTGATGATTTTTAGGCATTCATCTGCATTATTAGCTGAATTTATTTTTAACACGTTCGCACTCGTCACAAGATCATCGCAATTTCTTCTTTTTGGAAAAATTTAGGTCATTCACTGACCAAATAGGAAGACATTCCGTCACAGTTCTCAACTCGGAAAGAAGCGTTCAAGGTTCAAAATCCACATGAGCTCAAAACTTTGCTGATGACTCCAATATTTGACTTATCATTTATTGTCGGTTACACAATAGTGATGATAATGTTTTGTGACAATGTCAATGTACTTCAGTGTCAAACCAATTTCAGCTCATTGCTTATTTCTGGAGCAATTCAATGTGACACAGCAATAAGCTGAAGTACGGAAAATAGTAGGTACAAAATGCCGTATTTAATTCCCAAATGGTCTTTTTCTCTCCCCATCAAGCCATCACTTTGCTATGATAATCTCATCAATCATGGACTTTGGCGTCCTTTCCCACTCCACATGATAAATTACACCCAATAAAGAGATAAAGATACTATTCATTTAACCTACAGAAGTGTAATTTCACTTATTTGTGACTTCAAGTTTAAAGGACGAATATTTTATCGTATATATTTTCCATACGAAATAGCTGCTGCTGGAGAGGAAGAATCATTTTGAGATGTTGCGAAGAACACAAAAATGTCAGAAACTCCCACGTTATTAAATAAAATAACTTACAATAACGCACAAGAGACGAAAAAGAATTATCGAAACATGATCTCAACTGGTGAAATAGGAATAAGTCTGTGTTTTTTCTCTGTCACTTCCCATTCATTCATGTGGAGAATCACACGATGAGACAAATTTTCCACTGATACAAATAGCATGCTTCACGCAACTTGCCATCCAATTGAATCTTAACAATATTACACGCTACCAAGACTTGTAGCGCAAATGCTAATAGGAAAAGACTGATCCAATAAATGCCACAGACATAAAGTTTTCATTACACTTTTCAATTGACATTTTTGCACAAATAACCACAGATCATATTCAATTGCATTCAACCGATGGCAAAACATCTCCTCAATTGATATTCCACCAATAAATATTGTCCTCCAGCGTGAAATATAGCGTCGCGCAGCACATCAATAGACAATCGCGTAACTGTGAATTTATTCAGAGTGGATGCTTTTGAAAAGTATTTATGGATTCACCAAATATGACGATGCTGCAAAACAGTGACGCCATCGATTTTATTAATTTCTTCATTGTCATCTCTTCCTCTATATTTTGAGGAGCATTTTTCCGCGAGAAGTCGCGCCAATTCACGTGCTAAAGCGACCAACAAATGTTCTCTTTCATAAAAGGTTCGAAGAGCAAAAACTAAAGCTCAAGAAAACGAGTTTCTCGCGATGTCCATGAAAATCCATAATCACGAATAAGGAGCAATATGCAGATCTCCAAAATGACTCTGTCGTGTCTTGAGCTTCTGTGTGATCACATTTGTATGCGATGTGGCTGTGTTTATAAATGTAAATAAATCCAAAGAAATTCATGATTCATGCACGCCTCACAACACAAACAAATCCCAATCAGACATTTCCACGATTTGTCCGCCAAATTAGCGGAAATAAGAAACTCGATTGTGTGTAATCAGTTTTACCGTTTTCCCACTCGCCTTACAACTTATCATCTTTCCGATGATGTGATCTAAGCTTCGCTTGTTAGAACTACTTCACATTTTTTGACAAAATGTTAGACGTATGTAAATTTCCCGTGAATTCTGATGACACGCTTTGGGAAAAGCTTGACTCAAACGCACTTCGATCACTATTCATTTGCAATTCCAATAATTCCCACGTGAATAAACAGCTTTCTCACCTCGACAGAGTGACTTCAAGCTTGTGCTTTTTTTTCTTCTCTTTCTGTATAATATCCAAAAACCAAGAAGAAGTTAAAGCAAATGACTTCAGGCCAGAGCACTTTCATTCAACATGTTGTAGTAACAGTTGAAAGAGCACACTCTACAAATCTGCAATTCAGATTTAGCTCTGAACTCTATATGTATTCCGCTGGATGATGGGTGTTTATTGAAGGTAAAATTGACTTTTAATCTCCATCATCAACATCCAGACTCAAATTATCCAGCAATGCACACAAAAAACTGGCAACAGTGACATAAGACTTCTGCATTCGCATGGAATCATAGTGTGTTAGTTGAATAATTATACTCATTTTTTTCCTCCAGTTATTATTAAAACTTATTATATAATTGTGGCCGCGCAGCAGCGCCAACCACACGAAAGGTAGGTGTAATTTTTCGTTATGTGCCATTGAAATTAATTTGTGCGCCGCACACAAGCACGAAATCTGCTGGAAAAAGCGTATTATTGTAGGATTTCAAGCAACCAGAAACATTTTGTCCAAATGAACTCATAGCAAAATGACCAACAGACTCTATTTAATATGACTCAAAGTAATTTGTCACAATTGCTGTGTGTGATTAAACTTATCATAAGAGCCACATGAGATGCAATTATATCTAATTATGAGATTTCTCCCACTGTAGAGCTTAATTACTTGTGTGAGGATATTGCCATTATCACAAACACAGCACTTCTTATTTTATCTTATTGTCCCCATAAATTCATGCTGACACTCTCGGCATAAGACATGTTTTTTTTAAGACATGTCCACTAAATTATTTACAAGACATCAACGGCAGTTTCTGCTTTTTCCTCTCTCGCCAAGCTATAAATGAAAATTTACACACATTTGTATTTTAAATTCAAAATTAATTAGGCTGTGAAGGTTGCTTTTCAGCAATATCTCATCTCCCTTTATGCGTGTATTTTATACACTGCGTACTAATAGGCTTTTTTCTCTCGCCATGCCCACAAAATCTCTATCGCTTATCTATTAAAATTTCTGTGGCTTTTTGCTTGTTCACAAATTCAACATGGTTGAAGTGAAATGAAAAGGAAATTTGCATGTCCAGTGGATTTTCACACACAGCAGCGCAACACATAATAATGGATTTATGATAATGCAAAAAATACACACAAAAGGGCAGCGAGTTCTAATCAACAGTCGTCAATAGTGTGAAATCAAGTGATTTTTCCTCCTTCTATTCATGCACACACAATTTCGAAAGATCAGGAATTCCTTGGTGTATGAATGGAAGAGTGAAGAATGAGAAATCAACTGTGTTAATTGCTCAAAGTAGCAACTCTACATGCGAAATACACCCAGTGCAGCAAGGCCATACGTAATTATGCTTATGTGCTCATAGTTTTGTCAATAAAACGGCCACATATATATTTTTTACAGACGACGAATAAAGAGTGATAGATAAGGTGTGAAAAAGTGTGATAAGGACAAGTTTGCACACACTCACTGATGATAAGGAGGAAATACTTCTTTCTCGACGTGGCAAAATACATCGAAAAACTCAGGATAAGAAAACGACAGAGTGCTTCTCTAGATAACAATGACATGCGCACTCACATACAGCTGATATTGACGCGAATTTTCCCGTTATATGGATGTAATGATAAAGAGGCACCCATTGTGCAATTGGCATAACGAGAAAAATGACTTACTTGCAATTCTAGGTAATTAAATTCCTTGTCAATCTCTCGAGGAGTGTCTCTCGCGGATGCAATTTGTTATGATATCTCTCTACTGATATTAATATATATACGTGGAATGTTTTCGAACTCTCTCGCGTGCACCAAATTTAGGTCGCTCCAACACAATTTACATGTCAGTCGTAAAAATCTCCCAAAAAAGGTACAACACACGAAGAAGGGGCACAGCCCTTTTCAATTGTCACTTCACTGTGGCATTTTCGATAAAATATAATTAAAGACACACACACTCGTCGCTTTTTGATCTTCTCAGCCAGAGTCAGTCCATCAAGGTTTACAACACTCTTCTGTGTGTGGGCCACAAGAGACTAAACGATGGTGGGCTTCAACTTTGAACTCTCTCATGGAATTCTACCACAAAAAAGGAGACTCTCGGTATCTCTGCGCCAACGCACAACACGATTTCGCTAAATGTATATTTATATTACCGTGTCTTGGATTTATTCGAATATATTTATTGATAAATATATCCCGAGCTCAAACTTCGAGAATCTTCTCTGCCCCATTCAATTGAGTAGTGAATAAATTCAATTAACGCCCAGAGTGTTACACAACTCAACTGCGCCAGGTACCGATTCCAACTGACTCTGGCACGATTTGTAAAATATTTTTAACTCAACCCAGAGTGTAATGTATCGTGAGTCTGTGTTTGAGGAAGAGAAAAACGACTCACAGACACACATTCGCGCCACAGTGTGGCCCGCAAGTCAACATGATCTCTATGGATTCATGTGATACACTCTCGCTCGGCTGGAAAGCTCTCAATCGATCGGTCAACGAGCAGCCACAATACTCAGCATTTAATCTCGTCCATCTGATCCAACACAAGCAGTGTCGATTGCCTCTCTCGCTCCATCCCAGACGCTGTCCAGGAATTAATCCACACGACCTGACATGGAGAGAGAGGCAACAAAAGGAGAACAGCAGACACACTCTGGGTGGCGCACTTATGCTCCCCATGTTGCATACATGCTCACATTATGCTGCTCCCCTGAGCACTTGAGGCACAACAATCACTTGGCAACTGTGTGTGACCAAGTGTGCGCATGACAGCGATGTTTCGCTATCTAAACTAAAGTATAAAATAGAACCATCGCGCGGTGAAAAGAGTGACTTCAAGAGAGTCAGACAGGATTGGTGGCAATTTTTCATTCTGTCCCACACTCTCCCAAAGGCAGGTGAACAAAGAGAAGAAGGAAGCGAGGCAAGACAAGAAATTCAAGTAAAGCACTCGCACACCTCATCATCAACCATGTCAAACCAATATCAAATCGATTGAACTCTCACTCTGTCGATGGCACACTCGAGAGTACAAATTACACTCTGACAACTCTTAGCAAAGGGGGAAACAACTAAAAAGTCTTCCAGAAAGAGAACAACAATTTCTGCAATGCTCGAGCGCAACTCAAATTTCTGCCTTCCTCAAGACCTTGAAGAATAATTCTTAGACATAGGAAGTTGGGGAAATAGTTTGTAATTAATTATTCAAGAACTTATGATTTTGTTCAGTTGTTTGCCCCTTGACTTTAAGCACTTTTCCTAGCAATGCTGGGCAAGAAGACGTGCAGACACTATAGTTCAGGGACCTCTTCATTCCACACCACACACCATGGGTTCAACCATGAAAGATAAATAACCATTAAATTGAAATTTAATACTCTCTACTTGCATATAAATTACACCCAAGTGCTGCATCATCTTCAGAAGCTCAACAATGTTTGCACAGAAGAGAAATTTCATCAAATATCGTTCGAAGGCACTGTAAATTAATTGATCTTTCACTTTAGTCCAGCGAAAAAAGTCTTCCAGGTTAAAAAGTATACAAAATCGACCATTTCACAGTGTTCTTGAATAAAAAGAAAAAAATAAGGGCAATATTGTCATTGATAGTAAAATTCACTTGAAGTGTTCAACCAAGTGTGAAGGAAAATTGCAGCTGCAGGAAGTGGTTATGCAAAAGATAAACACACATCAAAATACGTGACAAACTGACAAATTTTCACTCCCCTTCGGCCCAATGAAGCATTTCCCACTCAATCATAATAAAATCCAGTTTCTCCCCCCAATAGAAACATTAATATTTAATTGTTTTCCAGTCGTGTCCCTCTTTCCTCATCACCAACATCGTGCCTGATCGACACAAGATTGCTCATTTAAAATTCCCTATCGCAAAGATGTTAAGTTGTTCAAAATAGTAAAAAAAAAACATATATTGAGAGGTGTGTATTGAGTTTTTTCTTTCCTTCAATCTCACACGTCTCTTGTGCCTTTTTCAACACGCCTCTAAGCGGGACACACTTTATAAATTGTATCTTAATTCAATACATTGCACATTATTGCAAACACTTTCTATTTTATGGAATGAATAATTCCATTGGGAGAAAAAATACACGAGCATTGCAATTTCCTCTAGCGAAATTCATTATAAAATTTCTCAATTGCCTCACATTTGAAGTCATGAGAATATGTTCAGCAATGATTCTTCGATCTCGTCTTTGATTGACTATTTCGTGAAGAGGGAGCAAGAATGGGTAATTCTTGCAGAAAAAAAAACCACCACAGCATGTTGATGATGGTCTGCGATTGAACGTTTCTCATACTGAGAAGATACGAATATAACATCAAGGAATAGATGTTGCATCGCGCAATTATTATTCATTTTATAGTATTAAGACACTGCATGACTGGTGTTGAATAATGATCTTTTCGAGAAATACCAAATCGTGGCATCTCCAGGAAAAATATTTACACTTTACGACAAGATTGCTGACATGCAGAAAAGCCTGATAAAGCCATGTTTGCTTTATTTGCGCGAGAGATCAGATTATTCAGCATGTTTTGTCTTATGAGTAGGGAAATTGTGAAGTGTATCAATTATAAAATCCCCTGTAAAACAGATAAGTCCGCTTTTTTTTATAGATTTAAATAATCCATAATATTTGGTCCTTCGAGCCGGATTGAAACTAGCACATCGCAGATTTTACAGACAAAGTATGAAATAGTGCCCATCAATAAAAACTGTAAATTTATCATTCACATCTTTTCACTCTCATAAAACGCATACAACTTTCGTGAAGTTTTCATTTTTCAATTATAAATATTGACAATTCCCTTTCAAGCACTCAAAGATACTGTCGCACTTTTAGCCCATTCCTTGTCACATTATAAACGTGTCTCACACGTTTATAACGCTCTGAGTTTATACAGTATCATGTCTTTTTGTCTGCCAACCACAAAAGCCAACAATGGCTCGTCAGAATTAACATAAAAGTCTCAAATGAAATTCAAACCCAAACTCCAGTCTTCGACATCGCGCATTGGCGAAAGACGACACTCTTTGTCCATTGTGATGCACATCGAGAATTTCACATTAGAAGCACATAAAGCGGGACTCTCATTTACTTGTGCCGAGACTAGTAATTTAAAGGTGTAACTTTCTCAGGAGATTGAATATCAATAATCGCATCCCTGACATCATGATATCAAGCATTCCGCAAAGTCTTTCACCTCCACCTTTGTTTATATGAGCTTCCTCACCTTCAAATGAATTTCCACGGCTCTGTCGCAATATTTCCCTCCACTCTGCGATTATGGTAACTCAATGTGACGAAATCTCAGCATTTGAACAATGTGAATGCAATTTTTCAGCGCCACACGCGGTAATTGTGAGAGCAAAATCGTCACTCTGCTCGTCCACCCACTGCGTTTTCCACTGTGAAAATGTCAGAACAAGCGAGAGAGAAACCAAAACATTCAACTCGCCTATGTTGGCAGCTCTGCTCATATCCCTGCTTGACACACTTCACGCCGTGCATGTCAAATATATTTATGTAACCTGCGCACGAGTGCAGAAAATTCTTTTTGCATTGAGTGAGTGACCAGGAAATCGCCCAGGAACACCATGTCGACGCCACAACCATCGGGGAAGTGCATTGAGCTGAAACCATTGACCAAATACAACGTCTGCTACTACTATGCACCACTTTCGAGCATGGTCAGCTATGCGACACTCTCGGTGAATGTTATGAATCCTTCGCTGGTGTACAGGTAAGTCACAAGACCCATCCCGGAAATGCCCTAAAAATTCCGGCATCTTTGCAGATTCCATCCAAACAGGGATGTGACAAACTACCTCCTCTACTGGACCATGTTCGGCACTGGTCTGTACATCTACGGACGTCCCCACTTGCGAGCTCTTCAGCACAAAGTTCGCGCTTCTTACAGGTGAGTTCCGGAAGCAAACTAACACAGTTTCCTCAACTGGAATCTCCTTTCTGCTTAGCGTTGTGGGCAGCGTTCTCTTCAGCATGGGATCTCTCCTCATCTGGGCGTTCATTCGCACTGTCGTGCCGAAGAACAACTGCCTGCACACTCTTCTGGGTCTGGGCTCTAGTTTCGTGATCGCTAGCCTCAGTTACAACTACTTGGACCACGTAGACAGCCTGGCGCCCGCAAAGTAATTCCGCATAGGATTTACTCCAATTCACTCACTCCATCGCAAATTTTACCCATTTTACCAGTAAAGTGAGCCTCTGAAAAGTCTCCGGAGCAGCATCTTTTATCGTCAATGTAGAGAAAAGTACATTAAATTGTGGAAAGAAAAAGCCGTGTAATTGAACATTCGGACCTCCCAATTGGAATTCACGTGTTGTGCAGAAAATTGCAGAGAAAAAATTCACAATATTAACCAGGTGAAATCGAATTCAAGCAACCCAAATACACAGAAACCCATCAATTTTCATCGCCAGATAAAACCAGAAGTGAATGAATAAATCACAGATGCACGATTGCAGATAAAAGAGATGAAAGACGAATGAGTGAAAAAGCACGTGGCAAAGGTGAGAAGCCCTGCAGTGTGCTCTAAATTGGCACACGCAGAACACCATTGCTTCTTCGGATCAGCCTTCAATTCGGACTTTCTTCCCTTTCTTCTCAATAAACAAAAGTTCTTGGGTATTATTTTTGGGTTCTGTTCCTCTTCTAGGATTCATGGTCAACATATTCAGTCACTGACTGTATAACCTTGCCCTTTGCACAGTAGCAGAGTTTCTAGAAAGCGCAGCAGAAGTAAATGATGCTCAATGAGACAATTCGGTGGGAATTTACGCTCAATGCGATCGGCAGTAAATGGGAAAACGTGGTCAATTATCATCTTAATTGCATACATTTAGCACAAAGCATCACAAAACCGACGCACTTCTGCATCTCTTCTCAGGCACTCCTCCCGCTTTTTCTTCGCACAATCTCTCTATAAAAGGTGCTGAGAGATCTCATGATAAAGAGAGACAGTGCATGATTGACATCCACCTCAACAAACACCATATTTTCTAAATTGCGATCTCTAAATCGTGTGTCCCTCTCTTCTGATCGACCACGATGATTAATTGGAAAAGATATCGGTGGCCGTATTAATTGTCTTCAATACACCTTCGGGTGAAATTTCGCTGTCAATCCCAGATAATTTATTTTTCGCGGCCATCGCGGATAAGCTCAAATAGACATCAAGCCAGAGTCTCATTTGCGATGGTCGTAATCATCGGAATTTAAATGTAAAGGGAAAGAAAAAAATCTGCACACAAAACTTTTACTGATCAACACAATCTTTATCGACACACATTTTTTGGCGATTGCCTGAGAGATTCCCACCTTTATCTCTGCATGTGTTTTCGCGTGTGAAAGGAAGCCTCAGGTGTTAAAAACATAATAACATATCACTAAAATATTCCAATTACTTGCAACAAAGTCCAAACCAATTGATAAAATCTCCCAACTTTCTAAGACAAAAGCATGTGCCAATTTAAGCCATTTCTATGCAAATACATTTGTCTAATTGATCTAAATTGTCTGTAATCTTGTGTCAAGTAGAGATTCAAGTGCACAGGAAGTAAAATTAATTGTAATGCCCAATTAAGATGTCTGGCATTCGCAACAGACGCGCTTTCTTGACCGCCTCTCGTCTTTTCGGCAAACTTCAACACTTGCAATTGAATTCTCAAGAAAAATCCAACACAAAAAAAACAGCTCGGCGGGCAGCGCTCTCTCTACAATGTTAATAACTCTGTAATTCCGCAAGGAGAAAACCGCAAGTGTCACGACATTTGATGATAAATGAATTTTTGCCTTCATGAGTCTTTAAAATTAATTTTTACCAAAAATATAGGTCACAATTACGGACCGATGAATTGGCCTCTGACCACATAAATCCGCTAGTTATGGCCAATCTCTCGTTAAAAAGTATTATTTGACATAATATTTACTCATTGTGTGCCTGGGAGAAAAGGCAACACGCGAAATAAAAAGATGCAGCGTCATATCACTTCACTACCGTATTATTAGGGAAGAATTATGCCAAAGTACTGTTGATTTTAGTGGAATACAGAAAAAAAGATATTAATTGACTTTAAAGTCCCTTGTCAAAGCGATCAGTCAACATTTTAAGAGCCCTTTGAAAGCGCATCGTTAAAACAGGCAAAAAAAAATTTTGTCTTGAGGGACTGCATAAACGATTCATTTAGTGGAAATTTATTGCTCGATGCCAAAAAAAGCCACTTCACCTGTTGAAATTGACTCGGTGGCATAGTTTTTTCATTGACTTTTTATTCGACGAGCAAAGAAAGCGTTGAGAAAAAAGACAAATTTTTTGGCGAAAAATGTAAATAGCAAAACATAACCCTGAGGCAAATACACTCATTGATTGGCTCTCGGCTTTGTGTTCACCGAAAATGATTGAAAAGTGAAAAGACGTTTGGCCACAAAGAGAAATTTCACTGAATTGTAACTTCCAAAACGATAAATTGCCACTAAAAGTGGTAAATTGAATGCAGTCGCGTCCACGTGTTCTCATCGTATTAAATGGATTTGTCTTACAATAGAAGAAAAACGGGGGAAAGCAATAAAACACGATCGGAAGTTCGATGCAGAAAAAGGCACTGAACATATCCTCATGCGCTACCACAATTTGCAAGTGCTTAAGTGCAACATTCAAGCCAAAACAAGAAGTTACAGACCAAACAAAGTACTTTCTTGATCATCACGATTTCGCTAATAGTCATTCATTAGACTCGCTGGCTATTTATTATCCCGTAAACCTCCATGGGCGAATAATGGCCCGAGAAAGGCAAAAAGATATCGTGGTTTCTGTTGCTTCTTCACTCTTTGCTTGAATACTTATAATGCTAGGGAAAATTCAATTAAAATCGCTAACATTTCTTGAATTGCTGTAGTTTTTTTTGCTGATGCCCTAACCTAAATTGTCATTTTAAATCTTAAGAATAAAGAGAACAGAATTTAATTTCTTTTATATGTAGTGTTGTAATTCTTTGACAAATCCCATGACAACTCCACGATTTTTGGGTGCGATCTTGACTTAGAAAGTGTGATTATTTTTATGACTTCTTCAAACCAACAATTTTCCACAATCTTTTCACATCCTCTCAATTCTCTCGCGTTGCTGAGAAAAAAGTCTTTTGCTTTATTTCATGTTTAATCTTGCATGTTAAACCTATTTATTGCCGTACTCGTTTTCGGTATCGCAAATAAAAGACGGCCTCTCGCGCTGAGAAGCTGGCAAAAAACACAGAATTTGACTCTCAACTTCTTCATCTTCAAGGTTGATGTTCATTTGCCTCTTTCTCATCACTCTTCTCTTTTTTCTCAACTCCTCCTCCCATTATCATTTGTTGGTAAATCTCTGTGACTCTTCTCGGAATTGCTTCATCGTAGGCATAGTGAATTCATATTCATATTAATTGTGAATAGAATAGGGAATCATCATTCATTGCAATATCGCTCCGTTTTCACGCAGCAGGTGGAGCAAAAATTACGAAACTATTGAATTTGACATCCAGCTTTGGTGCGAAAGCATATCTTGCGGAAATTTTGCGTTTTCCTACAAATTCTTGGAAATTCTCAGGGACGCAATGAATAAACATGTACTTACAGTTTCTCTTGCAGTCGAAATATTCACTTATTATTTAATTATCAGCACGCAAATCGTCTTTTCGCGACAGTCTCAACCTCCACTGTTTGACACTTCAAGTAAGCACGCAACTGCCAATTTCATATGTCTGCATTGGCAGCCCTGAATCTTTGATTTTGCCAATTTTCGCGGAAAAATATAAATTACTTTATTATTATGTAAAACAATGCGTAAAACACACTTGAATGTTGTGCATAAAATGAAGATAAAATGAAAATTCAGTAGTAATCCGGAACTGGAGCACAGGCAATCTTCACGAAGTCAGAATAGCGAACTGTGCCATTGTTGGAGACGTTCGCCTCGCGGAAGATATTGTCCACCTGGCAAACAGAACAATTCAATAGCAATTACAACTGATCCGCGATAAAGATGAGTCAATTTCCAATTACCTCTCTCACTGATAAGCCTTCGCCCCAGTTCTGCAGAAGGTGACGGAGCTGCCTGGCCGATATGGTGCCGTTTCCCTTGGGATCGGCCGCCTTGAAGGCGTCAATCACCTCGGTCGGAAGATTCTCCACGGTTGAGTGTTGATGCATGATCTCCAGGAAGTCTGCGAAGCTCATCTTCCCATTCTTCTTCTTGAGATACCCCGTCAGCTCTTGAATAGTTGGCGACAAGCCCAGAGAACGCATGATAACCGTCAGTTCGTCCAGAGACGTGATTTGTCCGGATTTTGACCTCGCGAAGAGGTAAAAACACTCCCTGAACTCTGGAACATAAGTAAATCGAGCACCTCATTAGAATATTGGGCCAAATTGAAATATTTCGCTTTCTACTCACCATCGATATCCTGTTCCTTAAAGTAACGAGCCTGAAAGTCGAAAAGGAATGTCAGAAGCGAAAATAGACGGAGAAAAGATTGATTTATTACCATTTTCCTGGGGAACGAAAGCCAAAGTGTGATGTAAATAAATAATTAACAGGTGTCACTTGCATGCAATTCCGCGAATTTGGTGTTGTCTGATGAAGAATCCCACCAGAAAATCTGCAGATCGCAGACGCACCAAAGCTCTTCCCGCCAAATCGCCGTTTATGAAAATTCTGGCCAACGGCAGCTTGCCATGCTGATTATGAGCAAACACTAAAAGACATTTTTGCAATGACAATGCTATCTAAGAAATCTTATTATTCATCTCATATACATAATTACACAATAATAATAAATAATATTTATGCCCCAAAATTTTATTTGAAGTACTACTTTAAGATGATTTGATAAAATGCAAATGTTATTCGATAATTACAGTTTCTCTCTCTTTGTTTTCTTGTAATAATAAGGTTATTATTTTATAGTAATTTGCTGATTTTCCGTAATTTTTTTTGTTAATGGCAGTTTACATAATGTTTCCATATTCTGCAACTTTCTTTTTGCAAATTTTTTGTGTTTTTTTTTTAATAATGCTTTGCATTTTTTGATAATTCTTTCAATCATATGTTTGTTAATTCTTGCTCCAGTGTTCTTTGCATGCTTCTTGTTGCTCTTATTCTTTTTTTTTCATTATTTTAATATTAAAAATGTCTGCTTAATAGCAATTTCAGGCTAAACGTTATCATTCGCTCATCGCAATAGTTTTTTTGCGTGTGTGTCTTAAGAAATCTCAATGCTACTGCGCGTCAACCGAAGAGAGGGGGCGAAACTTCACTCATACATCCGCCGATCTCGATGTTATACTAGGTGATCTGGAATGAATAACCACTTTATGTCCGTTTTTTGTCACATATCCATCACTTTCCACTAGCACAGCCGTTTGGCGGCCCATGTGGTCGCCGTTTCCATCGCTGTCCGCGCCGCCGCTTGCGCCACCGGGGCTCGCGGCCCCGTCGCCGTTCGCCGAGCCCGTGTCCTTGTCCGTGTCCTCATCATCGTCGCCGGTGCCGTCGTGTCCGTCGTCCTTGTGCAGCTTGTGCTTGCGCCACGCGTTTTGGATCAAGCGCGCGCAGTACTCCTCGCGCTGGCGCCACAGCGTCGACGACACCGGCTCGTAGCCCACCTCATCGGGGCGCGCCGCCACCTCGCCCAGCTCGCCGCTCTCCTCAATGGGATTCCCTTTGCGCGCAAAGAAGTCCTTCGTGAGAGCGTCGAGGATGTCCACGCAGAACATCATATCATTCCTGCAGATCGGGATGTCCATCGAGATGATCTTGTATTTGTTGGGCTTGTGGATCTGCAGGGGCGGCTCTAGCACGTCCAGGAAGTCGGACAGCTGATCATAGCGGATGTACTGAGTGCCCTCTGGGTCAAACTGCTGCCATATCTCATAGTACATGTCATAGTCGTCGTCAGTGAGGCCTTCCTGGACATCTTCGGTTGCTTGAGAGTAGTTCTCCAGAATAACAGCAATGTACATGTTAATGACGATTAAAAAACTAATAACTAGGTACGATAACAAATACGTGATTCCAATTGTTGATGAGCCGCAATTGCCCGGATACCCGCGATCATTATCTGGAGCGTCGCAGTCCTCTTCGTTAATGATTCCATCGAGGACACTGTCCCAGCCGGCTGATGTCGACATCTGCAAGGAATTCTCATTTGCACCTCATCCACAATAGTAATGCTTATTAAGAGAAAAGCTGCTTGAGAATAACTCAAAATGTGTTAAATAATTATTCGCTTTTGTAATTGGGCGGAGCATTCAAAGGGGCATGACTTTCTTTTAGTGTAATTATATTTTGAATACTCAAACAGTTTTCCTCTTTCATTGACATTAATGGCTTGAATTAACACAATTCCTGTCATATTTTGGGAAATGCGTCGCCGTGGCATCGACGATATTGTTACTCACTTGAAATAGCAGAATCATGCTTTGCCCAAAAGTTTTAAAGTTATATACATCGTCCAAGCCACTCTTGTCCTTGCAGTGCATGAAGAAGGACATCCCGAAGATGGCGAAGATGAACATTACGAGGAAAAGTAGCAAGCAAATGTTGAATAAGGCTGGTAGAGACATGGCCAATGCAAAAAGCAGCGTCCTAATCCCTTTGGCGCCCTTCACCAGGCGCAGCACGCGACCCACTTTCGCCACTCGCACCACACGCAGAAGGGTCGGCGAGACAAAATACTTCTCAATAATATCACTTAGTACAAGTCCTGCAAGTAGTGAGACAAATTATCAATTTAGACAAAGACTAGGAACAGATTACCTCCCGATAACACACAGAACATCACTTTCTAAACATTGATCCACTGAACAACTTTTCATCTGTACACATTGAATTCTTCAAATCAAATTAACAAATATATCATTAAATCAGGAGAAACACACGATTAAGGGTAAATCAGGGGTTAAACTTCTGCCAAGGAACATGGTTCTGGGCAACATGTGACTAATTCATTGTTGTATTTGTGATATTGTGTTATCATGCATATTTGTTGCGAGATGTATCGCTAGAGTGTCATGTAATCACATCTTGGACTAAAAACTACAACAAACCGTAATGATGATATCATGCTGAAATGCAGTAAGTGTTTCTCTCAAAACCATAAAACAGTGAAATATCATGCATAAAAGTGTGTTTTTCTATGTTTATCACATATGTGTCACTGTAAAATCTCTCTAGAAGAGTGCAAACGTATCACTTGCCATCTAAAAACCAACTGAAAACCGTGTAGTGTAGTTATTGTAGAATATTTGAAAGATATTCAAAAATTTTGACTAATTGATGATTGAAATAGGATAAAAATAGAATGAAATCGTGATAAAGATTTCTTGCATGTTGATTTCTTTAGCCACATGAGGTCAAGAACAGATGTTTTTTGTCAGATTTCATTAAACATAAAACATCGAAACATCTTACACCACAACATAAATACAACGGTTTCTCATCAATCCATCCATATGTACGATCTGAGACCAGAGCCTAATAGCAATTCAATTCCCCAGCAAAGCTGTCTTGCTCTCCTGCACTCACTTTACGCAAAATTGCAACTTTGAATGGCCATATAGCAAGAAAAGAGGTTTCGGATGCGTCAGGAGGACACAAGAGAACTTGCTGAGTGGAATAGAATCACATGAAAGGCCGGACTTTACCTAATATAGATAGAATGACGACTACAAAATCGAATAAATTCCACGGCTCCACGAAATAATGGTAACGTAATGCGAAAATCTTCAACAAGCATTCGCTTGTAAATATGACTATGAAGATCATATTGAGGAAGTCCAGCGTCTTGCTGAACGTCTCCGTTTGCTGATAGTGATCCATAGTCATGGTGAGCATATTCAGTCCGATAAACAGCATGATGAACATGTCGAACTTCTTGTCCGTCACTATCTCGAACACAATCGCTTGTGGTCGCCACTGAAAGACAAAGATCACCAATCAACGATGCATTTTTTCTAGCTTTCGCTGAACTAGACAAACCCTTGGTCGAGGTATGGCTTTCAGTGGCTTCTTGGAGCCCATCTTCTTCATCGCATTGTAGTACTTCTTCTGATCTTCCGTCATGAACATCTCAAGTGATCCGCCGGCCTTTTTCTTCTGCTCATTGAAGTTGTCAATGATCACACCAATGAACAGGTTGAGCGTGAAAAACGATCCGAAGATTATGAAGAACACAAAGTACAAATACATGTAGATGTTGGTCTCACGAATCGGTTGTTTGCCAATCTATAAATATCCATCCGCGAAGACACATCCATTATTAAAGCACTATTGATTTCCCACGCAATACTGCAATTACCTCGCGAGAGTCAATGGCGTCATTCATGATCTGGATCCAGCCCTTGAAGGTGGCCACTTGGAATAGACACAGATACGCTTTTCCCACATGATCGAAGTTCATCCTGGAATTCTCCCATGTGTAATTCTCGGCTTTGCAAGCATTCACATCGGGGATTATTTCATGGCTAAGGGTTGTCTTATTTACATCAACACACTGAAAAGAGAAGAAGCAAAATCACATGTTGGAGTCATTTTAAACCTCGTGAAATCAATACTTACTTTAAAATATTTGCCAGCGAATAATTGGACTCCCATAATTGCAAAAATTAGCCAAAATATTAGACACACTAACAGTACGTTGAAGATGGACGGAATAGCTTGTACTAATGCATTGACGACAACCTGTTGGATTAATGGAGACCATTAGTAATCTCATGGGCAATAAATTGGAATTTGTGTAGTCGAAATATTTATGCTAATCCCTCAGTGGCATTTTTCCCAGTAAAATCCACATGCGCCAAGAAAATTCCACTGAGGGCAATTGATACGCAACCACGGTCATGCCACATCAATGGAAGAACATGAATTTACCTGCACTTATGTACTGGCAAAGGTGGATAAATGATAGTTACAACCAACACCAATTGAATGCAGTTACAATCAAGCCGAACGAAGTGCAAATAAACGAATAAAGATATAAATAAAACGTGTCTGAAGAAGCTAAAATAAAATACTCATTAATGCAAATATACAATCCTCAATTTCGTCCAATAAATCACTAGAGATCATCCCTAAGGGAAGGATAACGATAAGTAATGTAAAATAATTTTTGTCAACTAATAGCGAAAGCTAAGATATAATTTTTCTATTCAGTCAAATTCAAGGATGGTGCAGAAAGAAACTAACTCTAGGAAGAATGTCCAGAAAATAAAGTATATTGTAACTATCAAGGGCAGCCCCACTAAGACTGACTAACAAAATCCATATGACAATAATAAAAAAACATATCCTTCTAATGAGAATAAAATGGAAATAATGGAAGACATCAGCCTCTGGTTGAACTTTTAGAGATCTTGCTTGGTTGGATTGGTTTGTACATACCCTCATGCCCTGCATTCGGGACATGGCACGGAGTGGTCTCAGAGCTCTCAGTGTGCGCATAGTTTTGAAGGCTTGAATACCACCTGCGCCACAAAGTGAAGCCACAAAGTTGATAAGCGACACCTAAAGTTAGAATTTACAGAACAAAATCGTCTTGTAATTTCATCATACACTCTCGATGCTGCTTCGCACTGAAATTCGAGTCATTTAGCCTATACTCCTCATCTGTCTCTTCCCCCCCCTTTGAGAGGCTGTGTGGGTCCTGGATTGTGTGTATCCTTCGTGAGATGCTCTACCTAAGCAATCTTGCGCTCAATCTACATCTACAATCTAGCCAAGATCGCCCTAAAACTACTCTTGCTCTCTAAGTCCTGCCATGATTTCTAATCCTATGTCACTATCGTTCTCATTGTCCAACACACAACACTTAAGATTAGTTATGTTTTCACACAAAGGCGGCGAATATTGAATTTACATAGCGATAGTTGGTTAGTAGCCACAGTCAGGTTGATTAGAGATACACCGATCAACATCGACTTCCAAATATTACACATCAGTTTTACTCACATCGATCAAGAGTTAGTATGTACAGAAAAAGAAAAAGATAAAAACCAAAGATATATATAGACAAAACCAAAAAGATATCCACTGCTTTCGCTCAGAATATATAATCAATATTGAGAAAAAAAGATGATTATATATTGAGTAATTAGTTTCACAATAGACAGTGCCTAATAGAAAGAAAAAAGCTCAAAGATTCCCACTTGTTGGATTCACGTTACTTACTCGCATACCCTCCCATCTAGACACTGCACGCAGTGGTCGAAGAGCCCTTAAAGTTCGCATTGATCTAAATGCAGGTATATCAGCGGCCCCAAACCAGATGGCACCCAAATTAATTAACGATAACTAAATAATTGTAAATTGTCATTAATAAGAAATTCATCAATACGGCAAAAAAGACAAGATACACAAAGACAAAATTCAAATATATATATATATATAAATATCTTGAGAAAAAGGATACAGACAAAAATCATCACACAAAAAAGTCACAAATCTTCTTCAAAGTCTCCTCCAAAAAATAACATACTAAACTCTCAATCATCGGAAACCATTGGAAAATGACACAAATCAATTAGGACAACATGGAAAAGATCTCATTCAACTATTCAGCCAAATTCACCACCTCATTCAATCATCTTTGATCAACACTTAGAGTGAATACTCTATAATTAAAGATTGTGTGAACAGTGCTTTGATTAATCTTATCTCAAATTTTTGTGTCTTTTCTTGAAGGGTTTTTCTGTAAGTGTTCCTAACGAGACTTTATCTCCTCATCTCAAGATTAATTATATGTTGTAAGAGAGAGATAGAGAGAGAGAAATGTATGCATAATCACATATTGTTCTGAGAGACAACTTACCATGACAATAATGAAATCGAGCCAACACCATGCGTTTGTGAAATAAACCTTAAAACCAAGCGCTAACCATTTGATTAACATCTCAAGAAAAAATATTACGGTGAATATTCTGTCCATATAATACAGGATATCTTGTAAAATTGGTCTTGATGGCAAATGCACATCTTCGAGAGCCTGAAACAGTACCAAATAGTTATCATTAACTCACATTTCAATTGATTCATTGAGCAATTTGACACTCACCAAAGCTAAACTACTTAGCAAAATCATTGTTATAACAGCGGTTTCGAAATATTTATTCTCAATGAGCTGAAACGTCTTCAGTCTCAAGTTTGCCCATCCTTGCCAAAAGGGTGAATCGTCATCACCAGCGAGGAAGGGGAATTTCTTGTAACACGGATCTGGACAGCAATCCGCTGGGGATTCATCAAGAATCGCATCTTCGTCTTGTATTACTATATCATCGTCTAGTGGTCCTTCTTCACCTTCGCCCTCCTCATCTGCAATAGCCATATAAATACATTATCAGAGGTCCGCCCATTTGTATGGGAGATTCCAACCTTCGTCTAAGCCTAGATCTTCTTTGCTAACGTCGCGCTTTTCCTCGCCCTCCATCGTTTCGGCACTTCCTTTGTGGCTCTCATCCTTGAATGGTCTGTTCTTGTGACTCCCGTATGACTTGATACTCGCCGTATCGTCATCTTGAAGGGACAATCCTCTATAGTTCAATTCGTGCTCTAATTTATTATCTTGATGAAGTATCGAATTACCAATGATCTGCAAGAGAAGAAAAAATATCAGCAATTCCATGACTTAAAAAATCGACAAATTTCTCACTCACATTTGTGCTATTTGCTAAGGCTTTTGACTTTTTGGATTTGCTATTCTTGAGATCACCATGAATCGTGAACTCCATTCCATCGCCGATGGCCACCTCGAGTTGATTGTGCTCCTTCACGCCCTTCTTGATCATCCCGTCTGGCAGATCGTCGAGCGTCAATTCAAACTCTTTATCACCATGTTCTGCAGACATACAACGACATACCCCCTTGCCTACCGTTTCACATTGGCAAAACAGGATAACCAAAGGGGTATCAATTTAAAAGATTCATATTGAGGACTAATTTTGAAAGTATCGTATCTGATTCATCTGTGGTGTGTGTACATCTATGGTTACACATGTTGGAACACTGATCGACAACCACAACACGACACGACGATTACAAACATTCAATAGGCAGCTAAGGAAAATTTTCAATTTCAACAGTTATTCTTTTAAATAAATACACACATCTTTTCTCTGTTTTGCTCTTTTTGAGGGAGAAAAGCAATTATTTTTCACATAAAACACTCATCTCAATAATAATTGCTTCATCATTTTATCAATTGGCCGATCATATTGCTTTTCCCCTCAATATTTGTGTGACACATAATAAATCCACATATAATACCAATAAATAAATACTTTACAGCTACTTATGAATGTAGAAAGGCTCTTTCGAGACAAAATGGCGGAGGGCGTCTCGCATGGGGCGCGCTTTTGTCCCTTGGCCAGAACAAAACCAGGCGTAAACATACACATGAACGAAACAATTAACATTTCTCATCTTGTCGCATTTCAATAGGAAAGAACAAATCAAAAGTGAAGACTTTTTACCTCAAAAAAGATCAACTGAAAATTTATCAGTCACATTTGATGCAATTTGCGGCCTTGTATCTAATCAAATCTTATACAATTATCATCCAATAGGTGTACAATTACAATCACATTTATGTCTAATAACAAGCCATAAGAAATAAGGATACGAAAATAGTCCTGATTCATGCCAATTCTACTGAAGAAAGAGAGTTTTGCTTCAAAACACTATATTTTCAACAGTTTATTTTACATCCAATGGCAAACGATAGTGAATAAAACTCAAATCAGTGTCATTTCTCAAATGATCCCTTAAGAATCCTTTGAGAACGTCAAATGAACAAAACTCAAAGCGGACACATAGGAAAATTTTTGCACTTTAGAACTGGAAAATAATAGTGTTGAAAAAATTTGAAAGGCTGCAACTGAGAGATACGCAAAAGGAAAGATAATTTTTGAAAAGGTATCATTTTGAATGGTAGAAAACATGTATAAATTTTGGAATAATCACATTGAATTAAATTTGGAGAAGGGTCTAATCCACTTTAATCTTTTCTCTTGTTTATGCTAATCCTCACACTCGACATATAAATGTTCATATTTATATGTATAAGGTGACATACAGGAAGTTGATATTGTAATAATAGTAATGAAACAATATAAACTACACACTCCATAAACATATAACACTCTATTGTAATGGATTTAAGAACACATTTTGTGGTGATTATAAATCAATGAATATCAATCAACAAAATTCATTTATGAGTTAAATTATAGCTTAAAATGTTCAATAATAACATAAATTCTCGTATTAAGTAGATGAACGCAAGTGGTGTTAATGGATTTGTAAATAAATAGTGGCTTTAAACAAAATTATATGCGCTAAATCCATTACATTGAGCTCTATTATATGCAAATGTATGATGTTTCTTTCAGTGACAGTAAACGATTAAAAAGTTTCTAACAAATAAGATGAAGATATAGATTTTTTCAAAATCAACATTTCTGTTCAACAAATATTATCTCGTCAATTGAAATTCTACTTGTATACAAATCCCTAAAGAAGCCATCATACTTCATTCAATGGAAAGTTACACGAAAATAATGTAATCTATTGAGATATCAAATGAAAGGATGACGTAAACACAAGTATAGTAACGAAATTTGGACAAAAAACGATTAAAAAAGGAGAAAAATCATTAATTATTCTTGCTCTTCATCACTTAATGTAAATTCTCTGTTACTAAAACACATCGTTACAATGAGACATCAACACTGAATTCGTGTGAATTTGAAGAGATTATTAGTAATATGTAAAAGTGGATAAAAACCTTCTTTCCAAATCCAATTGCAGGGCCGCTCACCTGATGCCTGATCGGAGATTTGATTAGTTAATTTGTTTCTCACGTATTTAAGTGCGTTGGCTATGTTCCTCTTGATCCAGTTGATAAAGCGCGATATGCGATTGAATGCCTCGGCTATTTTGTTCGTATCATTGTCTGCAGTTGGTGCTGATAGACTTGATGATCCGAAATTGCTCAAAAGCAAGGCTAAGAAGAGATTGAGAACCTAGAAGAGGGTCATCAAACAGATATTCATTAGTTCACTCTTGCCATCACCGCAAAACACCACAACACAACATTCAATCGATGCTCTGTGGGCAGCCTCGCAAACCACCCACTCGTCAGTGGGCATGCCTTCCACCCTCGTCCATAGTCACTGTGTGTTGAAAATCATATTCAGTTTCATATACTCACGACTAAATTCCCAATTACTACTGTTGCCAAGAAGAAAGGAATGCATGACACATCTCCCACCAGCATGCAATCCCACATTGACTCAATCCACTCGCCGCACAGCACACGGAACACTATCATGAATGAATGCATGAAATCCGTGAAATTCCACCGAGGCATTTCACCGTCTGGGAAGCGATCCATGTTATCTGGAAAATACCGAGCGCAACATCAATATCATTCAAATATTCATCCTAATAACTCCCCCCTGAACATTTTCCCCACCCACAATCGCATACATCGCCAAACTGATTAATTAATTTATCCTCAAACCATTCTTCAATTTCCCATCCACACAACTTTTTCTCCACGCAGACTTGTCGCATAGTGGCTATATTTAGCATTTCGTACAGCGCGCGACTTAGCTTTCAAAAAATTTTCATGGTAAAATGCAGAAAGCTGTAGCGATTTACTTAGGAAAAATATTTGCCAATCATTCTGATTGTACATAAGGTCAAAATGGAACAAACTCAGAATGATTGTAATTAAAAGCAAAAATCTGAAAAGGACATTTTGCAAATGGTAAAAGTATTTTACTCATAAATTAGAGTACTTTTTTTTAACAGTGGCGCAGTATCACAGAAACTAAAAAGCTGTTATAAGCTCCACCCAATCATATGACCCGCCTCCAAGTCTCTGGGTGAGGCAAACTTCTGCATATACTGCGTCACGGATCTTCAAAAGCCAATAACCCTTTAAAACAGAGTTCAAAAGGTTCAATTACACACTCATCAATCTTTGTCCCTGATTTCTGTGTCAGTAAAAAAGAGGAAAAAGTGGTGAAAATTCAAAACAAAAATACATGTACAAGAGTTAGAAAAGGCTGTGCGAGGAGAGAAGAGTAATAGAAAAAATGCGTATAGAAGTTATTAATGAAAAATAAAGAGATTACTCACGAAAGAAAGTACTTACAAATGTATTTAATCTATTTACCATCATCTACATAAAATATTGTGTTTTTCTCGCTTAGTTCTTCTTTATTTTTATTGTACCCTCTGTTCACACTCCCATGTGGAATATCATATTGTGTGTATAGACATTTTATACTCATTCACTACGTACACGGCGCCCATTTAGAATGTGACCTTCCCACCCGCCCAACCGACCAATAATTTAGCAAATAAAACTCTCCTTTCCCGCGGCAACTCGCACTGAACGCCACAGCGAGTGTGAGAAGGATGTGAACATGGCAGAGTACAAACAACACACACTCTATTAAGGCAAAAGAGGGACAATTAACAGTGAAATTCTACTGAAACCAATTATACATATAGAGTGTGTGCTTTTTTGCCCTTTTTTCCACACTCTTTATGTTTCTCTACATCTACACACACACATAGACTGCATTTATTAATTCACTTACCCACGTAATTCTTTCCAAACAACTGCATCCCCATTACGGCAAATATGAAGATTATAATGCACAATACAAATGTTAGATTACCCAAGGCCCCCATCGTTCGGCCCATTATAGATATCAGCAAATTTAACGTTGGCCATGATTTGGCTAGCTTAAACACTCGGAGCTACAAGAAGTGATAAGAGTACATGTTTATCATCATAAGAGAAGAGGATATGATGTTTGTTTGTGTGGATGATGTTGTGTTTTCCTCCCTGCTTTTCAGATCAAATCTCCCACTGCCACTGGAAAAACTACGCGCGCGTTTGTTTGCCTGGACTTTCATCGCTTTGTTGTGTGCGCCACATATGTTTTCACAAACACAAACCCCTGAGAAACATCCCCATTAATAATGACTTACCTACCTTCACCGTAAGTTCTCACATAATTTTTCACCAAAGCATTTTTCGGTCAAAGTTTCAAGAGAAGCGAAATGTATACATTATATTGCATGTGAGAATATCAGCTTTTAAGACAAAATACTTTATGGCTTTTGCTTGAGTGGGTAAAGTGTACAAAAAATACATGTTATATATATATATAAAGAAGTTTTCGAGGTAGGAAAGCAAAAATATTTCATACAGCTAAAAAGAAAAGCTCCTTTCCCTTATCATGTTTTCTCCACCCCAAAATGTAAAAGAGAAAAGACACGGAAAAATGCTTAGAGATTTCTCAGAAAACTTCCACTCTACCTGTGTAGTTCTTTCCAAACAATTGCATCCCCATCACGGCAAATATGAAGATGATAATACATAATACGAATGTTAAGTTGCCTAAAGCACCGACAGTGCGACCCATTATAGAAATCAGTAAGTTAAGTGTTGGCCACGATTTGGCCAGCTTAAACACTCGCAACTGCAATCAAAAAACCCCCATTAGAACATCTCAATCAAAATCTAATGAATAGAATTTCAGCTTTCCAATGGACATCAATTTCTATGCAATTTGATCGTCAATTAGGGAGAAAGTCTATGTGATATTGATAGAGCTGGAGATTGAAGAGTTTCACTTGGTTAAACAGTATATCGTTTCTTCTTGTGTGAAAAGCAGAGAGTAAATTAGGGAGATTCTTACCAAACGAAACGATCGTAACACAGACAAGCCTTGAACACCTTCAAGTCCAAGTTCCAAAAGTGATAATGCTACGATTATAAAGTCGAAAATGTTCCATCCTTCTTGGAAGTAAAACTTCGGACTCATGGCAATTAGCTTAAGTGTGGCTTCTATTGCGAATGTTGCAGTAAAAAACTGTTGAGAGAGAAAGATGAGAAGCGCAGCGTTAGACAGAGATTAGTCGATTATTGCATGAAAAGTGCTGGAAAACTCACATAATTTCCGCTTTTTAACGCCTTCTCCATATCTTTATCCATATCGTGATGATCAAGTGCCATAAATAATGTATTTACAACTATACAGAGTGTGATGAATAGTTCGACGAACGGATCAAACACAAGGAATGCCACCCACTCTTGGAACTTTAACCATGGCCAGCAGCAGTCCCACACGCAGAATATATCGATACCCTTCATTAAACACTCGAGCGCCTTATCTTTAAATGTAGGACCATCTTCATCGTCGTCTGTTGGGAAATAGTACACAGAAACTAAACATATCGAATTAGTGATGTATACTTTAAATCTCTTCTTTTTCAGGGGAAAAAGAGGATCTTTTTTTGCTCTCTGTCTTGTTTTGTGCTTTTATACTGAAATTTTGCTCAAATTCATTCATTCTATCCTTTCCTTTTGATTGTCAATCACACAACAAGCGTCAATATTCATGCAATTCTTTACCATCCTCAAACCTCAATCTCCCACCTTCGAATTCAAATTAGAGATTTATACTTATGTACACAACGAAATTGAATGAATATCAATTGTATACCTCCGTGGTCACTAACTCTGCTGTGTCTTCCTGCAGCTTGTTCGATGATGTCGTTTAGTACCATCACATCTATTTGCGGAGGCGCGCGCGGTAGACGAAAGAAGGACAATTAGTGGTAATTCACTTACAAAATGCCCCCCACGAAATATTTTATTACCTTTCATATCAACTACTGTTTGTGGTTGCGAAGGTTCTATAAATGGATTGTCATGGCTTTTGCCCTTAAGCGCCTCATCCGTGAAGTCTGTTGGAACTTCCTACAAATTTCCAAAGTTATTTCATTAGTGATTAACTTTGTAGCGTGAATGAGGCGTTAGCGAGTGGGTGGATATCATATTAAATCAGTAGAAGGCAAAATAGTTACTAAGTAGGTACACAAAAACAAACACACAGAGAGAAAGAGACTGAAAAGAGTCCAAAAAATACGCAGATACATTATTATTAGATGTGAGAGAGCTTGAGAAAAGGAGAAATAAGGAGAACTTGAGCCCAAAAACAAGAAGAAAAATGATAATAAAACCGATTATGAGTGAGAAGATGAGGCGTAATCCTACTTGCACTTACAAATTCTCTGTGATTCTTATGATTTGTATCTATATGTACACCAGTGACACCCAGTGGAGGCATACAGTGGCTCATGTTCCGTGATCTTCCCCTTAAGCGGCTCTCCTTCGTCATGCCTCCCAGCAGGTCGCCGTGCGACGTGTAGGATATACGCGACTGGTGGGACGTATACGAGGAGTGTCTGGACCCGAGATTTGTATAATACACTGGCACAATTATGGCCCCGTTCTCCTCCGACATGGGCGTCACGGCGTTCGAGTCATCGGCATACGGCAGATGTTCCTGAGCATCCAAATACGTGGACAGCACGAGTGGCTTGCGATCATTGCCAGGTATAACAAAGCGCCCGCGTCCACTGCGTATGGTGAACTGTTTGAGAAGCATCTTACATTATATTATTAAAATAACGAATATTCATCACACGTGTCTGTGTCATCAATTTGATAACAATACCTGATGCGATCCGCGCGATCCCCGCCGCAAGTTGAAGGGCGATCCGGGAAGGGAAAGGGATGCCTGTTGAGGAGGCACAAAACGAAAGACACCCGTGAGAGATGACTTGTCAATTACTCGAATCCCCCTCTTGATATCGAGAATATATCCAATCAAACCCCAATCAAACCCACTGATATATTCCAGGTAGCAATTGAAGGATTCACAGCTTAAGGAAAAGCTTTATACATACATTCACTACACTACTCTCAATGGTTGTGATTTGTGGATGCAGTGGCGTAGTGAGCACGGCTCCGGAAATCTCTCACTCAACACTAGAACATCCGCAATTGGCAATTCTCCGTCCATTAAATTTCGACTACTTGGCCAATTTGGCACTCGTTATATTCGTAAATAAACGAGAAATCACAACAAAAATACGGTCCAAATACTCAAATTTCAAATGTTAGAGCAAAAAATTCGGATTCGTGGATTTAAAGTCAAATAACGTCGTTCTAGTGTCAAGAATCGATTTGTCCTTCTACGCCACTGTCGTGATGATCAACTACCGCTAGAGATAATCCTTGATGTGCGGCCTATGGAATACTTCTAACGCCTTAAGACTAACTTACCGCGCTTACTTTTCGCACCTTGGCACTTGCAGTGCCGGCAGCGACGCCTGACGGAGCGGAAGGCCTCGTTATTTCGCTGAGGGACTCTAAACCTTCACTCCTGATGGACATCTTCTCCTTGTTGTTGTCATCGTTGCCCTTCTCCTGGCCCACGAACAGCTCATAGCTGTGGCACGAGAAGTCGGATGGACTCTTGGCCATGTGTTCAGCCGCCTCGGCAGCCTCTGCCGCGGCCGCAGCCGCATTCGCCCTCTCTTCGAGCTTCGCCTGCTTCGCAGCTGCCGCCTCTTCCGCTTCCTGCAGGAGAGCCAGAAAGAACACAGATTACATCTGTGGCAATCGCGCCAAGGCTCTGTCGGCCACTCAGACACCAATGGCGATTGCACAAGGAGAATTATGTCTCTCTGACAAAAGCATTTCTGCGTGATAGCACATTAAGGACACTGTACTCCATATACAACATATCACACAAAACCCCTTCCATTCGGTCGAGAGCCAACACGAAGGAAGTGAGGAAGAAACAACAATATTTATGGAAAAATCGAAGCCTTACTCTCATTGCTTCTTCCTCCGCTGCTTCTTCTTCTTCTGCCTTCTTCTGGAGTTCATCATACGACATGGCTACAATGGCCAAGATCAAATTAACTAGGTAAAATGAACCCAAGAAGATGATTACGATGAAGAAAAGCATATGCCATGGGCCAGCCGAGCGTAGAACCTACAAAACAGGACATTTCCGTTTTCCCACGATGCGCGGCAGCAAGAAAGAAAGAAAGGACGTTGAATTAGTTATTTGTGGAGCCTTGAAGTGAGCATATATATATATATGGAACAAATTTCTATACTTGTTGATATAAATTCTCCCAAAAATCTTGGGTCATTAATCGAAAGGCAGATAAAAAAGCCCAACCGAACGTATCAAAACTCGTGTATCCATAGTCGGGATTTCCACCGTATCCTTGTAGGCAGAAAAATCCCTCGTCACATTGCCTTATATTGTTGAACATCGCAGTCGCAGTTGCGTGGGTTTTTTTTGGGGGGAGAGAGAGAAAATAAAATGTTTGTAGTCAATAAAATTGACTCCTTCTGCGCTCAGTACTGAAACATGCAAAAGAATTTAATCATCTCACCCAGCTCCCGAAGAATTTCCACACAGTGGCATATCTCCATCCTCTGTCCTGTACCAGTTTGCTTTTGGGGGTGAAATGAAAAAGAGACACACGAAAGTGAGCACACAAGTTGTGCCATTACAAATGGAAAATGGACTCTGTGACTCACTTTCATTCTTGTAGAATCGATCCCAATTCTCATCAGTGATATTGCCCCACGATCCATCGGTTGGAAATATCCTAACACACTTTTGCGATAAAACACCCATGTAGATTTGTAAGCCCATGAGCGCGAACACAGATAACGAAAACATTGTCAAAATAATTACATCCCGGAGATTCTTCACAGATTCAATCACGGCGCCAACGATGGTTTTCAGTCCTGCGGGCAGAATTAGGAGAAAGAAGTGCGATTAAGGGGTACAATTAATAGGTAATTGACTTGTAAAATGGCTGTACCTGGAACAATTGCTACCGTTTTCAGAGCTCGAAGCACACGAAATGTTCTTAGAGCAGCGAGATTACCCAAATCTATTCCCATTGTCACATAACTGTATAACAATACATAAAAATACTATGTTGAAAACAATTACTAAGAAAGAAATATATTACTAAATGTACTACTTAGGTATACTAAATCACTACAGTATTCTAACTTAAAATTAAAGACCTGTAATCTCACAATTTCATTATATTCTTAGCTTTCAACTGTTTGTATCAATCTTCTTGGAAGGACAAGCCAACAAAACTTTTGAAAAAAGCTTCTCAGAAATTATATCACTTTTTACTTGCAAAAGGTTCAACTTTAGAGAATAAAGCATTAGGGGATGAAATCGATTCATTTTATTGTAATACTCTTGCAAGTACTTATAAAGGCGAAAGTTCAAATTGCATCATATCATCTGCTCAGAAGATACATTATTCAATACTCAATTGGGTTAATTTACTTTCAATTTCCGTTGGCGGCAAAAAATCAATACCACTGATTGAATATTGATGCTACTGCTGCACTTCTCTCAATAGCACCACATAATGCCATAAGCCGAAGTGCACCCATCAACATTCTATTAGTGGAACCATGTTTTCTAGTCACAGATTCAAGAAAATAGATGATTTTTAAATCTAGGAATTATTCTAAATCTGACAGTTTTTAATAAAAGTCAAAAAATTGACCACTACAACTTTAGAGTCTAGACTAGAGAATGGGGAAAATTTTATCACTTTTGACATCATAGAGTCCTCAGATTAGAGTTCTACCGTTCACCTGCAATTCTAATTTACCACTGATTAATTCAGAATCACTGTAAACACAAAAATCAATAGAAGAACAATTTAAATGGGCAAAAACAAGTGTTTTTAATTCATATCAGACTGTCATTCTCTGACTTGAGCTCTCTATGACGCTGATTATACTAAATCTGAACAAATATCTCTGTCGCCTATCCTATTTTAAGAATCTAGCTAATTATGTTAAGCTAGGTATTATTATTAGTATCTAAGTAAGAGTTGATTATTAAAGAACTCACGCTAAAGCTATTACTACGAAGTCCAGCCAATTCCATGCATCTCTAAGATACGTAAACGGGCATAAAATGAAACCTCGTGCCATCACTTTAACTGCCGATTCAAATGTGTAGATTCCAGTAAATATTACCCTAAAAAGTAAGGTCAAATTGTATAGGAAATACAGCTTGTTCATATTTCAGCACATGAAACAACAAATTGATCAATTTTCCTCCCACTCGGTGACAAAATAATACACTTATTTGTCTCTTAACACACCAATGAAATCAAACCCATGGAGAGGAGTGAAAAAATAATTCACATCTGAAAGTCAAGGTCATCATTTTCCATCGATTGGGAAAAATGCTCCATGACGTCATCGCTATTAAAGACTTCGATACGCGATTCAAGTGGAATTTCCCTCAAATTTTCATCCTGATGGCCATTTAAGGAACGAAAAAAGCACCATAGTTTATCTCAGTGTCATGAGGACAGGGAGAAAAAGCTCCAAATGTTCCACACACAAAAATATAATTACGATTACGGGGAGCTGGACTTCAAACAAAGATGATCCTTAATTCCACAAAAAGAAAACATATGGCTCTCCTCTCTTTATCTACCCAAAACTATGTCAAAAAATTACAACGAATGTTTTGTTTAGTTCTCTTTTTGTGCTACAAGAAAAAAGTATATATGAATATTTCATTAAATAGCAATGGAAAAGTGACTCTATATTCTGTGAATACCTAATACGGAAAAAGTGGGTGGGACGAGTGTGTTTTTTTCCATTATATGGATAAAGCTAGGACACTAGAATTGATAAATTTCACCACGAATGTTGAAGAATGGGAAAGTGTGACGGAGGAGAGGGAAACACGAGTCTTCTGCGTGTCAATAATTGCAATAGCGAAACAAACCCCTGCTCAGTGGCAATAGAAAACCCACCCGAACCACCCGCTGCCGCCCCTTAGGCAATGATCTATTCAATTTTCAAGAGATACTAATATTAGCAACATATTGCAAGAGTTGACACAGAAGAAGGGGCAAAAAGAGAGCATCATTATGGAGGAAAATAACAGGGGAATGGGATTCCGGATGGAGTGACAAAAATGGAAAGAGAAGTGGGAAAGTGTGGGATAAAATATAGGTGAATATTCCACTCCTTCTAATGATATCAAATAACATGGGACATTCTGAGACTTACTCTGTTGATTCGACAGTTGGCGTTGTTGGCATTATCATGAGGACGCAATTTAATAAAATTGTTGTGATGATGAAGAGGGAGAAAAGTGGATGCACTAGTATATAAATTGCAACACGGCGAATTGGATTGAAGGGATCGAGAAGCCATAATGCCTTTGATGCTGAAAATCGAAATATATCCTTGCCTTTGCTAACCACTACGAATGTCTGCAAAGAGAGGCAAAAAAACAGTGAGAAGAGCGGCTGGAGTTCGCACATGTTGTGTTGTACTCACCAATTGATTTGAGTAGAAACTGTCAATATCCTCGAGAGGGGTGGAGGCCAATTCCGGAGGGAAGCTTCCCTGCATTCGAACAGGTATTGGAACGCCCTGTTCGAGTGTGGGATCCGGTTGTGGACCCTCATCCTCATCCTCGTCGTCATATCGAATCTACAGTCGCATTTTTCCACGCGCGGCGCCGGAAAAGCACGAAGACAGAGGGAGAGAAAAAGAGAGGAAAGAGGAGCAAATTAGCATTCTTATCAATTAAATTGATTAATTAAATGTTTGAAACAAGAGTTTCATTTTAATTGTGGACGCCAAATAATGTAATTTCCATTATAATCCCATATTCTCAAACCAAATAACACTCTGGGGACACACAGCCAGTGCGCATTGAGACCTTTTCCATTCAATTTAATTAACTTTCGAATATGTGTTGCTCAATTTTTATCAGGAATTTCTTTCACCACAATTAAAATTTCACTCATAGTTGAAAACTTTGCGCTTCATTTGCAAAAACAAAAAAATATATGTTACAAAATGGGTGAAAAAGACTCTCATATAAAACTGAGGAGAAAAATTCACTAAGATAGATGCTCTATAAAAAGTGTGTGTCTCTCAAAAGTTTTCCTACTCGCTTATTTTTTTCGAAGCCTTTCAATGGAAATTCCTGCAAAAATGTCACCAATTTTGCCTTTATGCCAACTCAATTCTTTCATTTTCGCAAATTTTTCTTACATATTGAATAGAGGAATTTCAATTTTCATAAGTGCACATATTTCACATTGAATATCTTGTGTGTGTATTATATTTTCCTGTGAAAATTCGCATGTGACTGGCAGTGAGCAGAAAAGTGTATAGCGATAAAAGATATCTCTAAATAGGAGGTTTTTACAGGTAGAGAAAAAAAACAGAAAGGACAAAAAGTGCCAAGCATTTTGTATACATTCTATTGCGCCTTCGCGGGGAAGAAAAAGTACCTTTTTATCGCAATTTCACTCACTCACTCTCTCTCTCTCTCATTCTTGCCTAGAAAACATATACACTTTGTCGTATATTTTGTATGTTTTTTTTCCAAACAGAGACCAAGAGAGAGGGCGAGACAGAGAAGTCATTCATAACGGACAGCAGCACTACATATACTAAATGTCATGTCAGCATTCATAAAGATTACAGCTTCAAATTGCTTAATCCCCTTATTTACCATGGAAATGTCTAAATTTCATGAAGCAAGTCGCTATTAAAAACATTACTTGACGTACAAATTCCACCCACAACCAATTTTTCTCTCACTCTCACTTTTACTTTGCACTCTAACTCAAACTTTCATCACCAATTCACATAGTTTTGCTGGAACTTTACAGCTTTCGTGGAATTACAACTGAAAAGTAACGCCTATTCATGGGAAACTTCAGAACATTCGGCATCACCTTTTCATTCGGGAAACCCAAGGGAGTCTGATTAAATGCAACAAGTAAATCACTGGGTTCGTTAAGTAATATCCACATGGACAAAACATCTGAGCTTTCCATGGTGAATCAAGCTTCTAAAGATTTTCCTGCTCAGTGAACATCACTCAATAAATATTCATTCTCATGCCCAAGACTCGCCAATGTTCCACGAAATAACAATTCCAATGCTAAACACCCCAAAATGTTCTATTTTTTTATCAATGAAACGACAAGAAAATGTCAAGCGATCGATCATTTAGATACGATTTATTCCAGGAAAATCCCATTGATTACGCGATAATGGCTAATTCATATCGTAAAACACGCTGTGCTATCCTTTCCATCAAATTAAAACTGTCTTCTCGTGATGAATTAAATGGTGCGCACACTTCTCCAATTACATCTCCATCACCAATTTGGATTCTCTCTATAATACCAAGTTTATATTATCACTTCCCTGGGAAATGTCAATGGCCTCAATTAATTATCCAAATTGAGTGTAAATTTGCTGTGCTCAAAGACAGATAATTGCATTGATATCTAGATTTTTAATTGTATATATATGTATAGCTTTAATTCAGTGAAAAGGCAGCCTAAAAAGCGACTAAATATAATCAAACTAATACAAAAACATTGCCTATAGAAGATAATGGGGGAAAATGCCTTTGAAATCCTAGTTGAAAATGGAGTTTCAATTTCATTATTTTGTGTATCGTGGCTTTTGTCGCAATATTTGTACAAATAATTAAAGTAAAAAATTGTCAAAAAATGTGTGGCAAAAAATGGAAGCACATTTCTCAATAGACTGAATAGCTCAGAAATTGTGAAAAGGAAATTTGGTCTTTGTACAACTTTCTCAGTTCGCTGCTTTGACTATCACATTTCAAGCGTTATGTGTGAAATCTGAGAGCCAACAACGCTGGTCAATTTGTTATAATGTCGAGCAATTCAACCTACGCGCCTTTTCTCATCTCTTTATCAGAAAAAAGGTAGAGTATGAAAACAAAACTGCTTGATGGCTTTATTATCTTTTCATCTATTTAGATATTTAAGTTATAAAAAAGGTAAAAAATCGAATGTAATGTATAGTAAAAAATTTGATGTAAATAAAAGAGAATAGAAAAAACTTGTTGTATATTAAGGACATCATCTTACTTCCTTCTGTTTTTTCTTGCGACCATAAACAGGCTGAAATATTCAAATACAACTCTTGTTAGCTTTACACATTAAACCGCGACTGTTCTTTACATGCGAGAATGCATCGATTTTTCTCAATTATACATTGCACTCTAAGTGCAATCCTTTCTCTTTTGTCCCGATTCTTGTCTATTTGCCATGTTCTGCGATTCAATGATTGATGGATTTATGGAATTGGCGAAGTCTTTTCCCAGCGCTCAATGATCCCTTAAAAATTCTGCAAAGTGTACATTTTTTGCAGAAAAACATCGACTTTGGTTGTAAAACAAGGAGACAACAAAATCATAATAATTGAGTGAAAAGAAGTTGTTACACCATCCAATTGGGTTAACAAATGTACATCTGCTCAAGATTATGAGATATACCACGAAAAGAGTGACAATCATCAAAACATAATGAGACACAAATATAACATACGGATGAAAGTGGATGCAAGAGAGAATGGTATGTAAAAATGTTGAAGAGAACACAGGAAAACATATGAAGGAAAACAACTGGAATACATAAATTTTTCTCTCGTTCTCCCAAATGCAAATATACAGAAAAGGAGAAAAAAAAACGAATGAAGTTGAATGATAGAACAGAGAACATTTACAGCAATTCTTATCCGATACAACATTGTTTCATATGAAAGAGAAAAGATATATAGTGGATTTGTTAATGCGGAGGTTTAGAGAAGAAGAGTTCTGCTCCTCCATCGACAGAAATATCAGATTCAGGGAGAAGAGTGTGTTTGTATGACTAAAAGTTATCATATGAGTCACTTACCTCGCCCTCGGCTCTCTTCTTTTCCAACTCCTTTTGCTTTGCAGTCTCCTCTGCAATTCGTGCTTCAATTGCAGCCAATGATTCACGGGTAAAAGGACGGAACAAGCTGCGTTCTTCCTCAGAAGATGAGTTGGAATCTTCAGTCATTGTCTATGCAACCAATTTGGTGATAGCCTCAGAAGCCAAGGCCTGCATTTGGACAAATCACAGACATCAGTGTCGTTCCAATCTATACTTCGCCATCAAATACAACATACTCACATTGGTTTCTATGTCTGTCACATCCGAGACTAGTTTCTTTTCGCAATACTGCTTGGTTAAGGGGAGAATTGATTCTGCAAAGAGGCGGAGAGAGAAAAAGAATTCTCATGTAGGACACTATTTTATATAAAATGATGATAATTTCTGCAGTCACTGAGTGACCCTTTTTTCCGTCTCTCGTGAGCTTTTCCGCACACTATATGGGGCTTTTCTTTCGCCTTCGTCTTCCCATGATCCAAATGAGAAAAGGTGGAGCGGACAATGAATATTTATCCCACAGACTTAGAGATATTTTTTTGTCACTTTAAGTTCACTTCTTTAGATCACGTTAAAAGCAATATTTATTCATTTCTCTCTCTTCATGAAAATTTACCACACATAAAATACCTAAAGTACCCAATAATAGATTAGTTTTCTCCTGAAAATCCTCGGAAATCCTCTTACAACACTTCAAATGATTGTTTTCGGGAAAATGAGAACATAAGCATGTCATAATCCACATTTTAGAATGAAAATTAAGCCTAATGCTTAAGAATATGTAATAAATTGAAAAATTTGGGTCTCTATTCGTTCCTAAGGCTTTTACAAAGATAAAATCAATTTATTTTCAGATGATTCGCCATTGGAATTCCGAACGAGAACAGCGCATATCTCATAATGTTGCTCTTACCACGTGAAATCAATAAAATATCCTGTAAAACCGCTTAATGCATCAGTGATCACACTTTCATCAATAATAAAATTTCCCACAAAGTGATCAATTATACAATATCGATTGTATCTTTATTAATTGCTATGGAAAATTGCCTCTTGATAGAATTTCAGTTGTTATTCGACGTGGAATTTCATGCGTCAGAATTTCCCATTGAAAGGAAATTTAATTGAAAAATTTTTATGAAACAATTCCACTTAAAATTCCATATAATTCCACCCCAACACTGCACACTTTGCGCGTTTCTCTGCGGGGACACTTTCGCATTATCGTGAGGAATACCTTTAAGAGCGCACTTTAAACTCGTCAATTGAACTTCTGACTGTGACTTTGGAGTGATTTTTAATTCAAAATACCAATTTCTTCTCTCTCTCTCGCTGCCTTTATCGTCTAATGTGGGGAATGTTGTGATTGACTGAGGTCGCGTGTGCCAGCCAAGGTCAGTTTCTAGACACTGAGACCACAGTTGGAATCCTCGTCTCACTGGAAAAATTCACTGTGTCCAGAGAGTTTGAGCTTTCCTCCACTCTCATTTCTCCTATCATTTGCACTCCTTTGCGCGTCACGTACTTTCGTACACAGTCTTCACGATGTAATTTTTTCCGAGAACCATCATTACTTATTTATTCACATGCCCGACTATTGGATGCTTCAATATTGAATGGCGCGGGCATTCGGAACTCCGTGTCTTCGTCTGTCCGGAAGACAGCCTGAATGAGACGAGCTTTCAGCCACAAACTTCCCGTGACGCTCCTCTTCTCTTCATTTGGCATTGTCTTTCGCAACACACATTCCATTGCTTTTCCATTCACCACACATTGATTTTTCACACCATACCCGCCAGACTGTCGTGGCGGATTTTCGCCTAGGTTCTCTCTCTCTCTCGCTCTTTGCCTCACGGGAAAACGTCCCAGCACTGACTTCTTCGACTTCTTCGCCAACGTACATTGAATGTGGAAGTGTAAAGCTCAAGAACATAAAGCATTCTGCCAAAGAAAAATCAATACAAGACCATGTTCTGTTCCACTTTTAGTTCTAGCTATGTATATGTAATGTGTATATGTACTTAGCAGTACCTAGAATTCCCGCTCTCTCTCACTCTCCCTCTCACTCTCTCTCTCTCTCTCGAAAGCTCTCTCGTGCGCTCTCATTGGAAAGCCTCTTTCGCGGGCTTAGCGAGAGAATCCAGAGAGCGAATGTCTCTGAAAGGGTGAACTTTCCACCACATTTTCTCCCTGTGTTTTCTTGTCGTTTTCCGCAGCCAAAATCACTGGGTGCTTTTTTCTGCTCGAGGGGCCGAAAGTCACACAGAATCATTTGCATTGAACCACGGAAGAAGAGATAAAGTCATGATTCGGACGCAGAAATGATAACGTGTGAAAAATATTTACTTTCCCAGAAAACCGAGAGCGCGAGGGAGAGGAGAAAAGCTTTGAGAGAGAGAGAGAGGGAGAGTGAGAGAGAGAGGCGAAGTTGAGTTCAATAGATAAGGGTGGGTCACACACCAGAGTGACGACGGAAAAATGTTATGTGTGGCAAAAGAGTCATGAAGAGAAAGAACTACGCCCAATGGAGGAAAATGTATTATTAAAGCCCAGCAGAGATATTATTCACCTCCATCTATTTCTGGCCTATAACTTTATCCCCTCAATCTAATCGATTCACATAGCGCTAGGCTCTCCTCTGTACACCACAGGCCATTGCCTAGGCCAGGAATCGCGCGGTGTATCACTGAAAATCCGCCAGCAGCACCATTTTCCCCGTCAAGATGACTCTGCGAGAAAATTTTCCGCACGACACACACACAGTGGGTTTTCACGCGAAAATCCTTCACACTTTTCACACATCCACCATTGGCGATCTCGCCAGCTTGTCCGCGAAAGCCCAGGAACTGGTTGGGAGGACAGGACAGGATTCAGTGACGAAGGAGTCGACAGTCCGACTTTTTTTGGTTGAGAATATTATGTAATTTAGCGCCCACAGAGAGAGAGTTGGGTTGGAAAAAAGGAGGTTCGAGATGTTGGAAAAGCTCAAAAGTTCGAAAATGGGCCGTTCTGTGTCGCACACACGTACCAATTGAACTGCAGTCCGCAACGAGGAGTCACCGATTGTCGCCCGAGACCCGACCACGAAAGCAAACCTTCAGCTTTCACTCCTCGGGCGCCGTTTTTTGCTCCTCTCCGCACACAGAGGAGCCTTCAATATGCCTTTTGCAGCTCTCCTCTCGCTCACCTCGCGCCGCCCTGTGCCACTCGCCACCTCACAATGCACCCATTTTTTCTGGAGCTTTTCCCCCCTTTTCCTCAGGATTAGACGCGCACACACACACACTATCCCGAAAATATATCTGTCCGACACTTTCCTTCGCGCGCTCCACAAATTGATCCACTACGACGGAGGGCAATAAAACTACGGGTGTGTGGTGTGAAAAGCCTGTATGTGTATATGGATGTGTGTGTGTGTGTGAAAGAGCTTTTTCCAAGGAAGAGTATAATTTATGAGAGAGAATGTCACAAAAAATTTTCCTATCGCTTTTCCACAGCAAATTCAACCCTCTATCAAGAACCAAAACACACAAAAACACTCGTACACTGACACATTATACTGAAAATGAGGTAACTGCACTAATTCTGTAACATTTTGCTCATGAAAATCACAATTAAAAGTATCCTTTTTGCCCTTCTCCGCAATAGAGTCGAACACTTGCTTAGGAGCCTCACGATATACTGAGAGAGCTTTTGCTCGTTGCAAAGCTCACGGGCTTTCCGTTGAGTCCGTGTCTGCAGGTTTCTGCAGAGCGAATCTGCAGTTGGAATGTTTGACAGCTCGTTTCTTCGCATTGTGCATTATTTATCACATTTCACCTGATATTTCACCTCAATCCACCCCAATTTCTCAACCAACGCATAGTGAAAACCACTCATCAGCAGCTGAAGAACAGCATTAACATGTCGGAGAAGAAGAAATTCAAGCGGAGTGTAGGAAAATCTATCTCCAAATACATCACACTATTTCTCATCTGCTTTGTTTACCTTTTGCAGAAGGAGGAAATTGCGAAGGAATTCGACCTTCCGGAGAGGAAAAGCAAGATCGCGACAATCATGAAGCAAGATGGGCAAGCTTACTGCATCTGCAGGTCCTCAGATTGCTCCCGGTTCATGATGTAAGGGTGCTTGTAAGAGAATTTTAACTGCGGAAATTTAACAGTTTCCTCTTTCAGAGGTTGCGATGGATGTGAAGAATGGTACCACGGAGATTGCATTAATATCTCAGAGAAGGAGTCGAAGCACATCAAGCATTACTACTGCCAGCGATGCAGGGACGAGGATCCGACACTCCAAACAGTGTTCCGGGCGATTCCTGCCGTTACAAGCAAGCGTAAGCGGCAAATAACTTTGTTGAATTCCACTCTGAGTCATAATTCCCTCTGCAGATGAGTTTCATGCGGAAGAGCCTCCGAAAGTCGTGCCTAAGAAGCGCGAAAGCACGTCCAAGAGTCACACAAGATGTGGAAACTGTGCTGGATGCAACGCCTCGAAGTGTGGCAGCTGTTCAGCATGTTTGTCCAAGAAATCTCGCTGCGAGAAGAGGATTTGTACAGGACACAAGCAGCCTAAGATTCAGAAATCCAAGTAGATTAACAGAAAACCTTTCTTTTATGATCTGCTAACATTTTCTCTTCTTCAGACATTACGTCTCGCGAAGACGCCACCGATCTGTAACTCCGGAGCCAGCGATCAACCCAGCGCTCGAGGGACCGCGCCAGTGTTACGGCCCAAGTTGCAGAATGACGGCACGTCCTCAGTCTAAGTACTGCTCAGACGATTGCGGTACTAAACTGGCTACCAGTCGGATCTACCAAGTCCTTCCGCAGCGCATTCAGGAGTGGAATCTGAGCCAGTGCCGCGCTGAGGCCATCAATCGGAAGCAACTGGACACCATTCGAGCCAAGCAGGCGACTGTCAGGGCCACTCTCGCAGACCTCGACAAGCGCCACGCTGAACTAGATTTGCTGGTGGAGAGAGCCAAGCGATGCACTCTGGATCCCAAAGCGCTGGACAACAGCGATGCAGAGGACGAGATGTCGATGTACTGCATCACTTGTGGCCACGAAATCCACTCCAAGACGGCAATTCGCCATATGGAGAAGTGCTTTAACAAGTACGAGAGCCAGACCAGCTTCGGTAGCATCTTCAAGACGAGGATCGACGGCGGAAATCCTATGTTCTGTGACTTCTACAATCCGATCAACAAGACTTACTGCAAGCGCCTTCGAGTGCTGTGTCCGGAGCACTGCAAGGATCCCAAAGTCAGCGACACGGACGTCTGCGGCTGTCCGCTGACAAAGAACGTCTTTGAGCTGGCCGGAGAGTTCTGCAGGGCGCCGAAGAAGTCCTGCTTCAAGCATTACGTGTGGGAGAAGATTCGCCGCGCCGAGATTGATTTGGAGCGCGTGCGACAGTGGCTGAAGATGGACGAACTGATGGAGCAGGAGCGTCAAATCCGCACTGCCATGGCGTCCAGGGCTGGAGTACTTGGTCTCATGCTCCATTCCACGTACAATCACGAGATAATGGAGAAACTCATCCCGCAACAGGCGCAACAGAGATAAATATCAGTAGTTCAATAAATTTATTTTAATAGTGACTCATTTGAGGAAGAATATAGGCTCTTTTGCATCATCCAACACGTAATTATCATTCTTGTGGAGTAGCTTAAAGACACCTGTACCAATTCCCGCCGGCATTCCCAGGATGATTCTTTCAGACACGCCATCAATGGAGTCCACTTGACCGTAGTAAGAAGCGTCAAAGAGATGATCGGCTGTCTTCTCAAACTGCAATGACAGGAAGAGATTGAGATGCACAACAAATTGCAAGATTTAGGAAAGTCTTACCGACGCCAGGTTAAAGACAGACTCTCGCATCTTTGCCAGACCGTGCCTGGTGATGCCCAGCACTTCTCCTCTGCTGGTCATTTGGCTGGCCAGCAGCATTATATGTCGACTGTCCACGCTCATGCCATGTCCACTCATCACACTGTCAATCTCCGTCATGATTGTCGTGCGGGCAGCTTCGATACCTAGCGTGCTGAACACTTCCCAGATATTGTTGCTCTTCGTCTGATTACCACGCACACCGTACATCGCCATCACATCCCTTAAGCCCGATCCTTCGACGCAGAGCTGATAAGTCGGCGGCTGCACGGCATCATTGATGGCAATCACAGCTCTTGAGATGTTTGACAGTCCACCGACGACAATGTTGGGAATCACCGTGCTCAGACGCTGTAGTTCAGCATTCAAGGAAGAGTTCTTGTTCGTGTCCGGACGCACAATCACCAGGGAAGATCCCACGACTTCGATGTTGTTGGGTTTGAGACGCAATTTGGAGTTTCTCAGCCTGAAATCACCAAAGAAGCTAACATTATTTTCAGAGTGATAATGTTTCTGTAAAATACTGACGCAAATCTGATGGTTTCAGCGTCAATCTCCAATCCCAACACTCGGATTCTGTCAATGTCCAGCTTGATAAGGAGGAAGCAGTCAGAAGATTTGTAAACTTCCTCGATATACGAAGAAATTTCTCCCAAAGTTGTCTTCTCGATTCTTCCCTTCACTTTCCTGGCAAACTCCATGCTTTCGTTATTCTCCAATTCAGCCGTGATAATCGGAGTAGAAATTGTCTTCGACGCATTGATGATTTCCACAATTCGCGGCACTCCCTGAAAAAATTCACAAGATCACAGTCAATAATCCCCTAGAATTGCTGAATTAACGAACCTGGGTGATGTTCATGGACGCCACACCGGCAAAGTGGAAAGTCTTAAGTGTCATTTGAGTTCCTGGCTCTCCGATACTCTGTGCCGCCAGAGCTCCAACCGCTGTTCCCGGTTCAGTGACAGCACGGCTGTATCTCTTCTCAACAATCTCCAGGAAATCCTCAATATGACTCTTCGTCGTGCGACAAATCTCACCACCAGGACCGCGAGTGCTGTAGTTGCTCTCAATATTGCACAGTCGCTTCCTCACAGTGTCGAGGAAGTTCACGCAATCCGCCCTGAAATCCTGCCTGGCATTGATGAACTTCTCCAACTTGAGAATCTCCTTAGCTGTAGGCAGAATGTCATCACCTTCCAATGCATCCTCATCGCGATGAGTGTCCATAGCGCGAATGTGCATAAATTGTCTCTCCAAATCCACCGGCTTATTTGCCACTTCCATGGATACTGGATCGAGACCATCACCTCCGTACGTAAACTCCACCACCTCACCAATGGCGTTCCTCACAGTCCCGTCATAGTGCACCACAAGATCCTCAAGGCACTTCACCAGACGCCTCTGCAAGTATCCCGTCTCTGCGGTCTTCACTGCTGTGTCAACGAGACCCTCTCGCCCAGCCATCGTGTGGAAGAAGAACTCTGTAGGCGTCAATCCAGAGAAGAAGCTGTTCTGGACGAAACCTCGAGCAGCTGGAATCTTGGAAAACTTCTCAAAGTGTGGCAGACTTCTGTCTTCATAACCATTCGGCACTCGTTTTCCATTAATGGCCTGCTGACCCACACAGGCAATCATCTGCGAGATGTTGATGTTTGATCCCTTTGATCCGGATTGCGCCATTATCAAGGCGCTGTTTGTCCTGTGCAGTTCATTGAAACACGCCTTGGCAGCCAGCTCACGAATGCTGGACAGCTCTCGCAGCATCACAGCTTCCAGTGTCTCCTCGAGAGTGCATCCTGGCTGACACTGCAGAGTTCCGCTCTTCATCTTCGAAATGAAATCACTGCACTTTGAGTATCCGTTGTCCAGGAGTTTCTGCTTCTCTCCCAGCAGAATTCGACTCGGTGTGACATCGCCCACGCCAAACGAGAAGCCGCGATTCATAATCATGTAGGAAGTCAGCTTGGAGAGCCGCCACATCGCCCTCGTGGCCTCCTCCTCGCCATAATCCCTCAGTAGAACATAGAAGATGCACTTCTTCGTGCCAGATCCCATTGTACTCTTGTCCATCACGCCGCACATTATCTCCGAATTTCTCACAATCACGTACGAGTCCTTGCAGCACAGATCCTGATTCGCCGTGTAATTTTTTCCCTTCGTCTCCAGATTTATCAGCGTGTGCGACTGCTTATTGGGCTTCATGATGAGACCAAAGATTTGCTTTCCTGTCCACATCACGCGCGGCTTCAGAATCGCCGGCGGCGGAAGCTCAACAGTCATATTCGCGTCCGGACCAGCGATAAGGCAAGTTGCAAGCTGCATTGCTCTCTCCTTGGTAAGAAACTCATCTTTCTGCGTCAACACATAGCCGCCGGTGATGAAATCCTGAGTAGCCGCAATCAGAAGCTCTCCGTTCTTTGGCGTCACCAAATTCGACTTGTTCCCCATGAGAATCCACGCCTCGGCGCGCGCTTCCTCCGTCTGCGGCAAGTGCAGATTCATCTCATCCCCATCAAAATCCGCATTGTACGGCGTGCAAGCGCACTCGTTGAACCTGAATGTCCTCTGAGCCTGAACCTTAGCCTGATGACACATGATGCTCAACTTGTGCAGTGACGGCTGACGGTTGAATAGCACAATATCGCCATCCACCAAGTGTCGCTCCACAATGTCTCCACAACGCAAATCGTGAGCAATCTTGTCGCGATTGCCATAAGCTAGATACTTCTTGAAGGCGCTACCTTTCTGCTGCACATAATTCGCTCCTGGATGATGATCTGTGCCATTCTGCACCAGCTGTCTCATCTTGTCGATGTTCCGCGGATGCACTCGCTCAGGATAAGTGAGAATCTTGGCCACTCGCTCAGGCACGCCCACCTGATGGATCAGCAAGTTTGGATCTGGCGAAATTACTGTCCGCGCCGAAAAGTCCACGCGCTTTCCGGACAAATTGCCACGGAATCTCCCTTGCTTCCCTTTCAGGCGCTGCACAATGCCTCGCGTCTGCTTCTTGGGAATCATTGTGAGCGGCACTCCTGACAATTCACTGTTGAAATAGAGCGCCACGTGAAGTTGCAGAAAGTCCCAATCCTCTAGAATCAATTCGACTTTCCCACCCGTGGAAGTGTGCTTTGCGATCACATCGTTTATCAGCAGAATCTCACTCTGCTTCATCGTGATGTCATCCTCAGTCGTTCCAGCCTTGATTTCCGACACCACGGACGGACGAATGCACACTGGAGGCACGTAAATTCGAGTCACGATCAAATTGGTGGGATGTGCGTCCGGAGAAGTCATGCCCAACAGTGGAATATCACTCTTCGGGATGTTCCGGAAGAGATCCAGAACTTGAAGTGGATTCAATTCCTGCACCAAACAAGGCATCCCGATGTGTTGCTGCAACTCCTTGTTATTCTCAGTGGCCATGAACATTTCATCCAGGATATTCGATACCAGAGGATCGGTCACCTTCTTCCCACGGAACTTATCATGGACAATCTTCATGAGTCCCGGTCCTTTCTTCACAGGACCATTCAAGGCGCCACAGTATCTACACTTTGTAAACTTCTTCGCTTTCACCAGGATCTGAGAATGGATGGATTTCTTCGCAAGGTAGGAAAGATCAGGGTTCAGCAGTCGTTTCGTGTAAGCTCTCTTATCCTCGTCCTTCAGCATAACTCGGCTGCAGGTCTTGCAGATGGACTGCAATATGGTGATGGTGGAGCGAAAGTGACCCACGTGGAAGACAGGCAAGGCCAAATTGAGATACCCAAAGTGACCAATGCACTCATTCAGGCCCTGATTGCAAGTTTCACATGTGGCATCCTTCTGGCTGATTCCCTGTGAGAAATAAGACGGTTAACGAGGAGTTCAGAGTCTTTCCGGGCGTCTCTAACCATTCTTCTATCAAGCACTCCATAGGCAACCGGCACTCGTCCCTGCTCCTGGTTGTACAGGTTCTTCGAGACCACCTGTATGTGGGACTCCTGTTGGATCATCTCAGGACTGTTCATGCAGAATCTGACCTTGGATCTGGACAGCGTGAGGGAAATTTTGTGAAAATGTCCAGCAATACAAAACATTACAAATCTTACATCTTTTTTATCACATCCGCTTCTCGAAACTGTTCCTTCGGCATCTTGAAAGATAGTTTTTCACACTCTACACTCAACTAACTCTACTTTTCTACGGTGATATTGTGAAAAAAGCGTCTTTTCGCTGTGAATTTCCCGTGAGAAAGACAACAAACGCATGTGGCTCTAATTCTGATGACAACAACACGAAGTGTCAAGTCTGATAGTGGCAAATCTGCAGACAACTGCGCACTGGCAACCCGCTCGCAGGTGGAAAACATTCCGAGAAACGCGAGAGTCACAATATTGTGGCGAGAGTGGATCGTATCAGTTGCAATTCGTGAAATGTAGTGATTGGGATTGTTTGGAAAAGCCTGAAAAGCAACGCGTGCATGGGAATCAAAAGGCCAACACTCGCGAAAGAGAGTGCGTGAGTGCGAAAGTGTGATTTATCACGGGAAATATGTCATCAGTGTGTGACCCATTTTCTCGCGAAATGCGTTGATTTTTACTGGGTGAAAAGTGAGGAAAACAGCCCAAGGTCTCCCCCAAAGACACTGTCTGTCCCCGGGAGGCGACGCTCCCCGACGGTGCACCCCCGAGAATCCCCGGCCAACGCGTGGGCTGGAACAGACGCGATGGCCCTGTCTTCGCTGTGCCAGAACCTGCGCCTGAGATTAGGTCTCATCAACAATACCCGTAAGTGCCGGAGCCTCCGCGGCCACCCCCTCAAGGCTGGGCGCCAGCCTTGGACGGGGCTGAGATATTATCAGGACGTGCAAGGCTTTCACGCCAAATTGGATGAGTTCTGCGAACGACTTCGCCGCCTCCGCTTTTGGGGATGGAATGGCAAAGCCATGACTGGCGCTTATCTTAATCTATAGCGTCCTGCCCAAGTCCACTCGAGCTCGGCTGCAATAATCACCTCTTAGCCACTCCTTATCAGCCCCATTATCACTCTGTGACTGGCCAAGAGGGGCGATTTTGTGCCAACATTTCCAACCAGTTTGATGCACTTCGACTCTTGCATGGAAATTATCTTGTGATGAATTTTTAAACAATCCTCGCTAGTGCAGAAATTGCTGGTTTTATGCTATGATCTCGCTTTCTTCCGCTGAATATTTTCACCCAAGGTCGCCAGATGAGTTATTGGTCGTCTTTTTGGCATAGCCTAGAGAATCTTGAAAGCTGGCCTACGCAACTCTAGTCTTTCAGTGTAACATTTGTCAATAACGTAAAAAAAATACGATTGAATCTTGATTTGCTTTGCTCAGCTTACATAAGCGTGATTCACCGAAATCGGTAATCCCAACGCGAATTAATTAACACTTTGTAGATCCATGAGGAATTGTAGCACGAGTAGAAACGATGATTAATTCACTACAATGTAATTCACCTCGACTTTGAGTGCTAATATTCACACGTTAACGCACTGAAATTGACAATAAGAAGAGCATATTTAGGAATTAAGCTTCTGGATAGAGCTGTTTTATGTCAAAAATAACTAATGTCACCTGAAATTCAGATAAAGGTCAATTAGAAAGTTGTAAGCGATTCAAAAATAGAGAAAATATGTGGGTGATTCTATGCGTGATATTTTCAAACTAAATGATTTAAGTTCTAATCCCGTTGTTTTACACTTCTTTAAGAGTTTTTTTTTATCTTATCTGCTCTTTGTTTCCCTAAAATTCTAGCTACAAGCTAAGATGTACGCTTAAAGCTGTATAACTATACTGAGATTACTTAAAGAGAAAAGAATACCATTTCTTTGGAACGAAGTATACATCCAGAATGCCAGAAATTAGGTAAATATTGCGCAAAATTGTTACGTCGTGAAAGGGTTAACCATTGAAGTTGTTAGGAATTTAGCAAATCAGAAGCGAAACATTTTATAATTGCAAAGAATTCCCCAAAGTCTCAAGTGTCAAGTTTCACTGAAGTGTTGAGACTGAAAAGTAATACATTGCAGCCTTTTAAATGCCTGCCTTCAGTACATAATAGTGAAACAGCTGTTTTCGCCGATTGACTGTGTGTTGTTTATAAAGCGCGAACCACAATGAGAGCAAGTGTGAGAAGAGTGACCAGAAAACTAGGGGAGCGCATAGGAAATAGCTTTGTGTATTAAGCCTGTATTTGATGGTAGAAGGAAAATTACATGGTAGAACTTTTAAATAATACCCAACATTGTTCGTCTGCTGATTTTCCACACACGTGAATTCTTTGACAGAATAACAAGAAAATTGAGAGCGTGATAGAAAAGCGTAAAAAGCTTCGAGTGACAATTTTTTCTCCTTGGTAATTGTGAACCATTGAGGAATTGTTTCAAGGGGGGAATTTCTATTGTGTGTCTTGCTGCTCTTATTTACCACTGCGCAATAGAGAGGCAGTATATGTAATTGATGTGAAAACACGAGTGAAAAGGATGAGAACATGTATGTGCCGCAATATTAATAATTTCCATATGAATGGAAATTTGATCTTAAATTCTATTTTTGCTCCTCACTTTCATTCCCTCGTCTTGGCCGCTGCCAACCTCAAAATCTCCGTTGTTTTATCGATTTTATATAACACTCTGGCTTTTATTATTTTTTCCTATTGTTGTGATTTATAGTCATCGTCTTATATCGTGATTGAAGGAAGTGTGGATAGAACACAGGCACAGAGCGATAATTATTTTATGATTAGTTGTATTATCATGCTGTGCTTTTCTGTGTGGGGGAAGGTCATCAATGCTTATATCAATTCCACTTTCTATGCTCATCTTGAAGCTTTTTCCAATACACAGAGTCGGCTTGACTATTCCTGCTCAATGGCACTCGCTTGGGCTGAATATGTATGAATTAATTTTAGAATAGTCGCGATGTGTCGCCAGAGAGAAAATTCTATGCAAATGTCCATCGCTTCAGCCTTAACTATCTCAAGTGCATTTCTATGGACATCCAAATTTGAATTTTAATTGCTGCCTTCACCCTGGCAGCTGAAAGCGAATAAGGAAAATCTCCCTTTATCACGGCCAAATGGAAATTGTCTGTGTGTTCGTGGAGAAAATCAGCGCGTAATGTAAAATTCAAGCAGAAGTTTTCCGAGAAAAACTCACAATTTAATTGTGTTTCCATATTCAACTGCCAGTCATGAGTAAATTGGATTTCAGTTCTTATCTCTTAATGTTAGTGAAATCGATAGAATAGTAATTGGAAAGTGTTCTCTCTCTCTTGACTGACCCCAAACCGCATACACAAAAACAATCCCTTCTTCTCAATAACGCGAGAGTGTGACATTATAAAAAAAAATACAGTAAAATTGACACATGGCAACAATAGATGCCACATTTTCAGTGTGTGGAGAGCAATTTTATTGTTATCACTGCGGGTGATGTTAGAAAAAAGGCCATTTAATGTGTTGCTTTGGCGTACATACAATAAAACTTAACATAAATATAAAGTATTCTAACTAAAATACATGGAATAATGAGCGTTTTTCCTCTATCGTTCCATTTCATGGCCTCGATGACTACAGACGACGACGATTGCACAACTTCTGGCGTCACGCTGGACACCAACGAAAAGAGGATAATCTTCCTTAATCGGCCGCAGCCTCAGAAGTACTGCAGCAATCATATATCAACGGCAAAATACAAGTAAGATTGCCAAATATTGCATAACTTGGCCTTTTTTATGATAAGGAATTAACTCTTTAAGGACGAAAAAGCACGTTGAGCGTACAGATTTGACCCTCTTGTCCTTATAGGATTAAGTTATGCAAAGTAGGAGTTATTATTAGGTTGTGCGTAGTGTCGAAGAAAGTTTTATAGCTAGAAAATAAGTGGCTCTTATTGCTTGGAGGTGTTTCTTTTTGAGCAAAGCACTTCTCTGTGTCATAAAATTCCTTGCCATTGTGCTTTTCACAAGGCAAAGCGAGTTCTGGCAAGCAAATTGCTCTCTTTTCACCAAACTGAAATGCAATAGACAATGAATATAAATATTAGTGACAAGTTCTCTATAGGTTTTATTGTCACAAATGAGCTGAGAGTTCAATCACGCCATTCGGACGGTGAGTAGAATTGTTGAGTCAGGAGTTTCAATGAATTGTTTGCTTGTTCTATCGATCAATTACACAAAATGAAGTATTTCATTATCGTTTCTCGGTAAAAATATGATATGAATGAAGTCTGTTCTTCAACTGAGTGCTTTTACTGCAGTGGAAAAAGGGGACCGTGAAGCACTTTACGACACTTGTGGGATTATAATGGAGAGAAAGAGAGACGTTTTGTACTTATCAGAAAATTCGAGTGCAAATATTATTATACTATTCTGTCTATTTGCAGCACCTTCAGCTTTATTCCGTCGTTCCTCTTTGAGCAGTTTCGGCGGTACTCAAACTGTTTTTTCCTCTTCATTGCACTTCTGCAGCAAATCCCTGATGTGTCACCAACGGGAAGATTTACAACACTCGTACCTCTGATTTTTATACTTAGCGTGAGCGCTATTAAGGAAATTGTCGAAGATTTCGTGAGTAAACACAACATTTCTGCAGAGTTTTTGCTAATTGTGCGTGGGGATGGTTAATTGTTGGGAAATCTAATGTGCTTGCTTGTGTGTTCTTGCAGAAACGCCACAGGGCCGACGATGAAATAAATCACAGGGAAATTGAAACATACAAAAGTGGCCAATGGAAGTATATTAAGTGGCAGCAATTGAGTGTTGGAGACATTGTGAAAGTGTGGAACAATACATTTTTCCCCGCGGATCTCATTCTTCTGTCCTCAAGGTAGGAAGAATGTCAAGGATTATTTGACCTTTCACTAATCTCTCCATGTCCTTTCTCCACCTCCTATCCTTTTGGCATATTATCATATTTTTATATGCTTCACGACATTTAATGAAGCGATTTAGGGTGATTAACTTCTCCACTTTGTGCTGCTTTCAGTGAACCTCAAGGCATGTCATTCATCGAGACGTCCAATTTGGACGGTGAAACAAATTTGAAGATACGGCAAGCCATTCCGGACACGGCAAAGCTCCTGGAAACGAAGGATTTGGCATGCTTCAACGCCACGCTGGAGTGCGAACTGCCAAATCGGCATCTCTATGAGTTCAATGGTGTCCTCAAAGAGAGCGGGAAGATTGCCGCGTCCCTCGGGCCGGATCAGCTTCTGCTGCGCGGCGCCATGCTCCGGAACACATCATGGATCTTCGGTGTTGTCGTGTACACAGGACACGACACGAAACTTATGAGAAACTCTACCTCAGCGCCCTTGAAGGTGGGCTAGCTCTATGATGAAAATCGATATGAGAGATTGACTGTTATCATTATCATTGCAGCGTTCAACAGTAGACAGACTGACCAACACACAAATTTTGATGCTTTTTCTTATTCTCATATTTTTATGTCTCGTTAGTGCTGTTTTTAATGAATTTTGGACACGAGATCACTACAAGCGGGACAAGTACTTGGGAATTGATGGTGAGTTTCACTTGATTTTCGCGTTCTAAATACTGGAAGGCCTCTCACTCTGTGAGTGTTGGGCAGTTGCGTGGGAAGAGATGATGAATAGTTAAATAGACACGCAAGTTCTCAATTGTGATTGTTGTACTTGATTTTTGCAAACACATTTTTCACACCTCTTTTTCAGATGTTCTCAGCAAGAATTTTGGATACAACTTACTGACATTTATTATTTTGTACAATAATTTGATACCGATCTCACTGCAAGTGACTCTGGAGTTGGTGAGATTCTTGCAGGCGATCTTTATCAACTTTGACATTGAAATGTACCACGAAGAGTCCAATACTCCGGCCATGGCGAGAACATCGAATCTGAATGAGGAGCTAGGAATGGTGAAGTACATCTTTTCGGACAAAACGGGAACACTTACGAGAAATGTGATGGAGTTCAAGAAGTGTTGTGTGGGAAAGTTTGTCTATGAGCGCGTTAGTGAGCCTGAACACTCAGGAATGGTGCAGAATCTGCTGAACAATCATCCAACGGCGCCAATGATTGCGGAGTTTCTCACTTTGCTGGCCGTTTGTCACACGGTGATTCCGGAGAAGCGCGATGACGGCACTGTGGGCTATCACGCGGCCAGTCCGGATGAGCAGGCTCTGGTGTATGGAGCCAAGTCTTTTGGGTATGTCTTCGAGACTAGAACACCGACGCACGTGGAGATCAGTGCTCTGGGCTGGAAGGAGAGCTATGAAGTTCTGCATGTGTTGGAATTCACATCGACCAGGAAGAGAATGTCGGTGATTGTGAGGACGCCAAAAGGCGAGATCAAACTCTACTGCAAAGGTAAGCACTTTGCCGTGTTAATTAGGTAATTGACGAGAATAAAATTATGTCCTCTGCAGGAGCGGACACAGTGATTTACGAGCGTCTCGCCCAGGACAATCAACCATTCCGTGAGGTGACTCTGAGGCATCTGGAGGACTTCGCCACGGAGGGCTTGAGGACTCTGTGCTGCGCAATGGCGACCATTGATGAGGAAGTATACGATTCGTGGCGGCAAACATATCACAAAGCCATCACATCAATCCAGAATCGCGAGAAGAAGGTGGACGATGCGGCAAACTTGATTGAGATCAATCTGAAGCTTATCGGCGCCACAGCCATTGAGGACAAGCTGCAAGAGGGTGTTCCTGAAACGATAGCGAGTCTATTGAAAGCGGAAATCAATATTTGGGTGTTGACTGGAGACAAACAGGAGACAGCCATCAACATTGGCTATTCTTGCAAATTACTCAGTCACGCAATGGATTTGATCATTTTAAATGAAGACAGTTTGGATGTGAGTGCTGCTATTATTGCACCTCCTTTTTTACCTTGACGCATTCACACGCCATGTTCTCACACAATGCTTTCTGGCCAATTTCAGAACACGAGAGAGTGCATTGGACGTCACAGTGCAGATTTTGGTGAGCAATTGCGAAAGGAGAACAATGTGGCGCTTATAATCGATGGTCAGACACTCAAGTATGCCATTAGTTGTGACCTGAGAAGGGATTTTCTCGACCTGTGCATTTCCTGCCGCGTTGTCATCTGCTGCCGCGTGTCTCCCATGCAAAAGGCTGAGGTAATGTTCTAAATTTGTAGTGATAGAGAATGTAAATACCGATGACATTCACTTATTTTTACTATAGGTTGTTGATTTGGTGGCGTCAAATACTAATAACGTCACTCTGGCCATCGGAGACGGTGCCAATGACGTCGCGATGATTCAGAAGGCGCACGTGGGCGTCGGAATATCGGGAGTTGAGGGACTTCAGGCCGCATGCGCGTCGGATTATTCAATAGCGCAGGTATTATTATCTGAGTCATTGGTGCGTGTAATTGATTTAATCATGATTTTGCGCTCTAGTTTCGCTACCTTGTGCGTCTTCTTTTGGTCCATGGCGCGTGGAATTACAGCCGAATGTGCAAGTTGATCTTGTACAGTTTCTACAAGAATGTCTGTCTCTACGTCATTGAATTGTGGTTTGCCATCTACTCAGGATGGTGAGTTGATGGACTCTTTGTAATTTAGTTTCCACTAAAGACATTTGTGCTTTGCAGGTCTGGACAGATTCTATTCGAGCGCTGGACAATTGGTCTCTACAATGTTGTCTTCACAGCCCTTCCACCATTCGCCATGGGGATTTTTGACAAAGTGTGTTCAGCGGAAATAATGATAAAGTATCCAGCATTGTATACATCACAGAATGCCCAACTACTGAACGTTCGTGTCTTCTGGATATGGATTGGGAATGCAGTGCTTCACTCCATCTTCCTGTACTGGATGCCAATGATTGCCTACAATTTCGAAATCATCTGGAATAATGGCTACAACGGTGGCTATTTAGTGCTGGGCAACATGGTTTACACTTACGTCGTTGTGACTGTGTGCCTGAAAGCCGGACTGATTTCCAATTCATGGACTTGGCTGACGCATTGCGCCATTTGGGGATCAATTGCTCTCTGGTTCTTCTTCATGTTTGTTTATAGGTGAGGCGCTTATTGCGAAATGCAAGGAGAATTAGGAAATTGAATTTTATTTTATGATATTGCAGTAATATCTGGCCGACGATTCCTGTGGCTTCAGTATTTGTGGGTATGGACAAACTTGTGCTTTCGTCTCCGACATTCTGGTTTGGACTATTTCTGATACCAACGACTGCTATTCTGTTCGATGTTGTGGCCAAAATGTGAGTCTTCAAGTCAATTTCAGAGTGAATAATATCTCTTACACGACTTTTTATCGTTGCAGCATTCAATGTACCTTATTTAAATCAGTATCTGATGCAATTCGAGAGTCGGAAATTAAGAAATATGATCCGAGTCATGTGATAAAAGAGCCTCGAACTTCGTAAGTTGATTTTACCTTTCACGAGAATGCCATGAACAAAAAAAACTGTATAAAGAAGCATTTGACAATCAACTGAAAATGTGATGAAGAGACGCAAATGATGTTTGACCAGTGAAAAGCTTCAGCGTGTGAAGTGAATCTCTTGTGATGAAACAATTGTGCTTTTATCCATTTAGTTTTAGGGTCATTTATAGGGTAGAATGGAAGCGCTTATCTTTCTTTCCAAAGCAAATCTCAATCCAGTTAATCTCCATTTATGCATACTTATGGTAATTAATGAAGTCTAATTGAGAGAATTTCGCTGAAGACAACGCTTTAGATACTCACCAATGCACAGGGTGTTGTTTTCCTTTCATTCAACTCCTTTTCAATCAACTATTCACATAACAATGAGTGATATCTTTTGAATTAGTTTTAATTGAGAGAAATGACGATGCATTTGGAATGTGTTCTGTAGAAAATGAATCAATAGAGCTAATGAAATAATGGGCTTTGGTGGTGATTTTGTGCAACATTGCTCTCTATTCGAGTTAATAGCTTCAAATTTCACCTTTTCAGGGTGTGTTTGTTTCCGCCTTAGACTTACAAAATGTATGATTTACTTAGCCACTCTTATTTATTTTCTGTTGTTTTCTTCTTTGTTATTCTTATTCTTTCAGAATAAAAACAGTTATAGCCAGAATATTTTTTTTTATTACCTCTTTGTGGAGCTTTTAGCAAAAGCATATACTTTTTATTGAACTTAAACTCCTTGCAGATTAACAGAAACAGCGAGATTGCTGAGAAATGTGAGAAATGTCTTCAGCAGGCGATCAAATACGCGAGTTAATATGGAATTGGAGCTCTCACGTGAGTTTATTCAAGATTTTATGCAGTTTGAGGTTGAAAACTAAGTGGATTTTTCGCTTCTCTTTGCAGATGGTTATGCATTTTCACAAGAAGAGGGCGGTTCTGTAACTCAGACAGACATTATTCGCGCCTATGACACGAATTTGCCGAAACCAGAGGGAAATTGAAATGAAATATGCTAAGAATAACGCGTGTGAGTGTGTTTTTTCTTAGACAGGCGGAAGATGATCGTTAACAATCTCACAAGAGAGACTCATCAAATGTCGAGTGCCACCACTTTTTTCCTGTTGCAACCTTTAAAATGCACGACAAATCATTTATTCATAAAAGAACATGGATATTAAGTGAAATGCCAAAAGTTAAACCACTATTGAGACCAAAATGGATTACATAGACGACATAATATCAGCCTTCAATTCTATATACAAGAAATGTTAGTAGTTTAAAAATGAAAAAAAAATCTCCACAATTATCTTATTGTCTGTATATTAAAAATCTGGGTATTGGTAGATCTTATCAAGTGGATAGTGAACAAAAAGTGTAACAAAGATGTGCGATTTTCATGTTTCAATGTTGTTTATGTGGGATAAATCATAACTGTGACAAAGTGTATTATTCAAGAGTTAAGGAGGAAAATGTGCACGAAATATCTGCTAGTCATAGATTTTCAAAATTCTCTGTTGCAAATCTAATAAAAATTCACTGTATCGAAGACACCGAAACTCACACACTTTAGTGATCTGCAATTTGGTAACGTTATTAAAAAAAACTTTTGAGGCGAGAAAAGAGGCAAGATTAAACATCTGGAGAGCCAAAGTGCCCTTAGATAAAAATTTACTATTTTCCGTCTATTTCACGTCTACAATTTCACACAAGAAGGAAAAAGTTTAATAATTCGGTGCGCTTTAGATGAGAAAACTAAAAATTTACCACTTAGAAGTAAAAAGAAACTCTTATTTATTGATAAAAGTGTGATGATTATTTTACCTAATTATATTTTTTCTTAAAGAAAAAAAAAAACTAAACAGGTGAAGACAAACTTGAAGACAAGAGAAACACGAACGAATTGAGGATATTAATATGTTCTTAAGTACATTACAAAAAGAAACTAATGTATACTAATAAGTGAGATTATCCTGTTTCACACATTCAAATTGCAACACCACTTTTCTCAGTGCAACTCTTTCTGTGTAAATCAATCAAAAGTGTCTGTTCCTTAATGGTTAGATCATGTGAAAAATTATGTGATTCTAGTGACACATCATGAAACAAAGAGGAGAAATCCAGTTTTGAGAGATTTATCGTGTGTAGAGAATTTTCAAATCAACTATTTTTCGTACAATATTTAAGGAAATCCTTATTTCTGAACCCATGAAATGTTGCAGGCAGAACAAAACATGTAGTGATAAATGTTATCAGAATAGATGGCCAAATAACGTAATATTTAATTGTGGAAATATTATACAGCATTTAAAGGAAATTCCTCATGGAAGTTTTATGATTTTTTAGACATTACTTTTAGTTGGTATTAAAACTTTGTGATTTATCAATTTATACGTGTTTTATTTGAATCCTTTACAATGTAACAATAATGACAGCATTTTTTCCTTCACCTATATAAATGCGGCTGCCGCCGACTTCACAGATGACCTCCCCGAAAAAACGGCAGAAAACTCGGTTCATTGGTCGTTAAACTAGGATTTACAGCTCTTATGATGATCACTTGCTGTTCTGCTAGAGAAACATCAAAGTACTGGCCAGAACAGAGGAACTTGCACCGCTCGTCGTTACATTTTGCCCGTCTTTCTCGAAGTTTCGGCCGTAGATTGCGAAAGTACGAATGTCATTTCTTGGAATTATCAGCTCCAGTGTGATATCTTTGTACGATTCGCTGTTGTCAAGAAGCATAAAATATGCAGTTTTTAGGATAAATAGCTTTAAAACACCATTTAAATGTTCAAAAGATGACATATAAAAAAAAATTTACTCATTAATATTGATTACTGACCCATCCACTATTCTCTCTTCGCATTCCTCGTAGTGGAGTTTATTGTAGTCGATCGGAAGGATTACGTTGTCAAGTGTATTTGGCATTGTTAGGATGTGAGGATTCGACGGAAAAGTACCGGAAATCTTGATAGAAGTGAAAGTTACAGGATTAACGACATTAACCGACGCGTCGAATCTTGTGGCACAGCTCTCCAAATCGTCTGTAGGACAGGTGATGAGTCCACACGAGAAAACTCCTCCGGTTTCAACGTTATAATATGAGCGAACACCATCGAAAACTGCCATGCGGTATCTGAAGTAATCGCTCCCATTCGTGAGAAGAGAATCATCAAAGATCAGCTCGTAATTGAAGTCACAGCAAAGCGTATCGAAACAGAGCTTCTCAGAGCCTTTCTTCTTACTAACATCCACCAATTTCGTGGTGTAAATGTCTACGAAATCGCGTAGAAGACGCAAATTCAACATCTGCTCTTCCGTTGATTTTACCGCCACGGGATCGTGAGTGTAAGGACCTTCAAGAGTGTGCGCTTTGGGTACATTTGCCACCAAAAGTTTTCTCATTGTTGTGCTGGCCATCACGTAAGTCAGCGGTCCTTTCCTTCCAGCAAAAATTCCCGATCCTGTGCTTCTAGTATTAGGATTATTGCCACCAGCGCCCAGGAAGTTCACGTTGTGCTTCCAAGCCCACATGTACTGCGTCTGGACGGCAGTGAGATAGGGAAGTTCTGAGTACCACAATGAGGGAAATATTATGTCTTTTACACCGGCTTCAAGAAGCTTGAGTGGTGGATCATCAAAGAGGATATCAAAACAGATAAAGTGGCCAAAAGTCACGCCAAAATCTGTGGTGAAAATGCTGATATCTGCCGTGATAGTAGTGTTGATACCAGTCTCGCCGAAAGGATGGAACTTCCTGTATCTGGACACAACAGTGCCGTTTCTGTTCATCACGACGTTCGTGTTGTAGTAACTCAAGCCATTCTCTGCACACGGTCTGTCGTCATTCAGAGCCTCCTGTTCTTCTTCAGTGCACAAATGCTTTTCTGTCAGATTGATCACAATGTACTTCTTGTGCGTTCTGGCGGAGCAGGAAATATTTCGCAGGAAGAACTCGAAGTTTTCACCATCGCACGGAGCAATCTCATCATCTGGATGAGGAACAAATGTAGAGAAACTCTTCGTGTTCAACGTGGCTTCGGGAAATACAAGAATGTCTACATTTTTCGCCTCTTCAGAAGCTATGATCTCCTTGTAAGCTTCCATATTTGCTTGAACTCTCTGTACACCGATCTTCTTGTCAGAGGTAAACTCTACAACGCCGGCCACATAGTGAGATGATTCAGGAGTTGATATCTGCAGATATTTTCACACCATTTCTCTTTAATCATTACCTCCGTTACCATCGTTGCAATTCTTTAGTGTTATATGTTATTGTGAAATTTCGCGCTACATTAGCTAATATGGATAATTAATTATTGTATTAAAAATTATTACCAACATCCGATTTCAAAATTCCTTACTCTCCCCTATTATCAGCATATCAAAATGATCGAATGAGATCAAAAAGTGTGCAACATGCGCAAATAATTAAATTAAATAGCGACTCACCTGATGAGACAATGCAATGATCGTCGCCAGAAGAAGGAGAGCGAATTTTCTTCTCATTTTCACTGAATTTAACTTTAACGTGCGTTCGAAAGTCTGGCCAAAGCGCAACTGACTAAAGACTAGAATCGATATTTAATCTTTTGGGCAGGTATCATTATCATCTCATTGAATTATTCCACGTTGATTGGATGATTCTTCCTCACTTGATAATCTTCACTTGAACAAACTCAAAATTCATCTGATATCTGTTTGTGTTTGAATTTTGGATATAGCAATTATCTTACCTAAATATCACTCTATCGCGCTACTAAAACACTAGATGAAATGATAAGATCTTCTCAAATCATGAGTCATCCGCAGAATAAATTAAGTGTCAATTTAAACTCCCGACAAGTACAATAAATTAATTAAATTGTTCAAGAGGCAATCTTGTACGATTTGATATGATTGTTGCCCATGACTATTTTCTGACATTACGTTTAGTTGGTATTAAAACTTTATGATTTATCAATTTATACGTGTTTTATTCTCCGAGAGACTTCACACATATACATACTATTATTGTCTCTTCAGATTATCAGTTGTTGTTCTGCTGAAGGAACAGTAAAACACTGGCCAAGAAGGCAATTACGGCCAACGGTGTCAAGGAACTCGCGCCGCCCGTCGTCACGTCCTGACCGTCTTTCTGGAAGTTTCGACCGTAGATTCCGAAAGTGCGAAGATCATTTCGCGGAATTGTGAGCTCCAGTGTGATATCTTTGTATGTTTCGCTGTTGAAATAGAAAGAAAGGTAATAATTAAAGAATCAAATAAAATTATGAAACTGTATCTTGGGAAAAAACGATCCGAATCTAAATCAATTTACTTAAGAAACTGAAGAGGAGAACTACGCGTTAACTACTGACCCATTCTCTGTTCTCTCTTTGCCCTCATTATAGTAGAATTCATTGAAGTTGATCGGATTGATTAGATTGTTCAGCGCATTTGGCATCGTCAGGACGTTAGATTTCGATGGGAAAGCACCGGAAATCTTGATGGAAGTGAAAGTCACTGGAGAAACAACGTTCACAGAGGCGTTGAATCTTCTGCCACAACTTTCTAAGTGTTCAGAGGTACAAGAAAAGAGTGCACAGGAAAGAACTCCTCCAGTGATCACTCCATCGTATGGCCGTACGCCATCAAAGACTGCCAAGTGATATCTGTAGTAATCGCTCTCATCCGTGACCAAGGAATCATCAAAGGTCAGTTCGTAGTCGAAGTCACAGCAAAGCGTATCGAAACAGAGCTTCTCGGAACCTTTCTTTTGATTAATATTTAGCAATCTCGTGGTGTAAATGTCCAGGTGATCTCTTAAGAGATACAAATTCAGCATCTGCTGTTCTGTTTGCTTCACCGCCACAGGATCGTGAGTGTAAGGACCCTCGAGAGTATGCGCTTTGGGTACATTTGCCACCAAAAGTCTTGTCATTGTAGTGCCGCTCATCATGTAAATCAGCGGTCCTTTTCTTCCAGCAAAAATTCCCGATCCTGTGCTTCCAACTTCAGGATTATTGGCTCCAGCGCCCAGGAAATTCACGTTGTGCTTCCAGGCCCACATATATTGCAATTGAACAGAAGTGAGATAAGGCAGGGCAGAAAACCACATGGAAGTGAAGATGAAGTCAGTTACTCCGGCCCGAATCAATTCGAGTGCTGGCCTCTCAAAGAGGATATCAAAACTGATAAAGTGGCCGAAAGTCACGCCAAAATCCGTGGAGAAACTGCTGTTATCCGGCGTTAGAGTGGTGTTCATTACACTGCCAAAGAGGTTGAACTTCCTGTATCTGGACACAACAGTGCCGTTTCTGTTCATCACGACGTTCGTGTTGTAGTAACTCAAGCCATTCTCTGCACACGGTCTGTCATCATTCAGAGCCTCCTGTTCTTCTTCAGTGCACAAATGCTTTTCTGTCAGGTTGATCACAATGTACTTCTTGTGCGTTCTGGCTGCGCAGGAAATGTTCCTCAGGAAGAACTCGTAGTTTTCATCCTCACACGGAGCAATCTCATCATCCGGATGAGGAATAAATGTTGGGTGATTCAACATATTGAGTGTATCTTCAGGAAATACAAGAATGTCCACATCTTGCGCCTCTTTAGATGCTATGATCTCCTTGTAAGCTTCCATGTTTCCATCAATTATCTGTTGAACAGGCTGCTGATAATGTTGTGGTGCGTACTCCACAACACCGCCCACATAGTGGGATGATTCAGGTGTTGATATCTGTAGACATCTTCTTTATAAATATTTGTTGAGATATTAGACTGATTGCAGAAATTCACCTGATGAGATAATGCAATGATCGTCGCCAGAAGAACGAGAGCGAATTTTCCTCTCATTTTCACTGAAAATCACTTCAACGTGCGTTCGAGAGTCTGGCCAAAGCGCAACTGGCTAAAGACTTGAAGCGATAGTCGGTATTTTGGTCAGGTATCTTTATCACCTCATTGAATCATTCCACGTTGATTGGCCGAATCTTCCTCACTTGATTATCTACACGTGAACAAACTCAGCTAATTCATCTAAGAATCATAGCAAATGTCTAAAAACCACTCTTTTGTACTACTAAATCTCTGACTTAGTGAATGAGAATTAAATCTCATTCTTCTCAGTTTAACACCATTTAATCTCTAGACGACAGCAATAAATTAATCAAATTGTTCAAGCAAAACTCTCGTATGATTGTATATAATCATTTTTGTCACCGCTATCAATAGGAATAGATAGTATGATATATTGCACCTAATGTTGATCTGGAATGTTTAAATCCAAATCGATCATCTGAATTCAAAATCAACCTAATTCAGTATTTGAAGTCGAGAATCACAACCTAAAAAATGCTCCACATCTACGCCTTTCATGAAATGATTTACAAAACTTGTAGAAGGCTAAATTTTGTTCAGCTCAATGAAAATTTTCATTCAACGCGGAGCATTAGAAGTGTGCTTCAATATTCACACTGTGGATACGGATCTGAAACCATTCCAAGCGTAAGACTATATTGTAAATGGACAACGCTGTGGAAACATCTGTTGAGGCTGAAAATCCGGAATTATCTGGAGAAATGATTCCAATTGCTTCTGATTCTGCCAATCCTTCTGCTGAGCCATTTGTTGAACCTTTAGCGGAGCCGCAAGACGCCGTGAAACGTCGCAGAAGAAGTTCAACTCCTAAAAAGCGGTCAGCAAGAACTCCGCAACGTCGTAAGATGTCAAGCAAAAATTCAAGGGCTGCAAAGAAAACCCCAAGAAAATCTTCTAGAAGCCGTCAACGCCGTACTAGGAAAGCATCAAAAACCACACCAAAATCAACATAAAAGAATCAATTAGGACAGTCTTTAAAATTAACAATGTTGGTCACCAAATCTCATGTTAAGAAATTAATCTATATCGGAAATATTTCTCCAGAAAATACACATTAACTTTGATGACATTAAAGACTTATGAAGGCTTAAACAAATCTTTCATTTTCTGTACTGCCCTTTGAGAATTTAATCCAGAATCTCAGAAATAGGAAATATGGTTTCTTAAAGTCTGGGGTTTAGAGACGATATGTAGAAAATAGTAATAAAGAGACTTACCCATCTTCCGTTCTCTCTTCGCCCTCTTCGTAGTGGAATTCATTGAAGTTGATCGGATTGATTAGATTGTCGAGCGCATTTGGCATCGTCAGGACGTGAGATTTCGATGGGAAAGCACCGGAAATCTTGATGGAAGTGAAAGTCACTGGAGAAACGACGTTATCAGAGGCATTGAATCTCGTGGCGCAGCTCTCCAAATCGTCTGAGGGACAAGCGAAGAGTCCACAAGTAAGAACTCCTCCGGTTGCAACGTTATCGTACGTGCGAACTCCGTCGAAGACTGCCAAGTGATATCTGTAGTAATCGCTCTCATCCGTGACCAAGGAATCATCGAAGGTCAACTCATAATCAAAGTCACAGCAAAGCGTATCGAAACAGAGCTTCTCAGATCCTTTTTCCTGGCTAACGTTCACCAGTTTTGTGGTGTAAATGTCCAGGTGATCGCGTTTGAGGTGTAAATCCAACATCTGCTCTTCTGTTTGCTTCACCGCCACGGGATCGTGAGTGTAAGGACCCTCAAGAGTGTGCGCTTTGGGTACATTTGCCACCAAAAGTCTCCTCATTGGTGTGCTGCTCATCACGTAAGTCAGCGGTCCTTTTCTTCCAGCAAAAATTCCCGATCCTGTGCTTCCGACTTCGGGATTATTGGCTCCAGCGCCCAAGAAATTCACGTTGTGCTTCCAAGCCCACATGTACTGCACCTGCACGGCAGTGAGATAGGGAAGTTCTGAGAACCACATCGTGGGAAAGAGGAAGTCCTTTACACCGTCCTCAAGAAGCTTGAGTGGAGGTTCATCAAAGATAATATCAAAGCAGATAAAGTGGCCGAAAGTCACGCCGAAATCTGTTGTGAATGTGCTGATATCTGATACAAGTGTGGTATTGATGCCTCTCTCGCCGAAAGGATGGAACTTCCTGTATCTGGACACAACAGTGCCGTTTCTGTTCATCACGACGTTCGTGTTGTAGTAACTCAAGCCATCCTCTGCACACGGTCTGTCATCATTCAGAGCCTCCTGCTCTTCTTCAGTGCACAAATGCTTTTCTGTCAGGTTGATCACAATGTACTTCTTGTGCGTTCTGGCTGCGCAGGAAATGTTCCTCAGGAAGAACTCGTAGTTTTCATCCTCACACGGAGCAATCTCATCATCCGGATGAGGAACAAACGTAGAAAAACTCCTTGTGTTCAGTGTGGATTCAGGAAATACCAGAATGTCCACATCTTGCGCCTCTTCAGAAGCTATGATCTGCATATATGCCTCCATGTTTCCCTCAATTCTCTGTTCGCTCGGCTGCTGATAATTCTCAGGCGTGAACTCCACAACGCCGCCCACATAGTGGGATGATTCAGGTGTTGATATCTGCGGAGATTTTCATACCATTTTCATTACAAATATTTGCTGTGATATCAAAATTGTGACGGAAATTCCGCGCTACATTAGCTAATATGGATAATCAATTACTGTATATCAGCTACTTTATGACTCCTGTTGATTCTCTCTGCACAATAGACAGACATGACGCGATAAGGTGACAACATTCAATACTAATTTGATCCTCCAACCAGTTAGCGATACACAATTTTTTGCGCACCGCATTGTGATTGATTAAAAGTAATTCATGCCATTGTTCAGCACTTTGTCCGGTAACTAAATGATCTCTTCGATAGCATTGTGCCACAAAATTTCCGCATGGGCGATTAAATTGGAACATCAGCTGAGTTTCACTCGAGCACGAAAGATAAGGAAAATGATCTTCAAACTCCGAGCATTGTCCAAAATGTATAACAAAACGCTAAGCAAATAATAATTTCACAATGTTCTACTCTTAATTACCTGACGATAAACAGTCACAAACACTTTATTCACAATTCGAAAGCAACAAATCAAAAGTATTGTGAGTAAATCAATGCGCATCTTTGTGTTATGTTTACAAAATTTGTGTGACTGAAAAAATGACATATTCTTCCCGAGTCGTGTTTATAAAATCGCAAACATAAGGGGGAACCGCAAAATCGTATTCAAAATTCCGTTTTTCCCTACTTCAATACAAGGAAATGACCAAATGAGTTCAAAAGGTGTGCAACATGCGCAAGTAATTAAATTAAATAGCGACTCACCTGATGAGACAATGCAATGATCGTCGCCAGAAGAAGGAGAGCAAATTTTCCTCTCATTTTCACCGAATTTCACTTCAACGTGCGTTCGAGAGTCTGGCCAAAGCGCAACTGGCTAAAGACTGGAAGCGATAGTCGGTATTTTGGTCAGGTATCTTTATCACCTCATTGAATCATTCCACGTTGATTGGCCGAGTCTTCCTCACTTGATTATCTACACGTGAACAAACTCAGCTAATTCATCTGATTCCTGTTTGTGTTAGATATAGCAAATGTCTAACTAAATATCACTCTTTCGCACTACTAAAACACTAGATAAAAGGATAAGATCATCTCAAATCGTGAGTCATCTGACCGCAAAGTCAATTAAGCGCCAATATAAACTCCAGACCAGACGAGTACAATGTATTAATCAGATTGTGCTCAAGAGGCAGTCTCGTATGATTTGATATGATTATCTCTATCACCTACACTGCTTTTAACTCGAATTAGCTTCATTTTCACTGAAATTAACACTCAACTTTCTCTAAGCGGTTCGAAGCCTATCAAGTTTATCAAGTCAATGTCAAACTATTATTATCATGACCTCGGATGTCTTCGATGACCGCAGTTCATCGATCGCAAAGTTGTTGTTTAAAATTTCAAAAATACGACCACTTACCAACCTCACGATCACTTCCTTAAACTTCTTTTATGTCTTTTATTGTCTATATTCATCTCAATCTAATCTAAACACTCGTTTGCATTTCTTCGCTCTTCTCCTGCATTGAGGAGTCACCTGAAAGGATCACAAAATGTTTAATAACAACACGACATAGGAAACAAATAGATTTTTTTACCTTGTATATATTTCGATGACCAAACACCGTCGCCAGCAAAGTGGAAGTCAATCTCAATGATGTACAGAATGAGAGCGAGAAACTGACTCTTGGACAGCAATCGCCAGTCGATATCCTTGACGAACTCCACCTCGTCCTGTTCGATGGCTTGAGTTGTCTTCAGGATCTCATTCAGCGGGTAGAAGAGGATGTGGATGTTGTTGAAAATGTCTGTCTCTGAGTATCCCGTCTCGGTCAGATGCTCGTAAACTATGGCAACAGACAAGAGCGGGATGTGACACCAATTTGGATGTCTGCAGACGTATTTTCGGATCTCACTGACTTTACGGTTCAACTTCTTGCTGAGCATTACGACGATTTCACGCCCTTTCGTCGCGTCAATTCCATTCTGAGCGTATTTTTCGAAGGTCTCCAGATCGCTGGAGAGGACGTTGAGCGATGCACAGAAGATCTTGTTCTCCTTCAGGTAATTCAGCCGATGAATAGCCTTGTTTTGATAGTAAATCAATCGTCCGATGCGCGGATGATTGAGCAGCACGCGAAACTCATCAATCTGCTTCATATGCGCAATACGATTGGCCACAGTTCGAGGACCCAGAGTAAAGATCAGCAAATTCCTGAACAATGCGATGTCTGGGATGTCATTCTCTCTAAAAATCTGCTCAATTTGTACGAGTGACTTCTGATTGCTCATAAAGATCTTTGGATGTTGATCCAGTGCCTCCTTAATGTCAATTCCTGCCAGCTTCTCCATGGCCAGAATGTTGCGCATATTCTCCGGATCGCCGTGCAAAAGGTAACCATGCTTCAGCAGCTTCTCATTCGAGAAATGCATCTCCGAGCGCATCAAATTGATCGTGTCTAAAATGTTCTGAATCGATCTGTGGCGAAGTCTCTTGTATGAACGCCACATTCTCTTCAAATCCTTCTCAGACGCATTGACCTCACGCCTGAGCAAGATGCCAATAAAGTACTGCCTGAGATCATTCAGACAAGCCTTAGCCTCCAGCTGCATTGCCTCTGTCGGCACCTCGTCCATATGTATGCATTGCGTTAGAGCGGCAGCAACGCTCGTCTTTGGTGCTATATGTCCGTAAACTTTCACCAGAGACAATGGTTTATTCATCACTGAGATGTATCTGTAGAGAATGTTGATATTGACGTGGGAGAAGGAACACTCGGTCAGAACTGAATATCTATTCTTCAGCGTTGTTGCGCTTGTGGTCAGAATTCCTGGAGTTTCCTTGATCGCATCGATCCCATCAGTCATATTCAGGTCATGTAGAGTATCAAATGACGCCTGAATATCCTCCTTCTCAAGTATGTGAAATTTGGTGTGCTTGGCCAGAAGACTGTTCAGCTCCTTATTGGTCAATCCTGAAATTGCAGATGTGTTTACATTTTGCTTCCCCCGGAATCAATCATGCAAAGCTCACCGAGCAACTTCTTGAAGAAATCACGGTCGATTACATTAATGTTCTCAATTAACGACGCATTCCGCACACAATTTACACTGCTTGGCAAGCATTGTCGTCGCAACAAATCACAACTCAAGTATTTTAGAATCATTTTTCTGCATTTCTTACTCTATTTCTGCGCTCAGCAAACTGAAGTTATTAGCAACCTGAAGTTATTGAACTTTTCGAAATTCCACTTTTTTCGAACTACACTGAAAAAAAGGGTACCATTTTCGAAATTTTTTCCCTCCGCGTAAAATACCCTTTTAATGGATTTGGAAAGAATGTATTGATAATTTCAATAAAAAATAGTAATATTATATATTCAAGCTCACTTAATTGCCATTTCCTTACACAAAATAATGCCAAATCAACCTGAAATTCCATATTTTCACACTGAACATTGTCCTGGACCAGCTCAACTCCAAGGTGCGAGCAATTTCTCAACGGGATAGTGTTCCTGGGCTCTCTGGCCATTCCCCACACCAGGACAATGTTCAGTGTGAAAATAGGGAGAATTTCATGAAATTTCGTATACAAGGCCGTGGTTTGGGGCGCGCTGCGCCCAACTGAAGCGGGGTGCCTAAAGAAAACCTGGTGCGGGGAATGGCCAGAGAGCCCAGGAACACTATCCCGTTGAGAAATTGCTCGCACCTTGGAGTTGAGCTGGTCCAGGACAATGTTCAGTGTGAAAATATGGAATTTCAGGTTGATTTGGCATTATTTTGTGTAAGGAAATGGCAATTAAGTGAGCTTGAATATATAATATTACTATTTTTTATTGAAATTATCAATACATTCTTTCCAAATCCATTAAAAGGGTGTTTTACGCGGAGGGAAAAAATTTCGAAAATGGTACCCTTTTTTTTCAGTGTAGTTCGAAAAAAGTGGAATTTCGAAAAGTTCAATAACTTCAGGTTGCTTTTGGCAGTCGGCAAACTCACAGGGTGAGCATGAAGGTGAGTGTCTCGGCTGACAGTGTGGTTGAAGCTTATGAAATGTTTCATTTGTGTTGCAGTCTCATCACTGAACTGTAATTTATTCAATTTATTACAGCTTTAGAAACACAAGAAAATCTTCTCTTTCCGATCTTGATCTGTAAATTTAGTCAAGGGGGAGATAATATGGCACAGAAGCAAAGAAAGTGTAACAATTTATGCAATACTTGGTTCATAATTTTGATTTTCTGATGATTATTTCATTCAAAAAATTAATATGTTATCAATTTTATCTAAGATTTCTAGGTTATGTGACTTATCGTAATAAAAAAGAGTTGAAAATAGAAATTCCCTTGCTAAAAATAAAATTATTATCATTTATAAGTAGAATTGTTCATTTTCACTCATTGCAAATCACGATTCTGAAAGTTAACTTGTAAAGAATTGTGCCATAACCTCAAATTTTCAATTTACAACAACAAAACTTTGAGCTAGAATCAAGTTAGAATGCATATATATCAAAAAGTACGATTAAAAATAGAAAATCATCAAATATTCCATCAAGATTCCTTAAAAATGGTCTTAAAATCATAGTTATGAATTTATCAGCTAGATTCCGGTTAGATTTTAGTTGGTTTTTTTAGTTAGTCTTATCATAAACAATCCATAATGTTTAATGTTCTGGGAAGTGTCAAGGATTTTTCATACAAATTGTGGAAGTGTCCGGAAATGATGTAAAGATTTTAGCCACATTATCTCCCCCTTGAATTTAGTAAATTAAAACTGTTAACTATTCCCGAAACTTGATCTACATTGAAATATGATAAGATTTGACCCTGTTTTTTGGGGTCAATTCCAAAATGATTGCGCTTCGCGCCAAAAAAATCGCAGCAAATTAATCAGTCTATTTCCGTTGCTCTTCGGGAGTGAAACTGGCAAGAATGTCCACAAAGGCTGTCGTGTATTTTTCCTGCTCGCTGCTTGTCTGTAAGTTCCATTCGCCGTGCGGAATCTCGTAGGTGATCTCGATGGTGGCGGAGAGAAGAAAAAAAACGTGATTTGAGGAAATAACAGTGCAATAAATATTTAGTGTGCCAATAATAAGTATATTTTAATCCCTCACTTCATGATTAATCATTATGAATTCAAGTGCAAATTTCTTTGTCGTTTTCCTCGAGTGGTTTTCTGCATGTGGCGGATTTTATTTTCTGTATTGACGCGCGATATTAATCATAAATGGCTAATTGTAGGTTTGCTAAGTGCTCATGTTGAGTGTGGCAACAGCACGACAGCCAGGGCGCCTAGATTTAGGAGTCGCTTCGCCAGGACCACAACTGTATCGACAACCACTGAGGCCAGCACGACGTCCACGCCATCGACCAGCACTTCCACCAGCACTTCCACCACAGAAGCCACGACGACGACGACAACAGAAGCGCCGAAGGTTTGGGAGAAGGTTTGTGGCGAGAAGACGGGCGAGATTTATCCCTGGATTGCCATTCTGGAGCACTCAGATCCCAGCAAGAAGCTGAAGAAGAAGACGCTGAGTAAAGGAGTGCTCATCACGGACCAATTTGTCCTCACGACAGTGTCCAGCGTCCACAATTCCTATCCCTTCTGGATTGTGTGAGTGTTTTCGCAATTCCTCTGCAGAATCTTCAACACTTCAGTCTCTTCTGAGCGTCTTTAAATGCATTTTTCATCGCTTTTTAGTCTTTTTCAACTCTTTCTCACACTCAATTCTAACTTATCTCAATATATAATCTAAGTTTTGCCTTCAGAAAATGCTTTGAAACATTCTTACTGAATTGTGAGGTTATGAATTCGACTTAAAACATCCTTCTTGGACTAATTTAGATCCTTACGATCCTAATAAAACCTGAAAATGAGTAAATATAGAGAATCTCTGAATGTTTAACCGCGAAAATAACTAAACAAAGAAACATTCTTCTAGACCGAAATTAGATTTTTTGAGGTTATGATAGAATTTTAAGCTTTTCTCAATAAATATGAAGTTTTTTCGATCAAAAATGCTCAATTCCATGGAGAAAAAGAGAAATAATCCCAGCTTAAACACAAATTTGATTACTTTGAGGATTATTAAATCGTTAGAATCTATTTTAAATCAATCACATAACCTAGAAAAGCAATAAAAATCTTTTTTTTTTTTGCTGAGCCTGAAGCTTTTGTTATGCAAATTTTCCACATATTTGACCACTTCCGACCATAATATCTGGCCCTTGGTTTAAGCTCCATTTATCGATATGAAATTGAATGATAATTGAGAAAACCTTGTGCAGATTTAATTGAATTTGTCACAACAAATGTCCGAGATTTATGAATAGCAGAAAGATTTGGTATTCTTCGTGGTTATTCAGCCACGCTTCGACACATCTTGGAAGATTAATTATATTGATAGAAATTCCTAAAAACAAATTGCAAATTGATCAAGAAATAACGATCCATTTGAGAATTTCAAGCACGATTTCGAGGCAAAAATAGTTTTGCTGTGATAATTACATATTTTGTGGAAATTCACTCTTTTTCAGGGTCAATTTGTGAATAGAAATTACTTAGTTTATGCATTGCATTGAATTTGAAATTCGCATTTCTCTCCCACACTTTCGCAGCTCAAAGGTTCGTTTGGGTGAATTTGTGGACACGCGCGGGAACAGGAACACATCGCAGCGTGTCACTTTGTCCGTCGATGACATCTTCCTGCACGATCGCCGGGATATTGCGCTGGTGAAGCTGCAGAAGCCGGTGAACTTCACCAGATTCATTCGGCCAGTTTGCCTGCCCAACTCGGAGAACTACAATTTCCGCGAGATGTACTTCCACGTGTGCAGGAAGACGTCACACTTGGGGCGTCTGGGCTACGCGCATCACACGATGCCCGTGAGTCCGCTCACGCCGCAGGACTGCTCGACGCTGTTCCACCGGAAGACGGGCGAGTTCTCCGAGAAGGAGGAGTTCTGTGCGTGGGACGAGCGCGGAGACTCTTGCTACGGCGATCTCGGAGGGCCTCTGATAGGCATTCACGACGGACGCTTCCAAGTCATCGGCCTGAGCTCCTATGCGCACTCGAAGAAGCCAATAAATGACGAAGGATTGCCGGGAATCTACACGCGAGTCGGCGCTCATCGCGCGTGGATGAACAGGATCATTTCGAATACGTGAAATTCTCACTTTTGTGCTGATTGTGCACAATTTGAATGAATGAAATAAAACTTGTTGAACACAAAATCACATCTTTTTGCAATTGAAAGTCACGGGGGCTCGTCTAGTCTTGACTGTGTTTACATCCTGATTGAGGCTTTCGCAGAAAAAAAAGCAGCTAACAAACCGTGAAGAGTAGAAGAAAAATCATCAAACATCTCTATATTAAACTCGTCTTGATCCATTCATTTCAATTACACGTTCTTTTCATTCATGATTTTTTTCTTGAGACGATCAGAAAGGTTGTTTTTACACGAAATCCGAGAAACACGATCGAAGATTTCGCACAAAAAGTTGTCGAGTGTCCGGATTGTCAAGAATATCATCTTAATCTGAAAAATGCTATTCAATGAGCATCGCCTGAGCAAGGGGGAGATAATGCAGTCAGAAGTGGTGTACAACTCAATGGAAGTCTTTAGAAGTAAAAGTGTTCAGAAACTTGCAATATTCCTTTCCTGACTGCTTCTTTTACTGCCAAATCATCCCAATTCTTTGGATTTCCTTGGATTTTCGCGTAGAAACAATCAAAATATTTCCTTTTTTAGGTTATGTAACGAATTAAGGGCGGATTTAGAAAATAATTCGCATTTCAGCACATCAATTCTTATAATAAAATCGCAGAGATCTCTAGTCTTTGACAGAATTTAGCATTTTCATGCAATAAACACTGGTAATTCTGAACCTTTGATGCCAAGAAATACTGAAAATTGAGCTAAGATCAAACATAGCCTAAAAAATAATAACTTGAACTTGGAAAATGTTAATTTAGAAAACATTTTAGACGATTTATAATGTGAATTAGCAATTTTGAATTCATTGGCAAATCATAACAGATGATTTTGTGATGTAAAAAGCTTCTAAATTAAGTTCTCAAAGACTTTTTTAGTCATATTTTGAGGTTATGGTCAAAAAAGATGCCCAAAAATCGATTTTAAATGGATTTTTACAGTAATATTGAATGGAAACTCTGGAAATTTTCATTTAATCTTTGAATAAGTGTACAAGAAGTCAAAAATTCAAGTACTGGAAGTGTTGGGAAGTGTGTTATACAGATTTAAGGCAAATTATCTTCCCCTTGCGCGAGACTGCAATCTTCCTTCGCCCTGACACGAATGAGCTGTTTACAAAATAATTGCAACACTGTTTCGCTAAATCTGGACAGACTCCCAGAAATTATGCTTCACATCTGCGACATGCTTTTCCGGTCTTTTGTCACGATTTGTTATCAACGTTCAGGGTCACTCTGGGGTCGTGTTTTCGGTTAACAGACCAACTGAGGACCAAGTGGGCACGCGGAAAATGAGGCAGTCGCAATCCATTGACCCTCGCCGAGAGAGTGATTTGCGAAATGGAGTTCTTCCTTGTACAAAAAGTGCTTCCCTTCTTGCTCCTCGCGCTCCACAATGTCGTGGGTGTGCCGATATTTGGTGCAAAGAATAACTTTCTAAGCGGCATTTGCAGCTCAGACGACGTGATGATCTACACAGACGATACGAGAATTGAAAACTCTGGGCCGAGCACACTCAATGCCACTCTTGAGGTGAGTTCCAAGTTCGAGGGTCGGGCAAAAACATGTTTATTCATCGGCATCTAATCACCGAGCAGATCTATATCGATCCACCAGTGCCAATAAAGTGTATAATCGCCGAAGATCAGATGGCAGACGGAACTGGTGGAGTTATGACGCTCAATTCGGGCGGCATGAATCACAACTGGGTCTTTCTCGACGTTCAGGGTCAATATGGTCAGGGATTTCACTTCAAGATCTCCATCTATGGCTTCGCGCCATCGGCCAGCAGACGCACAGCATGAGGATCCGTTTCATACATCTTTATTTCAGAAATCTTGTACAAATAAAAAGGGGTTCTGCGACACCTAAAGACTGCCTTTTGAGTTTGAGGCGCGAGTATCGTTTTATTAATAAGTTAAGAAGAGACTTGGATGCTGAGCTTCTGTGGACATTCACTGGACATTGTCAGAGTCACTCCTCAAGGCGGAGCGAATGTTGCTGCCCCGGAAGCCAGTTCGTCTGGTGGTGCTGCGATAGCCACTGCTGCTGGACGTCGATCCGGTGGAGCTTCCGCTGGATCCAGTTGAGCTTGAGCTGCCGCCAGAACTGCTAGCGCCGGATGAACTGCCCGATCCGCCGTCTCCGCCTGAGGATTGCTTCTCGCTGGCGATTGCTCCGCCATCGCCATCGCCGCCAGAAACACCTGATCCTCCACCTGCTCCGCCATCGTCTCCGCCAGCGCCGCCATCAATATCTCCACCTGGAAGAGCAAGGAGATACAGGGACAGTGAGACATTTCGATGTGCCGCGAAGTTCCACGCAAAGCTGGAGATTTGAATTTTTTCACCAATCTTCCCTCATTAATAAGTAACTATCATGCCGAGTTTGAAGCCTTTCGGCCTAGTCCTTCATCCTTTTATGACATTGAAACAGAACCAAAGCAGTAATCAATCCTTCAACTTAAATAGAACCACTTGCATAACGTTTGAATTCTTGTAATTTAAGTTTGTTTTGGGTTCTTAATCACCTTTAAATGAATCCAAGGAGTCTTCAGGATAATTGTCCTGTCGATTTTCATTGACTATCTGGACTTTATAAGTGTTTGATATCATAATTTGATTAAGTGAATATCAAATTACGGGGCGTGAGCGATACACGATTTCAAAGGATCGTACGGAGGATTTTCAGCTGCACAACAAAGGACATTTAATCAGGGACGTGAGTAGAAGGACCTTCTGTTAGAAATTAGAGTTTAGAACGTTATTGACCGCGTAAAGCAGTTCAATTTCCCGGAAAATCCTTCAAGAATAACTTTTTCGGATGTTTAAGGCGAATTCCTTGATTAAGGATTGTTTCTTAAGGTCTAACTTAAGGTTTAACTTACCCTGATTGCCATCAAGATCTCCACCAGCGCCATCGACATCCCCATCATCTCCTCCCGCTCCTCCCGCTCCTCCTGCTCCTCCCACGCCTCCGATATCCTCCACTCCTCCCACGCCGCCTGCACTTCCTGCTGCTCCGGCAACACCACCGTCCACAGCTCCCGGTCCTGCAGCCAATCCAGGCGCTCCAGCGGCTCCTGGTCCTCCGAAAACGGACGGATAGTAGCCGAAGGGTGGCAAGTAGGGATTCACATTGTATCCGCCGCCGAAGGAGTCGTAGATCAGTGGGTAGGAGTTGTAGGGATAGGGCTGAAGATTGACGGGATTCTGCCGATTGAAGTCCTGGCCCGTTGAGAGGGGAATCAAATTGGGCGGCAGACCGAATTCATTCAGTGGAATTGGCGGATTCTCCTTCAGCACGTTGGTATTTGCCACGGATCCAGCATCGAGCTGGGCATCATTGCCACTGAGGATGGCCTGATCATTAGTCACCGTGCCTCCTGAGGCAGTCTCTTCCGCAGCCACAGCTCCAGCCGCGGATTTCTGTAATTCACCAGCGCGAGATTAGCATCTGCGCAGTTGGAGATTGTTGGGCTGTGCAAACTCACCCCCTGGCTGAAGTAGGAGAAGTGGTTCCTGGCCTGGTAGCCGGGCAGCGGCCCCGGGACGAAGCCTCCGTGGTGGTAGGGATCGTAGAGCCCGAAGGCGTTGTGGTGGTGCGCCAGGCCGAAGGCGGAGTAGCCGAAGCCGGCGTCGTGGATGGTGGGCTGGACCACGGGATAGGCTCTGCTGGGAATGAGGTTCTGATCTGTGGTGATGAGAGCATTATAGACTTTGGGCGACTTGAGCGTGGTCGAGTGGACGAGTGTGACCAGCAGAGCGCTGAGCAGCGCGAGAGTCTGCAATTACAAATGACAAATTCACTGATCCCATGCATGACTGAGTCCGCGAGTGAGTGTTGTTGATGGATGAGAGCCTCCGCGGGCCAGAAGACGCGCATTCACGGATGATGATGATGATGATGAAGTAACGAGAGGCAGTAAAGTTGCATCAAGAGTGCAATAAAACTACTGGGATGCCGATTTTTTTTTCTCTCTTTTCCTCCTAAAAGTGAAATCGTGCACAACTATATAATTTTTTTTATCGTACAAACAGTTGGGCAAAATATGTGCCCCGAGACATTCTCATGAGCTTCGGCGCGATGGCAATCATAAGTCAGGCTGGTCGCAAAGGCCACGCGGATTTTTCCGCCAAAATCACACACCACGCTCAAATGTTAATGTTCTATCGTGGTCATGGTATTTCACTGCAAAAAATCCACCTAATCCAGCATAGAAGTTCTCTTCGACATCCAAGCGATTTTCTCAATCACGATCTCACTAAGCACTCTCCTTGTCCACACAATTTGCCACAAGAACTGCACCCAGAGAAAACGTCTCGTGGATTTCTATGCGCGATGTATTAATCTTGTCAAGGCTCGCAAATCCCAAGGGGGAAATAATGCAGTCGGAAGTGGTGTGCAGCTTAGTGAAAGTGTTCAAAAACCTACAATATTCCTTTCCTCAGTGCTACTTTTACTGTCAAATCATTCTGATTCTTTAGATTTCCTTTGATTTTCACGCTAGAAACAATCAAAATAATCCTTTTCGAGGTTATGTAGCGAATCAAGGACAGATAAAAGTCGAAGACATCGCTAGTTATTGATAGAATTAGGCTAGACGCCAAAAAACACTGTAAATTGAATTAAAGTTGCACATAACCTTAAAAATTGTAGAATCAAGAACGAATTTAGTGAATAATTCGCATTCTAGCACATAAATTCTTATGCTAAAATCCGAGATATCGCTAGTCTTGTGTGTTTTCATTGATTACAGGCATTTTCATGCAATAAACACTCTTATTCTGAACCTTTGATGCCAAGAAATACTGAAGAAACACTGAAAATTGTGCTAAGATCAAACATAACCTCAGAAACAGTGATTTAGACTTGAAAAATGTTAATTCAGAAAACATTCTAGACGATTTAGTCTCTAAATCAGCAATTTTGAATTGTTAGAAGGCTTCTAATCTCAGACGTTATAGACTTTTTAGTGATATTTTGAGGTTATGGTCAGAAAAGATGCTCAAAAAGCGGTTTTGAATTGATTTTTTTTTGGGAAATATCGGATGGAAACTTAAGAGATTTAGTGCAAATATTAAAATTTCTATGCAAATAGTTAAGAAATTTCAAGTGCCAGACGATTTGAGGCATATTATTTTCCCCTTGGCAAATCCCTACAGTGTCTGTAAACGGGTTTTCACAAGCAATTTTTTTTCAATTTTAATTTGCAATAACATGTAAAAAGTAAATCAATGTTGTTCTTAGAGACGAAATATTTCCTCAGCGCCATTCAGAGTCATAAATGAACTTAGCGAGTGAATAAATTAAGTGTTAGACAATTGGATGCCCCGCATAAAATATGAACTTCACACACATAATCCGTGCTGCTTTTTTCTCTGAGTACACCGCGGAATATTGGTGGAAATGATTTGCGTGGGTCTTTGAGGAGAATTTGTAACCATGGCTGGAAAAATTTGATGTGGTGTTCCTCAACGGCGGCAATTGTATGCGATGTGGATACAAATTGGCTCTCTTTCGCAGACAACAAACTTATCCGTACACACTTTATTAGTCAATCAGGCAGCAATAAAACGCACTTTGCCTTCACATCTTGGACTCTTGTGTCTCGCCAAAGTGAGTGGAGGAAATGGCTTGGCTAGTTGAAAAGTCGTGGAGGTGGATGGGATTTTTGCTCAATAATTAATTAAACACAACAATATATGGTCAGATGTGATGCATTTTGCACCTCTCGTTCATTCTTCTGATTCCTTTTGTGTTTCCTCTTGTCGCAATTATTTCTTCCTTCTCTCTCTCTCTCTCTCTCTTTGCTCTCTCACAACAATTTTTCGCGCGCGCACTTTTCCTATTTCTTTTGCCAACATGTGAGAATCATAAATTCATTGTATATTGAGACAAATATTTCTCCTGGCTTTCCTCCTCTGTTGTTGTTGCCTTTGCACCATTGCAAAATTACCATTTGTTTGGAATTTTATAAGATCAAACAATACATGAGATGAAATAACTGTTTTCATGTGTTCTAATCTTTCAATATTACATGTGGAAGTTGGAGGAAAGAAAAACGCGAGTAACTCGCGATTTAATGTTGGTGTTTTGTTGCATGGCGTTGGGCAATGAATAAAATTCTCTCCATAGTAGTATTTGGGTTAAAATTGTAATTCAATAGAATTCTTTCTCCATCGACGGTTGAGATTTCAATCGACGAAAGGAGGAGAGAAAGAAGAAATTTCTCACAGAGAGAAATTGAAGATTGAGGATAGATTGGAAAATAAGAACAGAAATTGTTCTACATTCGTGCGAGCGACTCTTTCACTTCACCCAGCGCCACCCACTCGCCATTTCCTCCTTCTGCAGCCACTTCCGCGTGTCGCAAGAGAAATAATATAATCAATTGCACAATGAGATGGATAATTTCATGTTTAATTCTCCGATTCACTTCTCTGATCGCCGCTCTTTTTTTCCATCTGAGCGATAGCAGCAATGAAATCAAATCTCCCACTCTGGGCGGCGTAATGAGAGACTCGAGATGTTGTCACAAATTCACCCTCGAGCCACTTCAGGTGCTCCATTGGAGACTATTTGAAAGCAGTCACGGAGAATGCAAAAAATGTCGAGCACCATTAAACAATTAACAAGCACTGGCTGATGGATACTATCTTAGGGACTAATTGTGCAAGAAAATCATGTGAAAACTCACTTTAATTGCCTGATTCATGGTTTATCTTGCTCTAATCCTCAGGCTGTTGCCACTGTTTCGCCTGGAAAATCACCGAAAAGAAAAATAAACTAAACACCGCCGGAATTGAGAGTGTCGCAGAAAGGTGAAAATACTCCAAAAGAATAAATATCGCACGATTTTGGGATATTTGCACTTGAACGTAACACAATTTTTGAACACTATATATTTCTCACTTTGCGTTTCTATTTGGTGTCTCTGTTCACAAAGAGTGAATTGAACAGTAAATAACACTGAAGAGGATTAACTTTTCTATCCAATGTAAATTCTCTTAAAGTCATTTACATCTTCACCATTCAAACGAAATGAATTAATATAACGAGTTGCTTACCTTTATATATTCCCCGGTTTAGGCCTTACTCAGTGTCGCTGTTGTGGAGATACACTGAACTTCGCAAAGTTACTCGTTGCGCTGTTGCGCCGTAGAAAAACATATGCGCTGCGATTGGGCGTAATAAATTGGCCTTTACAACGCTTAAGTGAATTTCAAAATACTTACGATGATAAGAAATTCAGGAGTCGTTGTGACTTTAATGTCATTCATAACATTTATGAAAGTGGGAAATTTATCTTTAATCGTTCGCGCCTGTCAGCGTGAAGACAAGAAGTGCCGGAAAACTCACGTGAGAATCAAGAAAATATACGATTTTGATGTTATCTGGTGAAAAAAATGCCAATTGATCGCATTTATCTGTCAATTTGTGTACATTTAACTACACCAAATTGAGGTTATGTGTATCATGACGTTATTTTACCCTTTCAACGAAACTAATTGGTTTCCCAAAGCATTCGCAACTTTTTGCATTGCATACATTCCTTGATAATCGCCGAACACTCCTAGAAGATCCTTGAGATTAGTCTGGGAAGAACACGGAAAATTGTATTGAACTCAAACATAACCTCAAAAATAGTCATTTGAACTGGATAAACGCTTATTTATTTAACTTTTTGGACAATTTTGACTCTGAATCAGCAGTTTTGAAATCATTAGCAAATGCAGAATGCTTCGAAACGGAGTTTTTGCAGATTTCTCAGTGATATTTTGAGGTTATGGTCGGGAAAGATGTTCAAAAATGGGTTTTCAAAATGATTCTTACAGAAATATCAGATGGAAACGTAAGAGATTCATTATTATTTGGGAAATTCATGTAGAAACCAGTCTAGAAACTTCAAGTCAGTTCTTCATTCGTACTTTACACTAGCGCCGCCATGCGGCTGTCAATATAAATTGTGAAAAGCGTAAAGTTGCAATGAATAAATTAATTTTTTTTTTTGATATTGCATTATTGAATTTCTAAATATCTATTAATTTTTCATATGTTGAAAATATTTGAGAAGAGTTTGAAGAATGCTGGATTTTACTACGCGCAGAAAACTGTCACTCTTCTCCAGGTGAGTCGCGTGAAGTTATATTGTCTGTTGCACATTTCACTGAGAGGCCCCGCGAGGCATTCGATTTCAAGTGTAGGTCTCCATTATATTTCTGTGATTCATGTAGTTGATTGTTTATTAAATGTAACTCTTCGGAGCCATATGTTTATAAACATTACACACACCACGATTCCCTAAGACCTCTACGGGACGGTTTTGTGATCTGTTCGCAATGCGCGGAGTCATTATCTGGCGCGCGCGGGGAGGGAAAGATTGCGGAGACAGGGAGAATTATGGTGTGCATACGGTGCAATTCCTAATGAATTATAGTTCCAAACTCTGAGCAAGTCAGCTTCTTCTATCCTGAAGAATAATTTCAATATTTATGTTAGAACAAATGGACGGTTTTACAATTGCGCGTGACACGATTTTCGAAAGATTCTACGGAATTCTTTGTCTAATTAAATGTGAGGGAAAAACTGGGAAATTCCTGTCTTCCAGAGAGAGAGAGAGACTGAATCATCTTCCCCAACCATTCACAGCGAGGTGTGAAAAATTCACATGAATTACATTAAGTGAATCAATTAATTCCCATTTTGATTTGCACACACTTTGCAATTTTCCCTGCGGCATTTGTGCTTAAGTGCATAAGTGGAAAAGAACATATCGAACTTTGCGGAAATTGATTGGAAAATTTATCTAGCATTCACAACTTCTGTGAGAAATCATTCTCAAACTGAAAAACAGTTGAGGAAAATAGTTGCGAGTGAATTTTTCCCACTAAATTTCCCATAGCGGCGCAACTTTGACCCACTTTTTCTCAATCGCGTCTTTAGCCCCTAAAAATTTACTTTCAATCAATTTAAAATTGAATCTCGGCTCTGCATCACAAATTCTCCGTTGCCCTGACCGTGAAATTGTGATTAATTTCGCTCAAGTTTACGGTTAATCTTTTGAATCTCTTCTTCTCTTCTCTGTTTTGAGAACGATTTGTGTGAATTTGAATTGTAGTGAATCAACTGCCCGGCAGAGAACGACACTGAAGCCGTTGGGGTTAAACTGGTTTGAGTCTCGTCTGACGGGATTATCCGCACTTCTATGCGGATTATATATTGCATTGTGATAAATTTGATTCACAATCTTCGGCACTTCGACACATTTTTTGCACTTTTTTTTCATTGCATTTAGAAATAGAAATGAGAAACACTTCAATTAAATTATCTTTCCAAGGGAAGAATTTACACAAGATTGCCATAATTTCTGATCTTAGAAGCTCAAGTTTGATTGTAAAATTTCTGTGATTAAATCTTCATAAAGTCTACAAGAATTTCATTAATTTAACTGATTGAATTATTTTCACAAGGCGATTTTTGAGGATAATTAACGGTCACAATCAAATATTTAAATATTTGAATGAAGTAAACACAAAAAATTATTTTTTTCCAAGCAAAATTGCAAAATATTCATATTTTTATTAAAATAATAATAAACTGATTGAAATTTTTATATTAAATAATCAAATTTTGAAAAAAAAATCCTGAAATAATCAAGAAATTATTGGAATTTTTGGTATGAAAAAATCAAAATTTGAACAGAAATCCGAAAACAATAAAAAAAACGATTGAAATTTGCATTAAATAATCAAAATTTGAATAAAAATCAAGTAATAATCAAGAAATTATTGAAATTTGTATGAAAAAAGTCAAAATTTGAATAAAAATTTACGAAATAATAAAAACTGATTGAAATTTTTCATATTAAATTATCAAAAGTTGAATAAAAATCACGAAATAATAAAAAAGAAATTATTGAAATGTTGGATGGCGCTGCTCCAAAGGGCGCCAAAACCCGAGGAACCACGACCTCTAGGTTCCGGGCTCTCATCGGGAGCCTATATAAGCGAGATGTTTCCCGCTCTCGCTCTCTTATTTCTTCTTCTTAACCTATTGGATTGTAATGAACGTGTGAATTAAATAGTCAGTAGAAAATCGCGAGTTATCTCAATAATTAAGTGCCATCTCTCGTGCTCTACCACTCGGACCACTCGGCGAAGAGATCTGGGATCATCTAACTCCCTGAAATCCCCAGGTATTTATCTTCCCGCCACAACATCTGGCGAACGAGATGGCTGACGAATCTGCTGCCAGCTTCCTCAAGGCAATTGAGAATCTCATCGAGCGGAAACTCGCCGAGAAATCACCTGACGCACCACGTGCTGCCGCATGCTCGACTCCCGCACCTGAAGTCGAGGCTCTAGCTCGTGCCATCACGCCATTTACGCACTCACCGGACCAGAATCTGACCTTCGAGACATGGTTCAGCCGCTACAAGTCGACATTCCTGGAAGACGGGAAGAATCTGGATGAAGCGGCGCGAGTCAGACTTCTGCTACGGCGATTGGACGGTGCAGCGTATGCTCGATACGCTAACCTTCTCCGGCCTCGAGATCCCGCCGAGATCTCGTTTGAAGAGAATGTCCGGAGACTTTCTCGACTCTTCGGGAAAGGCGAATCGCTCTTCAGCATGCGGAGAAAGTGCCTCCAATACACCATGGACGAGGCTGATGATTGGGGCAACCACGGTGGCCTCATCAACAGTCTATGCGAGGACTTCCAAATCAGTGCCTGCACTCCGGACCAATTCAAGGCTCTCATGTTCTGCATCAGCATCCGGAGTGACCGCCACATCTCCGTACGCGAGCAATTGCTGGCGAAATTGGAGACGGACTCAGAGAAGATCAACGTCGACTTCCTCATCGACGAGGCCCGTCGCTTATCCAACGTGAAGAAGGATGCTCGTCTCGATATCGTCCCGGCCGCGTCTGTGAGTGTCGTGAGTGTGAAGAAGAACCATGCGAATCATGGTAAGAGGGATCATCCTCCGCGGCCCTGCTTCCTGTGCGGTGCTATGCATTTCGTGAGGGACTGCAATCACCGTGAGACGAAGTGCCAGGATTGTGGCCAAATTGGCCACAAGACGGGGTACTGCCCACCTGCTCAGTCTTCCTCCGGGAAGCCCAAGGCACAGCGCGGAAGGAAGAACATCGCCAAGAAGAGGAAGAATCAGCAAGCCCGCGCTAACGCCATACACGCAGAACGGTATCGTGGTCGACGATACCTCACTCCTGTGGTCAACGGTCAGCCGCTCTTGTTCCAGCTCGACAGCGCTGCCGATGTCTCTGTCATGACCAGAGACGCCTGGGAGAAGATTGGCAAGCCGGCGCTTCAAGAAGCCTCACTCACTGTCCGCGATGCTCAGGCCAATCGCATCCAGGTGCTTGGACAGTTTGAGGCTACTATCCGATTCCACGGCAAAGAGATCCAGCGGCGATGCCTCGTATCGCCCAGCGCTCACGATAATCTCTTTGGGATTGAATGGATGGATGCTTTTGGGCTCTGGGATGTCGCGCCTAGTGCCTATTGCAACGCAATTCACCGGGACTTCGACAGCAAGGCGGCTATTCGGGAACTCCAGACGTCATTCCCGATCGTCTTCAGTCCACAGATGGGCCTGTGCACGAAAGCCACAGCAACGATTCATCTGAAGGCCAACGTCATCCCAGTGTTCCGCCCAAAGCGTCCAGTGGCGTTCCACATGACATCAGTCATCGATGAAGAGCTCCAGCGCCTCCAAGCCTCGGGGATTATATCCCCCACGGAGTTCTCTTCCTGGGCAGCGCCTATCGTGGTGGCTCGGAAGTCCAATGGGAGTATTCGGATTTGTGCAGATTACTCTACTGGGCTGAATGAGTCAGTCGAGGCCAACAGTCATCCGATTCCTGATCCGGATAGCCTGTTCGCTCAGCTATCTGAGAAATGCGTCTTCAGTCACGTGGATTTATCGGACGCATATCTGCAGATACCTGTTGATGAGGAGTCCCGAAAACTCCTGACCATCAACACACCACGAGGCCTCTTCCACTTCAACCGTCTTCCACCTGGCATTCGCAGTGCGCCTGGAATCTTCCAAAGCATCGTTGAGAAAATGCTGCACGGCATCCCTGATGTCATCTCATACTTCGACGATATTTGCATTGCCAGCGCGAGCCCAGAGGAACACATCGCCACACTCAAAGCTGTCTTCGAGAGGCTGAGGGAGTACAACTTCCGCGTGAAACTTGAGAAATGTAAGTTCTTCGCATCTTCTATCAAGTTTCTTGGAATCATTGCAGATAAGGATGGTCTCAGACCTGATCCCGGCAATACGGAAGCCATACGCCGTATGCCACCCCCAAAGAATATCCAACAGCTTCGCAGCTATTTGGGGGCTCTGCAATTTTGGGGGAAGTTTATTCAGTCCATGAGCGATCTGCGCATACCCATGGATCAGTTGCTGAAACAGGGAGCGCGTTGGAAATGGACGCGAGAGTGCCAGCGATCCTTCGAGAAATTCAAGGAGATTCTCGGATCGCAGCTCCTCCTCATGCACTACAACCCCCGGCTCCCTATCTACGTCGCCTCCGATGCCTCGTCCTATGCGATCGGTTGCGTGGCATATCATCAACTGCAGGACGGCTCACTAAAGGCCTTCTATCACGCATCACGACGCCTCACGGACACTGAGACGAGGTACAGCCAAATTGAGAAGGAAGGACTCGGAATTATCTTCGCCGTCAAGAAGTTACATCGCTTCATTTACGGGCGCCGATTCACCCTTTTGACTGACCACAAGCCGCTGGTCTCAATCTTCGGAAGTCAGAAGGGCATTCCAGTCCACACGGCCAACAGACTGCAGAGATGGGCTCTAATCCTGATGGGGTATGACTTTGAGATAAAGTTCACCTCCACGGATTCATTTGGACACGCCGACGTGCTCTCGAGGCTGATATCTGAGCAACCGCCACAGGATGAAGAAGTCATCATTGCACAGATCAGCCTGGATGAACATCTTGACGACATCGCATTCCAAGATGTCGCCCAACATCTTCCGGTGACCCTGAAGATGATCAGGAAGGCGATTGAGACATCCTCCACGTTGCAGGAAGTCATAAAATTCATCAGAGACGGCTGGCCACCCTCTGCAGCCCACATAAAGTCCAGGGAAGTGTCTAAATTGTGGAAGATACGCGATGCTCTCTCCCTAATTCGAGGTGTTGTCTTTTACAGGGAACGGCTGGTGGTGCCGGAGAAGTATCGCGCCAAGATCCTCGAACAACTCCACGAGGCACATCCTGGAATGAGTCGCATGAAGTCCTTTGCCCGTGGCTACGTATACTGGCCCAGCATCGATGCGGACATCGAAGCCAAAGTTCGAGGATGCACAAATTGCGCCACCACAGCCAAATCCCCTGTAAAGACACACCTCGCATCGTGGCCGCTCTCATCGCGGCCCTGGCAGCGCATACACATCGACTATGCGAAGCACAAAAACGAGAACTACCTTCTGGTAATCGACTCCTTCTCAAAGTGGCCAGAAGTGTTCAAGGTCTCGTCCACAACCACGGCCATGACAACATCCAAGCTCCGGGAAGTCTTTGCTCGTCACGGCAACGCAGAAACAATTGTTAGTGACAACGGCACACCCTTCATCAGCGCGGAATTCAAGAAGTTCTGCGATAGCCGAGGCATTAAACACCTGACGACAGCACCTTATTCACCTGCCAGCAATGGCCAGTGTGAACGTCTTGTGGATACTCTGAAGAGGTCTTTGGAGAAACAATGCGCTATACCGGTTGATGAGGCCTTGCTGAGATTCCTGGCGAGTTATCGGTTCACGCCTAACGAAAACTGCCCCGAAGGAAAGTCTCCGGCGGAGATAATCTACTCTCGAAAGGCCAGGACAGTTTTTGATCTGCTCAAGGAACAGCCCGATGACCCAATAACACGCAATGAGAGCATGGAGCAGGCCTACAATAGACGATTCGGAACAAAGAATCGCCAATTTCGCAAGGGGGAGGAGATTTATGTGAAGCGATATGCTCAAGGCGGCGTGCAATTCACTTGGACGCCTGGAAACATCATCGAGCCGAGAGGATCGGTGATGTACAATCTGCGCCTGAACAACGGCCTCATTATCCGCGCACACGCCAACCAATTGCGCCACCGCTGCTCTTCTGATGGGCATCCACCATCATCAACGCTGTCGCTACCCTCAGCACCTGATGGGCCGAGCATCGCTCCAGATGAACCTCTTCCGGGACCATCACGACATCCGACTCCTGCTGATGATCCACTCGAAACACCCACATCGAGTGAGACACCATTTTCGACGCCAGCTGAGACTTCAGACGGCACAGCGGATGAAACTCCCACTACCCCTTCTCGCTCTAGTGGAAGTATCATTGAGATCTCCGATGACGTAACCAGTGGGATAACAGACACGGAATCTCCCCAGCGTCCGCTTCCCGGAACGCCGGTTTACCGCCGCCACCGTCGCAGCCGACAAGAGGTTAATCCCGTGCGTCTTAGCAGCCGTTTCGACGAGGCACCCGCCGATTCCTGAAGGGGGGAGGTGTTGGATGGCGCTGCTCCAAAGGGCGCCAAAACCCGAGGAACCACGACCTCTAGGTTCCGGGCTCTCATCGGGAGCCTATATAAGCGAGATGTTTCCCGCTCTCGCTCTCTTATTTCTTCTTCTTAACCTATTGGATTGTAATGAACGTGTGAATTAAATAGTCAGTAGAAAATCGCGAGTTATCTCAATAATTAAGTGCCATCTCTCGTGCTCTACCACTCGGACCACTCGGCGAAGAGATCTGGGATCATCTAACTCCCTGAAATCCCCAGGTATTTATCTTCCCGCCACAACATGAAATTTGTATGCAAAATTAAAATCTGAATCAAAATCACAAAATGATCAAATAATAATTGATTTTCTTGAATGAAATAAATCAAAATTGAATAAAAACCACGAAATAATCAAGAAATGATTTAATATTCACAAAGTTAATGGTCTTTAATTATTATTATTGATTATTTCTGCGAATGAAAAACTCTCAAATCACAAGATTTGTTGAGCTTCAATATCTATGTAGCGTTTTCTCGGCTCAAACTTCTCTCACTGCGCTTCCTGTCGTGCAAAGAGGGAATTTTGCTCGGCCGAGAAGTTGCCAAGATTGAGATTTAGATAGTCCAAGAATATATAGAAAGGACTCTTCTCTGTTCTTCTTCTTCTGCCTTTGATTAAAATAAGACCACAAAAGCAATCTACAATGCAATTGTGCCAAACTTTTTCTTTCAACGGATCTCAAATGAAAATATCTATGTAACGTTTATGTAAAATTGTATACAATTCTCGAGTGATGTTGGCAAGAGCTCCGCCTTCTTGTGGGAACGGCTTCGGCGAAAAGGGACGGAGAGATGCTGGAAAATATAACACAATTCCCACAGTTACACTTTTCATTTGTCTGACGCTCACGATTGGTCAAAAGCGAATGTAAATTTACAGTGTTTATTTTCGGCATCACTCAATTATTGCTGACTATGAAGGAAGATTATTAAAATCGCGGATTAATTATACTGTTTCCGAAGAAAAATACACATTTTGATCCTTTATAATGCATTTTGGGGAGGAAAAATGCACGACAAATATAATAAATTTCTCCTGAATTTGAATGTTCTTGAACTTTGAGGGGTTGTTAGGGAAGTTTTGACGATTCCGTGAAGATGACAAGAATCTTTTAATGGGCTTCTATACCTTGTATGGCGTGCAAAAGTTCCCTCAGCATCCCCATTAAGTTGAACTAAAAGTGATATGTGTGTTCATTTTCCCAGAGAACCGCACAAGTTTTATGTTTCTCCACTTTTTTGGGTTTGCAAAAAGAGACGGAGTTGAAGGCTGCATGAAAGTGAGTTGGAAGTGGAAATTCGCGTGAGAAAGAGAGAAAGAGAGAGAGAAAAGCGCGCGCGAAATGGAGTTGAAAGGGCATTTTGAAACGGCGCACAGTAACAATTTGGCGTGAAATTGCTCTGGGGGCGGAAAGTGGGGTGAATTGCGCGATTCCCATCCGCGTCTCAACCACCCCAAATTCATCCCTGGACCACCACGCGCGCGAACATACATCACAATGCCGAAGAGATGAGTCTCTCTCTCTCTCTCGCACGCACGCGAAATTTGCACACTGTGACTCAATTGTTCACCCCCTCCGAGGCCGCCCCTGCACATTTTCCACCCTCGTGCCGTCTCTGTCCCACCACCACCCTGACAATGGTGAAAATTTTGTGGCAAGTCTGCGGAATGGACAGTGTTTACAATGGAAATCTCACCTATTCGTGATACAGTTGTGTTGCCAGTGCGATGGGAGTATTTCACGCACACATAGCCGCCGCCGCCCATTCAACTTTATATACAATTACTCTGTGTAGCGTTGTACACACAGCATCCAGTGTAATGTTTCCCACTTGAGGATTTCGGATGGATTTGGTTGGCTCTTGGCTTCGGAATATGGTTACGGCATCGCTGAATATACTTTTTGATTCAGTTACATTCTGCACTCTGCGGACGGTGGCTGTTCCTTAATTGTGTGCTCTGTGCTCTCCTCGCCATCCCACTCGAGTCCCTGAACACTCCCTTGCGCTCCTCAGTGGCTCGGTTGGCAAGTTATGTGACTCTTTGTCCAGTGATAACTGAAGAATAGCCGCTTGAAATTGAATCAGTGCACAATGAGTTTACCAAATGGAGTTGACATGACGAACTTGATGTCTCAGCATCCCGTTCTGGGCGCCCTGCCGCCCTCGTTCTTCCTCAGGGCAGCCTCAGAACGCTACCAAAGGACCCCAAAGTGCGCCAGATGCCGCAATCATGGAGTGGTAATTTCCCTCTTTTCCCCAAATTGTGAAACCGTCGCTGTATTTTTATGCTACTGAGTGATTGAATTCTAGCAATATTACGGTGTTAATGTGATAATTCAACATATTTCTTTACAATGTCTTTTTTGTCTTGTGGTGAAGAAAGAAAGAAAGAAAAAAAAACCCACCCACAAATGGTAATTTAATCTGAGTGAGATTATTCACAATTACCGAGTGCCCAAGAGAGGAAAAAGCTCTCTAGAGAACGGCTTTAGTGGGAGGGTTTTTCTTTCAGAAATTACCCTCTTTTGAGCTGCTTTTTTTTCTACACCTCGATTGTCAGTAATTATAAAATTGCGCACGAAATGAAATAACAAGCAATTTGCAACCCTTTTGCGTCTCCTTTCGCTCTCTTCCTCAGGGCGGGAGAAATGGTTCTTTGTGTGCTTCAAATGTTCCCACATTTTAGGGACACAGTTTTATATGTTTTCTCACCACTTCTTTGCTGTGCCACTTTCCGCAGGTGAGCGCTCTGAAGGGCCACAAGAGATACTGCCGATGGCGGGATTGTGTGTGCGCGAAATGCACATTGATTGCTGAACGACAGCGTGTTATGGCAGCACAGGTAATTGGGAGGATATCTATGAGTAACTCCCTGGAGATCCTTGCGAAATTGATAGAATAAATCGTTGAATAAGGTTGCACTGCGGAGACAACAGGCGCAGGAGGAGAACGAGGCTCGTGAACTAGGTTTACTCTACACTGTGCCAAATCCCAATTCTGCCGCCTCAGACAAAATGCCACATTCTCAAGACAACATGAGAAGTGCAAGTTCGCCGTCGAGAAAGGAGAGTTCCCGGAATCAGAGAAATTCCTCGTTCAACAACAATGATTCTCGTAAGTTTTTTTTTCCAGCATTTTACTCATTGAATTGTTGTCGAAATTAGACTAATTTTTCCCCAAAACACCCTCTTATCGTTCATTAAATTGATGAAATTGATAATATTGGTCATTTTCAATTATTTTCTACAATTTTCAGTTGATTTTATTGGTTAGTTATTAAAAGATTAACGGAAATATGCAGAGTTAATGGATGAACTGAAGATATTTAAGTACAAAAAAGGCGGTTTCTGATAATTTTCTTTGTGATTTTTTCTTGGACAGTTTGCAAAAAGCAACTTTGAACATTTTTCTTATAATTTATAAGATTTACAACTACAATGATGGCAATTTTCTACTTGTTTTTCCCAATAGATTTCATAATTCGACTGATTTTTCATATAATTTCATTGATTTTTGGAATTATTTGTTAATATTTTATTTTTTCACATTCTATATTTTTCACCATACAAATTGAAAGTGAATTTAAGAATGAAAAAAAAACTTTAAAAGCACAGGAAAAATATCCATTCGTTTGAATTTCTGAACTAATTGCAAATAAATGTAATTAAATATTCAATAATTCTAATATTTCTTCTTCCAATTTCATCAAATGTCTTTCAATAGTCGCCAGAATAAAAATGTTCAATGAAAACTATCAAAAATTGAATTTTGAAAGGCGAATTTTGATAGTTTTCGAGGAATCCGTCGACATATATTTGCTATAACTAATTAAATATCGTGAAATCTGCATTCAAAATCTCTCGCTTGACCTTTATTGTATGGAAAATGCGTCACTTTTCGCTGTCGAATGGCTACCTTGGCGTGTGATAGTGTGAAATTTAACAAAAATTCTCTATTTGCGGATATTATTAGACGATGAGAAATGTTTCTGTTAATACTTGCTCAAGTCAACAATCATTTGCATATGCTCACAATTTACAACATTTTTATTCAATGATGGCTTTTCAATGGGTCATTGCAAAGCAAATTTTGAGGAATTTCAAACAGAAAAAATGCGAAGGAGCAAAAAAAAATGCCCATTTTTAATCACTTTATTCTCACACTTTCCCAGAAATTGATCTCGTGAGATCCACGCGTTTGTCGTCATCTTACTCGCCGGAAAACACGGAGAACGACGGAAGTCCTGGTAAGTGAGTTGAACAATCTCAAAGTACTGTTGATCTTTTATTAGTTGAACGCATGTTTCCATTCATTTTGCCATTGTGCGTTCGCGAGCAAATTGTGGTTCAACTTCTTCCATTGTTGATAATTATAATATGCGACTACTTGTGCTGAAATATGGGATGAAAAGAGGTTCTCGAGAGTGGCGGAGAAAAGCGTGAAAATACACTTTGGTTTCTTCAAGTTGTTTCAGCTCACGCTATTAAAATATACACAGGGTGACTTTTAGCAAAGTCTCCTTTGAGAGCATTTCATACTACCTTTTCTCAATTTACCCGAAAAATCAACCCCTTTTCTGGATTTCACCGATAAATCTTGGGCGCTTTTGGTTAAAAATAATTTCCAGTATTGTTCTAATTGAGGCAATTATGCTGTGCTCAAGTGAAAATGGGAGAAAGGATGAAATATATTGTGAATGAGGTACAATATAATGAATTGAATACATATGATTTACTGGATACTTGAAATCATCCATTGAAATTTATTTTGTCTGCGTCGGGGTGGAAAATGCCAAGGGGGAGACAATATGGCCTCAATCTGTACACTTCCCCAATTCCTCTGCAGAATCTTCAACACTTCAGTCTCTTCTGAGCGTCTTTAAATGCATTTTTCATCGCTTTTTAGTCTTTTTCAACTCTTTCTCACACTCAATTCAAACTTATCTCAATATATAATCTAAGTTTTGCCTTCAGAAAATGCTTTGAAACATTCTTACTAAATTGTGAGGTTATGAATACGACTTAAAACATCCTTCTTGGGCTAATTTAGATCCTTACGATCCTAATAAAACCTGGAAATGAGTAAATATAGTGAATCTCTGAATGTTTAACCGCGGAAGAAACTAAACAAAGAAACATTCTTCTAGCCTGAATTTAGATTTTTTGAGGTTATGATTGACTTTCAAGTACTTTCTTACTATTGAAATTTAATCAATCCGAAGATTTTTGTGCACAAATACTCAGTTTTGCCAAGAAAAAGCGAAATATTCTTAGATTAACCAGGATTTAATTGTTTTGAGGGTTATTTAATCACCAAAGTCTGTTCCAAATCAATCACATAACCTATAAAAAGCAGTCAAATTCGTTGTAATTGAAGATTTTGCTGTACACCACTTCCCGCCATAATATCTACCCCTTGGAAGATGTGAAAGGCATCGTTGAGCCGTGGCTGGTGAAGCCATTAGGGTTTGACTCTCTGGCCACAGCATCTCGTGCATCAGCAGAGAGAGGATTCTGTATTGATCAGAGATTTTGTACAATGATTGTGGGAGCATTTCAGGGAAAAGCATCAGATATTTATTCTCAAGTATCGTTTAGAAATGTTGAAGAGCCTCTATTCAGCGAACGCATAGGGTGTTTTATAAAGACCACAACATACATTGCTGATGAATACACACACGAATTGGGGCGGCTATTGGAAGGCCCTTTACTTGAGGAAAAGCCCACCAAACTCTTCATCCTCTCATCCCACTAACGACTTTGCATTTTGCTGGCGGAATTCCTTCAATGACCTCACTTGATGCTTCCACTTGAATGGAATGCAAATTTTTGTGTTGTGTGAAATTCTGTATTCTGTCAAAATGTACATCCAAATCATCATTTTATCAATCTTTTTTCCGTCCTTTCTCGTGCGTTGCGCTTTTGATCCTGGGTTTTATTTGTGAAAAGAAACGCCACACTCGAAAGAGAATTCCAAATTTCCTTCCAAATTTCTGCGAATTGAGCACAATATAATTGATTTCATGGAAGTTTCCTTGAGAGGCAGCAAAAGTGTATGCGAAGAGAGTTTTCGCAAAACCACATCCCTTTTCCACACCCTCATGCGATCATGAAATAAATAAAAACCCTCTCGAAAGTGTTGTGCATTGTCAAAGACAGAATTTTGCCAACAAAAGAGTCACAATTAAAATTAAATTCACTCTCGTGACAATTCCTCTAAAGTCTCCCAAGTCAAAGTTGAAGGTTTTTCTTTTGAAAATCTCCCCCGAAAAGTTTAAGGGTATTTGATTATAATTGATATAAAGAGACACATAAAGCAATTCTAACAATACCCAAAATGGGAAGATGTTATGTAAAAGACTGGAGAAGAAATATGGCCATTGTATTGTTTGTCTTGTGGAAAATTCTCGCTTAGTTTCCGCCTCTATTAATACACCTTTGAAGTGTATTCTGTTGCTGAGACGCGATATAAAAGATTTTCCCGTGGAAAATGTCCACACGAGCACACAAAGAAGAGGGCAGAAAGTTTAAAGTTTCTCCATTCCCTCAATGGATTTTCGTGGCTTAATCGCCAGATGAATATTCTTGGTGAAAAGTTTCAATGATGTCACCAGCACTAGAATGCTAATAAATTTCATAGAATTACATCTGCAGATGTTTTAAATACAATTTTGGGTACATAATAGACACGCCGTATCTCTATTATGGACGAGATAATATGCCGAATGCCTTTCCCATCCTCTCGCTCCGGGTCATTTCTGTATGGATTCTGGCCGCCGGAATAGAAGGGGGAAATGCTTATTATTCACGCAAGTGCTCACGGTTAAAATGATCTCTTTTGTATTTAGTTAAATCGGCAAATAATTGATTTTTGAGCTCACGAGGGAGGAATTTCTCTCCATGTGCATAGAAATAGAAGTGAAACTCTGTCGGATTTAATATTCTGCGTGTCGAGATCATAAAATATAGCATTGTGAATAATAACATCGAGAATCTCAATTCACGAAGTGATTCTCAGTCAAATAAGGGATGTTAAAAATGTGTTAGGTTGCTTTTAAACATTCATTGCTATTCTGAGTCACACATCGACGGGTGAATCGAAAACTGTGAAAAATCAACGCCCTTTACTTTCTCCTAAGAAAACCGTTTTAAACTGTCAGATTTCCAGAATTTTTTTAAACGTTTGTTCCTAAAAGACTTACAATTAAAAAATTGTCTATTTTTTCTTATTTTTTCATTGCAGAACTTTGAAAAAATTAATATGAGTACTAAAAATTGATTTTTTTCAGAACATGTTTGGATAAAATACACTCAAAAGCTATTAAACTTCGATTTTTGGACATTATTTTTTGTTTATCTATTAACTTTATATAATAATTAACATTTTATCAAAATATTAGCGGGATTTTGAATTAAAATTCGGAAATTAACGCACAATTTTCAATTCACTCTCCTAAAAAAAAATTGTAATTCTGACTTTTTTCATAGTTTTCTATTTATCCGTCAACGTATGACGATCGTGTTAACAAATCGACCACTTCTGTTAAGAATTTCACCACTTGTGTTATTTACAATTCTAGTTCTCACATGTTAAATCAATTTCTACCGCCTAAATATGAATCAATTTTGTAAAATTTTACCATTTTCCTTCTCTAACACAAAGTATAATGGCCTAAAACTCTCTAAAACTGTTTTAGCGGGACAATCAAGGGCAGTTTTTCGTGATTCATTTGGTATCTTAAGCTTTTACATGTTTGAAGTTTAACATTTCTATGTTTTACTAGGAATTGCTCCATCAATTTGCTGAAGACGCACAATTGAGCTGAAATAATTACAAAATTTATATACAGCCTGGGCACTAATTATAGCTCCACTGTAGGTATCCAGAGTGTAGGTAGTCTGGGGCAAAAACAAAAAAAACCAAATATGATGTTTGATTGCCTATCCATAGCCAAAACAAAACCCCCAATATGAGGCCCCTCCGCTGGATCCTAGGGATTCTAGGGAACTTTATCACTTTCTGGCCTGGCACTAATTATAGATCCACTTGGGAAATTTCACTATATCTCAGCGAAAAAAAATTGGAAAATTCTGAAAATCATAAGGATCCTTCATTTTGAGCCCAGAAACCATTTACCGTCGCCACACCCCGCCTCGGTCCTCCGTGGACCCCACTGTTTAAGGTCTTTGCCTTGCATAACATGATCACCCAATATGGCTCCTCCGCATTGGGGCGGGGGGCGCAATGGCCATAAAATGCTTCACAGAGCTTGATTGAAGCCTTTAGAGCATAATTGGGATTTCTGACCCCGATACCCTTCCTGAATCCTGGCCTTAAGCACTTCTTCCAGGGTCTTTTTCTGCTTCTAAGAGCCCAAACCACCCCAACCCCCGGACCACCCCTAATGAAATGGGGCAAAAAGTTCTTCGGACACTTCTAGGAAACCCGTGGACCCTAGATCCGGGGATGGGTAGCGCCTCGGAGGGAGCGCCACACCGTGGAATGAGACCCAGTCGAAAACCACCTAAAATTGTATGGTTTTTCATTGAATTTCAACTGGCTCTCGTTCTACGTTAGGGCGCTCCCTCCGAGGCGCTACCCGCCCCCGGATCTAGGGTCCACGGGTTTCCTAGAAGTGTCCTAAGAAGTTTTCGCCCCATTTCATTGGGGGTGGTCCGGGGGTTGGGGTGGTTTGGGCTCTTAGAAGCAGAAAAAGACCCTGGAAGAAGTGCTTAAGGCCAGGATTCAAGGATGGTATCGGGGTCAGATAGCCCAATTATGCTCAAAAGGCTTCAGTCTTGCCCTATGAAGCAGTTTATGGGCATTGGGCCCCCCGCCCCATTGCGGAGGAGCCATTTTGGAATATCGTGTTATGCAAGGCAAAGACCTTAAATAGTGGGGTCCACGGAGGACCGAGGCGGGGTATGGCGACGGTAAATGGTTTCTGGGCTCAAAATGAAGGATCCTTATGATTTTCAGAATTTTCCGATTTTTTTTCGCTGAGATGTAGTGAAATTTCCCAAGTGGATCTATAATTAGTGCCAGGCCAGAAAGTGATAAAGTTCCCTAGAATCCCTAGGATCCAGCGGAGGGGTCTCATATTGGGGGTTTTGTTTTGGCTATGGATAGGCAATCAAACGCCATATTTGATATTTTTTGTTTTTGCCCCAGACTACCTACACCCTGGATACCTAGTGGAGCTATAATTAGTGCCCACGCTGTATAATGCCTTCTGCTGTTCCACTCGACTGAATCCCCATTTCACCTCCCAATTGGCCCTTTTCGACTTTCTCCGCAGGTCCAAAGCGCACGAGGATCTCGAATGAAACAGACAATGACAACGACACAGGCTCCGAATCATCTCCAAGTAGTCCCACAACTTGCCTCAAGGCGAATCCATTTTCTTTGCCCAGTCAACTGTCGCCGATTCAGAGGGGCGCCGCCAGTTCACCCGAGTCGGATCTCGATGTCGACTCAGCTCTCGAGAATGCCACTCCGGAGAATCTGAGTCTGAAGAAGGAGGACTCCACCTCGCCACCCCCCGGCGGCGCCCCCTGCTCCCTCGATAACCTCCACGCGCTGCGCTCCTTCACGGGCTCGCAGGGCTTCATCCCCTACCACCACCACCACCACCAGCAGTTCGTGCCGCAGGACGCGCTGGACGGCAGCAGCTCGCTGTCCAGCCAGTCCCGGTCGCCCGTGAACGTCCTGCTGCGGGTCTTCCCCAACAGGCGGCGCAGCGAAGTGGAGCAACTCCTGCACAGATTCCGCGGCGATGTTGTCCAGGCGATGGAGGCGATGCTGAACGGCGAGAATGCTCTGAATTCCATCTGGTGAGTACATTCTGCACATTACTTACACAGGAGACACACACGTGACCGAATGCACGCACGTGAATCATATTTTATGGATGGGGATTGTCGCGCTGTCATCCAGGGATGTGTTATTGGGGATTTCAACAAAGTTTCCATGATTAATCTTCGGGCAGGAATTTGTCACTCCTAAAAGGTCTCTCGTGGCTTGAAATTATAATTTTATTCATGGTTTGTCCGCATCAAGGGGGAGATAATATGGCTCTTTACACCACTTTCTGACATTTCCACAATTTGTCAGTTTTCTACCTCACATTTTCATACGATAATTAATGATTTTCTTCCGCTAAAATTGCGCTTTTGCGTGCTTTTCTTGATAATAATAAAAGAATTAAGATTAAATATTCATTAAAAATACTAAATAGAATCTTTCTGACTTAAAATCGCTGCTGTTTAGTGAAAAATTGAGGTTATGTTTGTCTTTATCTGTGTTTCTTGACATTCAGCTTCTAAAATCACGTTTTAATTGAGTAAAAATACGCAATTCTACCAATAAAGTGAAAATACTTTCAATTCAGATGCAAGAATTTTTCTTTAAAATGTTATTTAGTCAAAAATGAATCACATAACCTAGAAAAATATGTCAAAATTACGACTTAGATAAAAAATAATTTCTGAAAATCAAAATTGTGCATAAAATATTGCATAAATTGAAACACTTCCACTTCCTAAAACTTCCACTGATTTGTACACCACTTCTGTGCCATATTATCTCCCCCTTGATGTGCTCTGTCGTTAGGAAATGGGGTTGAATGTGTCCGCATTGGGATCAGGAAGTTTCTCACAAATTAAAATGCTGTCTTTTGGCGGTGATTTTCAGTGTTCCATCAGTGTCTCCGCCCTTTTCCGTGAAGTCCGCCTTCTCGCCCTTAATACCGCCGGCGGCGTTTGTGTCGGCCGCCGGTGGCCGGTATCCGTTCATGCCCCAGCAGCCGGTGGCCACCAAGCGCTTCCTGGCCGCTCCCTACTCAGGCACCGGCTACCTGTCCACGGTGATCCAGTCGGAGCCGCCGGAGCAGATTGAGTCGAACGGCTCGAGCGGAGCGACGAGCGGCGGCAGTTCCGGCGGCAACAGCGGAAGCAACGGTCGCGGCGGAACTCCGAGCGGCGGAAGCGAGAACCAGGAGTAGTTCCAAGTACAGTGAATGCCAGTATAATTCAACTCTTTTCCTCACTAAGCATAACCTCTTAAGAGTGTTGTATTTTATTATTAAGAAGGAATTTTCTTTTTCTCCACATTCCTCAAAGTAAACCCCAAAAGCGTAGCGCTTAGTTACCGATTGTAGAGAGAGAGAGAGAGAGATCCTTGCATCTCCTCAGAAGTAGTTGAAATTATAGCGTATGTATAATCCTTGAGGCAGTGTGTACAGTAATTGTGTATTTAGAGTTAATTCGTCAGAATAATTATGCTTTAATCATACAACAGGCATTATTGGAGGAGCTAATAAAAATGTGTAATGGATTGAAGATGGATTTCTGATTCACATTGTGCACCTTTGGTGGAATGGAATTGCATTTGATTCTGTTCAAATGACTTTCCCAGCGCGGGAAATTTATGCAGTGCGCTTCCCTTTCGACAAATATTACGATCAATTTTCTTCAATTTCATACTCACCCGCACATCCTCCGAACCATCTCGGAATAAACGAATTAATAAAGCAGCAATAAGTTTAAGGAGAGATGGATATAAAATATCACGAATTGTTGGAATTGAAAAGTGTCTAGATTGGAGATGAAGATTTTTCAGTAGCTTTCAACATTTGAATATCCCAGCGAACACAATTGATCCAAAATCAGCATGATTTTCAGCTTTTCGCCTCCGCAGAGTACGATTTTTGTGATTTTCTGCTGTGTTTTGAGCAGATAAAAGCACTTTTCTCAGCACATATAATGAGCATTCCTTAAAGTGTGCCTTAGAGCGATTACAGACTTGAGGATTACTCTCGAATCGACGGGAACTGGGATCAATCATTCGTGAACGAGCTTAGAGTGTGTAAAGGTTAGATCAGTGATAAGTCGTGATTGAACTGGCGCTAAACACACTCAGGAGTTATTCTTCTTTATCGACACTCGCGACAATTTTGCTTCGTATTTCGCTCTCAGTTGTCAATTAATTTGTTTATTTTATCAAAAAACGTGAAATTTTACAATAAAATTGCGAAAAATGGAAGGTTCGCAGAAGAATTTAATGATTTTAAGATTCCACGAAATTCGCTTGAGATCCGTCATTTTCTGCGTTGTGAGCTGTCAAATGATTCGGCGAATTTCGGTCGAGCGCGCTGCTGTCGGGAATTCCATAAATATTGGTTGAACCTTCGATATATCGAGGGATAACTCGTGTTTTATGGCTCTACTAGCTATTAGTCGTTCACACTCGTGCTTTTGCTTATCCTCCCGTGGATCACCCGGAAGTCTGTAATCGCTTTTACAGTTCTTTGGGTGACGTAAAGAACCAGTTGATAGACTGACAAGAGGCCTAAGAGTACATAATGTCATAAACATTTCTTAACTCTAATGGAATTCACGTTCTACAATTTGTACAAATACGACAAGCGACATCTACGATCTTGATCGTAGTACTAATAATTCCAATTATCACCGCTATTATCGTAAGTAATTCTCTCACTTTGAGCTGAAAGAAGCGCTTTTGTGAGCAGATCTTCGAGCAAGGTTAAATTCTCAGCTTAGTGTGTTCGTCGGGATCTGCACCCTGAAGGTTTCCCTTCAAACGTGAATTTCACATGATGTATTAAACACGAACAGGGCTCTAGAAATGCATCATCCTGTTCCTATGGCTTCAATCTAGTTCTCTCAATTCACAGCATTCTCAACTTTGCCCCGCAGTATATTATTTTCACATCCCTTTTTCATTTCAATGGAATTTTTGTGTGGTGAAAGGTCGGAGGGTGATTTTTGGCGTGTAACCCTATTTTTTTCCACCCACCCCGGCGCGTCTCTGCGCCTCTTTTGCCAGAGCTATTGTGTGGGACGAATGCCGAGCAAGCGATATGGCCTTTCTGCAAATTAAATGTGTGTACATCGCATTATATGGCGGAGAGAGAAATGTATTCTGTGTGTGTTGAGAGTGTTCCGGGAAGCCGCCGAGGAGGAGCGTGCCGAAAATATCTGCGGGTGACATTCTCAACACCATATGATTTTATTGGATGAGTTTTATATCAATGTGGCTACATATAGACAACCTTGCTTCTATGAATCCTCCCGACACTTATATTAAATGTGTATACAAATTATATTAGCATATATATTAATTCCCTTCTAATTCCATCGCCACCCCCACCCGCACTTTGGTCTGTCGCTATTGTGCCGCTGCGACGCTGCCAAGGGGGATGTGAATGAAAATATCAAACAGTGAATTTGTGGTGGAGACAACCTCTTCAAATAAATCGGAATCCATCCAGTGGAATTCCGAATGAATTGATTAAAACCGGATTAGTTAGATAATAGAATCCAATTTAGAATGTAGCGCAAAAGTATCCCGCGGGGTGTGGGTCAAGGGTCGCGCGGGGGTGCTTTGTCGAGAGGACATGGTGGAAAAATTTCATTAGTCGAATTCATGCGAAATTTTCGGTGTCTCTCCTTCTCCATTACTAATCATCCGATCATTTTCCATTTATTATTCAGACAATTCAGACCGAGCGATGAAAAAAGAGCGCCAAGGAAATTTAATTACGCCTTCGGTGTCAATTCATTTTCCATCGCATCGCGCAACACATTCAATACAATTTTCCTCATTCAGCCAAAGCAGACAGGAAAAAAAGAAGAAGAATTTGAATTATACACTTTTTTTTTCTTGCTGACTAAAGACAAATTATGAGATCAGTTTTCAATAAAACTTTACATTTTGTTTATTTTTGATTTCACCAAAAATCCAAGACATTTGTTTGGAATGTTCTTCAGAGAAGTCTCTTTGGAAGAGATGTTTATACTGTTCGTCGTTACAGCTAAAATTTATTACGTGAAAATACCAGAAGGAAAAGAAGACACCAAAGAATAATAGAGAATTTGGAGAAAAAACATTTGTACTCTACCTGCTTGGATATTTGCTTGACACATATTTAATTTTAGTACATAATTGACGAGTTGATCCGCGATCGTAATAAAAATTTACATTGACTTCAACAATGAGGATGTTGATGCCACAGACAAGAGTCATCAGAGGGGCTGACAAGTGGCAAGTATTTGGCCTTCTCATTGTTATCTTCCTGGCATTTGCCAATTCTCTATCAATTAGATTGAAAAACGAGATTCAGAGACACTTCCAGGACTTTGGCAGTGCTTAAAACATGCGTTTTCCTTGTTTTCTTCTCCTTTTTCGGAAGGTTCATGGATTTTTCCAACCGTCTAGAGTATCATAACCTCAAATTTAGGAGTTTTTAACCTACAAAAACGCAATATTTCCTTGTATAACCTTGCAAACTTACAGAGAAATCGTATATTTAAGAAATATTTGAAGTTTTCAGTGGATAATTTATTGTGTTTCAATTTTCAATCGCTCTTTTCGATGCATAGCGGAACATAACCTATAAATTACCTTGAGATTCCTGAAAGAAACTCATTTGGAATATTTTCAAGGCAAAAATTGACGAATATTAATCGAAAATGAGCTAAAAATTGCCATTTGAAAGTAGAAAATCAATCAAACAGTGTTTTAAATAGTCATTTTTGTATCCTGAAATTATATTTTAGAGGTTATGATCAATCAATAAGTGCAAATTATACTAGCTTAGACACAGAAATGAATGATTTAGGTGGTTATTTAGCAGCAAAATTTATCTTAAATTAATCACATAACCTAGAAAGATGTGAAAAACCATTCTTTTTCTCCGAATATTGCATTAAATTCCTTTTGAAAATGATTTTTGAATGCAATTTATTGAAAATATTCAAGCATTTCAATATCCAAATACTTTCACTGAGTTGTACACCACTTCTGACCATAATATCTTCCCCTTGATTGCAGGTTTTCTTACATTTTCTTCTAAAAGCGCAAACATCGTGAGTTGATAGCCTTTCGCGAGTGAAGCTGAAAATCCATTAAATGGTTGCATTGAAACTCTTTAGTTTTCCTCGTCAGTTGAGAGCAACTTGTGAAAAAATGTATATTTTACATAATTGAATATTTTTTGTCGGTGTCCACACGAAATGTTTGATTATTTGGTAAAATGTATTTATCTCTCACAGTTGTGACGATGATGACTTCTATGTGCGCGCATCATCGTTGAAAATTCAAGCAAATAATAGCCTAGAAGCAACATTTAAGAAAACCAAATACGATGCTTTTGTTACCTCCGTCTCTGCTTGGCCCTCTTGCAAGATTTGCCTGACAGAGAAAGATGCTGAGCCGGAGATTTTTTGTTTTTCGGGTGGAAAGAAAAAAACTTTGCCTACAGTGTGTCTATTTGCTTTCATTTTATAACAAAAAAATGTCAACCAAAGCAAATAACATTTTATTTTTATGTTATTTTAGATAGTATAAATAACTGTTGTTGCGTGCTCAAGGCAAAGTATCTTCGCGTGTTGAAATAGTCTTTCTCCGACCATTGCGCGATGTGTAATCGCAATTAATAGAAAAGATCCATGAATTTGAGAAATTCATCAATTACTTGCGCACATTTAGACTTATAATAACACACATCACTTCGTCAGTTTGCACACGCGTTGGGCAACAATCGAGCAAACAGGAGTTATTTAGGAGTTATTATTGAGCTCTTTTTTGCTGCTTTTCTTGGAGTGCTCGAAGAAGGAAGGAGGAAGAACACTTACACTTATACTTTCATTCTTCTATTCCTTCAAGTAAAATCGCTGTAAATATCCAAGAACACTCTTGGGTACAATAGAAACCATTGTTTGAACATAATTTTTCTCCTTCGACATGCACTGAAAGGAATCGCCTTTTTTATTCAACCTTATCATTCTTCTTGTAGTTTTGGGGCTGGCAAAAAATTCGATGGTCTGCTCAAGGGGAAAATATTGTGGCTAAAATCTGTACAACACTTCCACAATTTGTATGAGATATCTTTGACACTTTCCATGACTTCAGACTTCATGGATTGTTTATAGCAAGTCTAAAATCAACTAATAACTGGAATCTGACTAAAATCTAACCAAA